ACGATGCAAAATACGTAGACGGAGGAGGGCTGAGAGGGACGAGGGACCAAACGACAGGGTCCAGCACTAATAGTAGTGACAGTGAATTCCAGGAGTCGCAGGCAGAAGAGATCGAGCCCCAGTAATAGTGGATGTTTTCGTTGGTTGTAGATCAGGGGATGCTGGGCTGAGATACGGGAATATGAGAGCCCAACGAGAGACAACGAAGAAAGGAGAGAAATGAAATCCGAACAACGATGAAAAAGAGATGAGAAGAAGAACAAAAAATATGACGAAGAATGGAGGCTCTCCAACAGCCAAAAAGAGACTCTGGAGAAAGCGAAGAGGGGAACCACCAGAAATGAGAGAGTGAGGAATAGGAGGGGACCATCGCCACTGCTGATTGGTTCAGGTACCGTTTCTGCCTTTGTGCCTAAGGCATATATACACACAGCCCAGCACCGCCACCGCCCCAGGCCAATAATGGATGCGTCCAGAAGGAGAAAAGAACAACCTCCGTCGTCGCAGACACCGAAACTGCGCCAGTGACCTCCATTCCGATTCTCTCCTTGCCGCTAGAACTTCGCGATCGCTTGTCTCTACGTGACGTCCCGATTAGTCCTCATTGGGGCCCGTTCACTCCCCGCGCGTCTATCTCCACTTGAACCGCCGAATCCCCTTGCACGACAACCTCACCCCGTTGATACAATCGCGCGATTACTACCACTACCTACGTTCGTTCGGATAGTCGCTGGAAGCCCTCGCTCATTGCTGGAGGGCTTGGTTCGAAACGGATTCGGAATCTGTGGAGGATGAAAGGGATCAACGATCGATGGGCGTAATACGGAAGAAGACCGCCTCGCGCGGTACCGAGGCTGGCACCAAGTACCATTGTGATATTTGTACGGTGGATGTGACTTCTACAGTAGGACTCCCGTTTTACTGATGTTGAAGAACTTGGCTGATTAAAGTGGAAAACAGGTTCGCATCTCATGCGCACACCCCGCCTGTCCCGAATACGACCTCTGCGTTCCCTGCTTCGCGGCAGGTGAAAAGTCCAAGAATCATGACCCGAGCACGCATCCCTACCAAGTCATCGAACAGAACTCCGTTCCAATTTTCGACGAGGAATGGGGCGCAGACGAGGAATTGCTCCTGCTAGAAGGCGCGGAGATTTACGGTCTGGGCTCCTGGGCAGATATCGCGGACCACATTGGAGGCTTTCGCACCAAGGATGAAGTGCGAGATCACTACATCAACAACTATGTGGACAGTCCGCACTTCCCGTTACCGGCGAATGCGGATCCAGATGACACGACCCTGCCCGACTCCATCTCGAAAGAAGAGTTCCAGGCGCGCAAGAAGCGACGAATCGAGGAGCGCAAGGAAAATAGCAAGTCGGCGCCGCCTACAACACCTAAGCAGAAGCCTACTGCAAGTGTACCGGCCTGCCATGAGGTACAGGGATACATGCCTGGGCGACTGGAGTTCGAGACGGAGTTCCTCAACGAGGCGGAAGAAGCGGTGCAGCACATGTCCTTCGAACCCGGGGCAGGCATCCTGCCAAACGGCGAGAACGATGCAGAAATGGAACTCAAGATGACCGTGGTCGACATCTACAACTCGCGCCTCACAGCGCGAACAGAGCGCAAAAAGATCCTTTTCGAGCACAACATCCTCGAATACCGCAAAAACACCGCCCTAGAAAAGAAACGCACAAAAGAAGAACGCGATCTCCTCAACAAAGCCAAACCTTTCGCGCGAATGATGAACCACGACGACTTCGAAGAACTAAACAAGGGCCTCGAATACGAACACAACCTCCGCCTCGCCATCTCCCAACTCCAAGAATGGCGCCAAATGGGCATAACGGACCTCAAAAACGGCGAGAAATACGAAACAGAAAAACAGCACCGGTTACAGCGCCTCATGCCCCTGGGCTCCTTCGATCGCTTCGCCACCCGTCCAACAAAACAGACCCAGCAACCCGAACATCCCACCGCAGCTAGCGCACTCACAACACCAGAACTACCCCTTCGACTCCAGAAAGCCGCTGCTCCTCCCCAAACCCCAAACAAACAACAATCACAACCAGACCAGCAACAGCAACAACAACAATCAGCAAACGAACCCCTGAACGACTTCGACCGCGCCTTCGCCGCCGACACAGGCACGCCCCAGTCCCAGTCTCAAGCCCAAACCCAATCCCAACAACAAGGACAACAACAACAACCTCAACAACCCCCGAAAGCCAGATTCGTCATCCAGCCCCTAACAGGCGTGGTACCATGGAAACTCGAAACCGAAGGCGCGCCAGACCTCCACCTCCTAAGCAAGGAAGAGGTAGAAGTATGCAACGTACTGCATATTCAACCGAAGCCGTACCTTGTTGTTAAGGAGACCTTGTTGAAGGAGGCGATGAAGCAGGGCGGGGGGTTGAAGAGGAAAGATGCGAAGGCTGCTTGTAAGGTGAGTGATTGAATCGGTTCCTTCTCTTTTATATTTGCACATGCTGACTGGTTAGATTGATACGACTAAAACAAGTCGGGTATATGATTTTATGGTGCACAGTGGGTGGATCAACAAGGCATAGTTTGCTATCTTTCTTCATTTGATATCCAATTGATTGGAAAGGTGTTGGGCGTTGGATTCAAGTTATTATAATCTCAATGAATTGTGGAATGAATTGTATTTTGACTCGATCATTTGTTATTTTGTTCATTCTAAGTAACTACCTATTGCAGCGCCCAGGCAGTTAGTTGCATGGTATCTTGCTACGCTCCGGGACAGTGAGTACTAGTTTACGTGGAACAAATACGGACTTTGGCCTACAGAGACACTGGAAGATATAACTCATTAAGACATAAATTATCGTAGGCTAGTGCGCTGCACCAAGAGTACAATCGTAAAAAAAATCCATCGCGCCATACCATGTTCGCCATATCCCATGCGATTGACCTCCGTTCCGTCCTGCGGACCGGTAGATGCGTAAAACGTGGTCGTTACGGTCAAATTCGTGGTCGATTCGAAGCCCTTCCCATGTTAGGAAGGGTTGACGGAAAAAAAAGACAAATTATCGTAAGGGGTATGATGTTGGTGAAAAGCCCTACTTGGAGTCTTGCTGCACCTTCTCCACCAGCTTGAGGACAGGCGCATACAGAGGATGATCCTTGTCAAGTCCGGTAAGCTTGCTAGTGGCATCTGCGGCAGAGTTCTCTTTGAGAGTCTTGGCCAGCTGAACACTCTCATCGTCTCCCTCAACGTTCTGGAAGCGGAGAGCCATTTCGATGGAGCCCAACAAGGCATCGAACTTCTTGCCACGTTCCGCCAGCTGGGCAGCAGGTCCGATGAAACGCTCCTTGCGAGACAGCTTGCGAACGGGTGCACGACCCACACGCTCGACCTGGTCCTCAAGGTACGGGTTGGAGATACGACCAACGATGGTGTCAACGTACTTCTTCTGCTCCTGTTCAGAGATGCCGTGCTTGTCGACGATGAGAGCAGCCGTTTCCGCGAGAACGTTGTGGACGATGCCACGGATCTTCTCGTCGGCCAGGGAGTCGGCAATCATCTTCTTACCGCTCTGGTAGCCGTAGTAGGCAGTGGTTGCGTGACCCGTGTTGACGGTGTAGAGCTTGCGTTCGATGTAGGGCTCAAGGTTGTCGACCCAGTGAATGGCGGAGATATCGGGGTGGCCAACGGAGCCAAAGGGGCCCTTCTCGACGACCCATTCGTAGAACTTCTCGATACGGACGTTGAGACCACTGTCGGCCGGTTGGTTGGGGACGATACGGTCAATGGCGGAGTTGGCAAACTGGGCACGCTCGCCGAGAGACTTGACGCGAGAGTCGTCGGTGTGCTCCTTGATGTAGCCGTGCAGAGTGTCGGTGGCACCAATAGCGTTCTCACAAGCAATCACGGCCACGGGCTTGGACTCAGTACGAGCGTCAATACCCTTGGCGATGACGGGAGCGATGAACTTGAGCACGTTGGGGCCAACGGCACAGGTGACGACGTCTGCAGTCGCGACCTCCTTGACGACATCACTCTCGTGGGTTTTGGAGTTGATGGCACGGTAGTTGGAGACGGTCTTGGTGTCCTCACCCTGCTCACTAACCTCCGTGACCTGGTAGGAGGAAGATTTCTGAAGAGAGTTGATGACATTGTCCATGACATCGATGACGACAACCTCGTAACCAGCATCGTGGAGGAAGGCAGCCACGAAGCCACGGCCGATGTTACCACCACCAAACTGGATGGCCTTCTTTCCCATGATGTCTTGTGCTATAAAAGGACAGTAGAGATGAGAGGAGTAGGAGAGGTAGTCAGGGAAGCTATGAGAAGACGATTAGCGATGAGAGAACTGATGAGAAACAGAACAGACTGTGGTACCTGAGATGGAGATGATGGAAGTATTTATATGCGAGATGAACTGAGAGAAGATGGGATGAAAAGATAAGGAGGGAAAAGAGGAGAATAGAAGAGAAGAAACCGGATGAAGGAAGGGAGAGAAGAGAAGAGAAGAGAGGAGGTGATGCAGTCACGGGATTCCAGGGAAAGAGGGACAAGAGGGGCAGGTGGGATAGATGATTTCACTATGCCGGAAATGACATCCACGGCTTATTTGCTGACAGAGTGAATGCCAGGAACTTGTCACTATATTCACTAAATGTTAAAGAGCACAGTCCCCCAAATGAGGTTGCATTCGGCTTATTACTCTGTAGCATCCAAGTCCGACGCAGTCCAATCATGGCAGTTCATACATGCAATCAGTTGAATTTGGTACCTATATCATTATTTCTATATGTCCGTACACATTAAACCTCGTTCTTACTCTCATAGTAGATGTGAAGCTGTACTTCCTGCACTTTCAACAAGCGAGACTCCACGGTAACATCACCCGACGGCCCCACTCCATAGAATCCGGTAGATGATTTTCGCCTCATCGAATGTTCTCCCAACAGCCACTTTGAAGTATTGCAAGTTTCTTTACCTCTTTCGTTCCAATATATTCCGACTCACTAATCTTCCATTCCCTTCGGCCCGTGCGTCTCGTCCGGCTCGTCGTGTTCGTCGTGCTCAATAGGCGGAACGTATCCAGCACCCGGCCGTCGATCCATCAGTACAAAGGCAAGATTCGCGACGCTTCCAGCAAGCAACAGTCCCGTAGCTGCCCAAGTCATACCCAGAAACTGTTGACCATATTCTGCGGTGATTCGGGACTCGCGGCCATGCGAGTTGACCAGATTGACGAATTGGAGCGCAATCACGGTTGCGATAACCGAGGCAACGCTGAGACTGACGAAGCCAAGCTAGACGTTTATCAGCGCAATATTATATCTCGCAATTATCAAGGATACTCACGAATAATATCGGGAGTTCGAATATCATCTGTTTGGTCCGTTGGGTAATCAGCAGCCCGAATCGGATTAATACCGCAACCGCCGCAATGCCTGCTGCGATACAATAAAACACCCCCATGCTCTGCGTCGTTGCCGAAAACGCTTCGAAGTCATCGCCGATGGCAGTCGGCCATCCGAACCTTTCCAGGGACGTGCTGTTCCCCGAATCTTCTAGTAATATCTGCGTCGCGTTGAACGTGAAGAGGACATCGTAGCCCGAGCAACCGCTCATATTCATCCCGTTCCCTAGAAATCCCCCACAGTAGGACATGGGAAAAATCGAATAGAAGTCTTGGAGACCGGTGCCATTGCCGATAGGTGTATAAAGCTGAGCTATTAGCAGGTACGTACATGCTCAGTATAGGCCAGATGAGACTCACCGTAAAGATATCATTCCCCGTAAGGAAATTCATCCTGGTTCCCGAAAAAAGACATAGTAAACTAAGGATAAAAGCGATAAACGCCCCTATCGTTGGAAGTAGCCTGAGCCAATTAGGCATTCTGGATGGTGCGTTATATTCGTTGTATACCGCTGTGCTAAGCATAATCCCGTAACAGACAGATGGATAGATGGGTAGATGGATATTTGGATATTTGGATACCTCAGAGACATCTCCCGTACATAAAAGCTCTCTCTGGTTCTATTTCTGGCTCTACTCTAACGACCAGAATGATGGCCACATACTAGTAGTACGTGGGTAGAAATCTTGTGTTTCATTCCTTCGCGAGGTCGGCCTTTGAAACGCAGGTCTATACTCTGTAGAGTACTATGTACAACCAAACCGCACGTGGTGCTCATGCAAGTGTTCGAACCCAATCCTTCATATAATACGGAATTTATTTCCAGTGCATTTTCACTTTCCTACTGGTCATCACTTGGTAGAGGGGATGCCGAAAACATTCCATTCCGATGGTGTTGTTCCCCGCCAGAGGAAGGAATGTCGGCCGCCGACTTTGGTATGTTTCTTATCAGACCACCTTAGCGATCTTATCAACGGCACTTCATGAATTCAACCAGATGGGGGCATTCGGATGGGTGTTGGTGATGCTAAGACCGTCGGCGGGTTACCGAGATAAATCTAGGACATTTGTCTCTCGGCGCCCCCGCATCATAAACAATGGCGCCAACCGCCAACGGAGATGATATTTCGCATTCTTCGCTTTATAACCGCGTGCGGTAAGTCTCCCAACCTCTTTCGACCATACAAGATCATCTCCGATCCTAACATCATTAAACCAAAAAAGTGGTGAACTAAAATAACTATTTTCCTTGCAATGGATTGGTTCAAACGACTGTTCGGTTTCGACCAAGAGGCCTTGGAAAAGAGGAGACAAAAACGCAGGAGTCGAAAGCGGAGCAGAAACGTACGAGCTCGGGAAAGAGAATTACGCAAAAACGCCCAGGCGCGCGAAATCAACGGTGGGAAGCGCAGGGTACCGTTTTTCTGGGGATCGCCTGGAGTGACGATTCCGCTTCATCGAACGCCGATGTCCAGTGATTGAATTGCAGAATAGCAGCAAGTATCGGTCAAATATTACGTTTTTTTCTCGAGACGAAATGTGAAACCTGCTCTGTTCCATGCCTGTTGATAGACGTCAGCAATCAGTTCGTGCACGAAATTTAGCGGATAGATTCAACTACCTACTCGTGTCTACCGCTTGTGTACACGTCGATTCTATGCATCCTTGGGCCTCAATCAGATGATACTATTCACATCCACTGTTGATTGAGCCCATTCGATAAGTAGAGATGAAGAGCGAGTTATCATCTTACCCTTGGCATTTCCGACGGTGGTTGTCCGTACTCCGCAAATATATATGTACACCCTGAGGTCCACAATGTTACAACCGAATATTTTCTTGGTTGTTAGGTTGTTAAGCAAGGTCAGACCGAGAAACAAGAACAAAGAAATGCATAATTCTAGGCAGATGAGTTCAAATCTAAATCCCCTACTCGATTTTATCTTGGAATATCAGCCGGGTGATATCATTCGTACAACCCGAAGATTACAGAGTACCACATGCATCAGCAAGACTAATTAGAAATCCCTCACAGCGCATCTTTCCTCGGTACCTACCTGCCAAGGTCGTTGATATCCCCAAAATATCCATAAATAGTATCCAGACGTCGCCATGCGGGATGATGAAACCCAAGATCAAAAAACGAATGCCTACCGATCTCTGCTTTATCTACCAACCGATCAAGGAAGGAGAGCGCGTGCTCTCCTTCCGCGTATGGCGGAAAAACCAAAATCAACGTGTAGTATGTACATGCGCTGTACCACTGTAAGGGAGTTTCACTGCCACCGTCGATCTATGTCGATCCTCCGCTTCTGCTGCCCGATTGCGAGTTGGACTGTTGTGCTTGGCACAGAGGTCGAATAGGCTTTGTTCCTGGCTCTTCTGGAAGGAAAAAACAAAATATCAGCATTGTAGCCTGATTCATGATGCTGGTTGTTGACTGCTTCTTCGTCGTGAAGGACTCGTAAGTAGGGCTTGGCACTATAGGCTTGGCACTATTGGCTTGGCGGTTGGCAGTGATGGATGTATATCCCACTGAGATTGATCATCTTTTTGCGTTTCGCAATGTTTTCTTGGTCACATTTGATGCCTGCCAAGTTGCAAGTCAGGGTATTCCAAACAATGGGTGGGATTGCGGTGTTGGCTTGATCCCAGTTCTGTTGCCGACGCTGGCCGAATACAATCTTATCCTGATCTGATTGCCGGGTTCACCGGATATGACTTATGAAAATCCAAAGTAAAATAAAAAATAACAATAAAATGATAATTCCGATAGCCGTTTAGCGTATGGGGCGTCACTGGATCAGCCAAGGCATCATGATACCAATTATCATAAAGACCAATGAGCAAGGAGAATTACAACACGAATGTAAACGCAGGAGGATAGGGATGGAAGTTGTCATTTGAGATCTGAGTGTCATGGCCCGGTGAAGGAGAATTCAACCACGAGTCCAAATGCCCGACAGCTTCACGGAGTTTAGAAACGGACATTGTCATCCATTGTCATGCCATCCGAGCTATGGCCTAGACAAGCTCATCAATCAATTCCAAGAACGAGGTAATCTCGACGAGAGACAGGTGGACTGACAGAAAGATAGATCTGTCCTGCAGGAAGATCAATCACAGGATGGCGGTATGCAACGTGACTTGGCCAGCACACGCGTTTTGAGCCAGGGACATTACATCTCCATCTTCCAGAATTATATAGCATTGTTTCTCCGTATAGCGTACTCCACATGGAAAATGGAGAACAAAGGACGGAGATGGATTGCGGTATTATTATTAGCATTATGCCTGCCTGACCGGGATGCAAGCACGGAGGGAAAAGCTACGAGTGCATTAGACTCGGAGGAGTACATACGCAGCACGAGGCGTCGCACTCTAATTGCTTACCAGTAGGAATAGGAGGGGGATGAAGTACTCTGTAGACTCGGCTCTACTACCACTATGACAGATGGTGGCCACTAGCAAAACCATAGGAGATGTTTCACGATAAACTTAAAGTGACGGGGATGACAATCCTGACACAAACGGGAATAGCCAAACGAGAGCATGTATATCATAATATGATCGGGGTTTTCCGTCAAAACGACGACAGCATGGAATACGGGAGTAGCGAAAGGTTGATAGATGGACGGTGGTGACCGAAACGGTAGGGAGGAGGCAGAGCAGCAACGTGCTGGCAGCACGGCCACTGACTGGTCGAGAGATTTGATGCCAAGATAAGCATATGCAGGGAACCTGAGTTAGGGTTGTTCCTGTTTGGGTATTGTTATTGCAAGTCGGCCACGAGTAGCATTAACCATGTCATCCCAGGCCCTCTGTAGGATCAGAAGGACAATGCGAGTGTAGCGTGATTGATAACCTTCTTGGCGGTGACAGCGAAGAAAGAGAGCATGTATGATCGGCTCTTCTATGACATTGACTGAATCAGGTTGTATGCGAGATATGTCTTTGCCTAGCAATGCCACGATAGCCTGAGTGTTCTGCATTAAACAGGATACTGTAGATACGGAGAATTATGTACAGAGTACTCTCCATGTTGGACAGAATAGTTAACTAAGCAATACACTGACTAACTAACTAACTAGTTAGTTACAATACCGTAAGTAAAACGACACCGTTGATTGGCTCGCTCCACCAAAACGATTTCCAGAAAGCGGTGATCTTGCAGCAGATTCTGCCACCACGTGCCCCCAATGATTGGTCAGGATGGTGCATGATCTGTCGACCCTTCCCTCTGGACTCCGCTCACTTTCCGCACTCGGTCTTCAACTAGTCCGTACTAGACGATAATGATGGGTCTCTTACGGAGTACATACTGGGTCTTCCACTGGGAAAGAGCCATCACTTTAACCGTTCACGTAGGACATCTTCAATGCAAAAAGTATGCCATATGGAGTATATATATAAAAGCATATATGTATGACATATAAAAAGCAAATTTAAAAGTAAATATAAAATTTTACTTTTTGCCCTTCCGCATCTTGGCGGTTAAACTCTGGTGAACTAGTCCGATGGGGCCTTGACCCGCCACCTGCGCTCCATAGTAATAGACATACCCACTGACAGCGTCGCCTCCTCCGAGCCCGCCGTCCCGTGGACCCGCGCTTTTTCCCTCTGGCTTATCAGAACGTGCCATTCGGTCATGTGTCTGGAGTCTCGTCCCGGTAGGTGCTAGATTTTATTTTCTTCCCTCGTCTTCCCTCGCCAATATATAATACTAGCCGGATATCTTTTCTTGTCAACTCTTGGAATTCCTCCTCGTCCGACTTGGCTTGCATCCTTAGCCATTAGCCTTCCTCCCTTTATCCTCGTCTGCTTGTCCTCCCATCCCGTCGTCCTCCCTCGTGTCTCCTGCTCTTTTTTTGACAGGTTACTCAAGACCGCCAGCGCATCTTGGCTGGTTCGCTGATCGCCTTGTGAGAGAAGAGATCCAACCGCATACACCTACGCACACGACGGTACTACGGCTACGAAACAACGGTTCTACAACAGAATTAGTCTCAGGATGACGGACTTTGGTCTTCGTGCGCCTCATGGCCCCGACATGTCGGGGACCCATCAGCCCCTAGAGGACATGGATATCAACGAGAAGGGTGCTTTTGACGCCTTAATTCGTCCCGATGACTGTTACACTCCCGAAGGTACCTACTGGGCCGACCTGCCGTTGCTGAAGAAGATCCGCTTTGTGGGCTCCTACGATGCGAAAGAGTCCAAGCGCGAATTTAGCGACATCTGGCAGATGTTCAAGAACGACCCATTGTCGCCAATGTCGTATTATTTCCGGAATATGGTTCTCCCCGGTGCTGGTCTTGGTCTAGAAGGGTAAGCTTTCCTTATTTTGCAGAATCCGGGGTGAAAGAAAAGACGCATTCCTCGGGTGATCTGAACTCAAAATACTAATGTCCCTTGCTTTTACAGCTACGTGCTGTTCTCGATCGGAAACATCAAGCCTCTCTTCCAGCATGTGTTCAGTAACTGTTGGGATACCCACGAGGTTTGCAATGAGCAATGGACCAACGCCGTGGAGTACCTGGAAATCATTGGTATCATTGTTGGTCAGATTCTGGTGGGCTTTCTGGGTGACTGGTACGTTTTTTTTTTTTTTTTTTTTTTTGGCCTTTGTCGCGTAATTGTTCTAACCTGAATTAGGCTGGGCCGTCGCTGGGGTCTCATTCAAGATGCGGCCATCATGTTTATCGGTTTGCTAATGCTTACGGCCGCCTGGGGTGTCACTCTCAACGGCTGGGTGATCTGCTATGCCTGGTCTTTGTTCTTCTATGGTATTGGTGTTGGTGGTGAATATCCCATGACTGCCACCAGCGGTATGGAAAATGCCGTTGGTTCCGGGAAGATCTCGACTAAGGAAGACCGTCTGCACCGTGGACGTAAAGTCACCAGCGCATTCTTGATGCAGGGTTGGGGTCAATTCTTCAACCAGGTCATCCTCATCATTTTGCTCCTTTGCTTCCACCACGGTTCCGGTAATCCTCCGTATTCGGCTGTCGCCGCTCAGTGGACTTACCGTGTGTCGTTCGCCATTCCCGCTGTCGGCACGCTCTGGCTGGTTTACCACCGTGCCTACCACATGAAGGCGGCTAGCAAGCAGTTGGCAGCGGCCAAGAAGAACTCTTCTGTTACGGGCTATGACCGTCAATCTCTTGCCCTGACATTCAAGTACTTCGGTTTCCGCATTGTCGCCACCGCGGGCGCGTGGTTTGCCAACGATGTCTTCTTCTACGGCAACAAGTTGTTCCAATCTGAATTCATTAGCGTTATCAGCCCCGGATCCGACTCGATTATGCCCACCTGGTTGTGGAACTTGTGCAACGTCGGTGTCTCGCTGGCCGGCTACTACTTGGCCTCTTTCCTTATTGACAACAAGCTCTATGGTCGCAAGTGGATGCAGATGGTCGGTTTCCTGATGTGTTTCATCCTTTTCATCGTCCCGGCTTTTCACTACAAATACTACACCTCCGTGGAGCACGTCAAGGAATTCCAGACCATGTACTTCCTGAGTTCCTTCTTTAACCAGTTCGGTCCCAACTCCGTCACTTTCCTCGTTGCTGCCGAGGTGTTCCCCACCCCGATCCGTGCGACTGCTCACGGTATGTCCGCTGCCGCAGGAAAGCTTGGTGCTCTCCTGGCTTCCGTTCTGTACAGCTACATCGATACGCAGACCAAGTTCTATGTGGTTCCGTGGTTCGGTCTGGGTGGCATGCTCTTGACTTTCCTTTTCCTGCCTGACACCACCGGTCTCGATTTGAAGGAGCAAGAGCGTCGCTGGAACTACCTCCGCGCCGGCCGTGAGCATGAGTACCATGGCCCCGCCGTTCACTCCAAGCATCTGTCTCTCTGGGAACGCCTGCGCGGCGTTGGCAAGTACTACGATGCCGAAGAGGATTACAAGCAGAAGGTCGAGGAATACCGTGCGGAGTGGGAAGCCGCGATGGCCCGCAAAGTTTCCGAAAAGACCCCCGGCGAAGAGTTCCCAGTGGATACCGATGACACTCTCTTTGAAGGTCATGTTCACTCCTACTTCCACCGGACAAGCCCCATGTTCCGCCCGATGGAAAAGACCGGTCCGAATAAGGCCGATAACTTTGCCCTTCCTCCGGCCGCCCAGGAAGGTGACTCGGTGGACTCGTATGAAGAAAAGTGATAGGTTTCGTCGTTTCTATCTTTCGTTGTTTTATTTTTTTACTATACCCCGAAGCTGTGAATAGAGTCTGTTGTTGTTCTCTTTACATACTTGGATAATGATGTGGAGCAGGTGCTTCGTCTTTTTCTCTTCATGTTTATGCTTTTCTTTTTCTCTTTTTTTTTTCTTAACTGGACATACCCAAATGTGAAAATGTGCAACCTTGAAAACTGGTTTTCAATTCATGCCTTGCATTGTGCTGCATTAGGAAAATATGCCTGTTTGTGTCATGAAGTGGATGAATTTGAAATCATCGGGCGTTTGGGCGGTTGCGTGTAGAACCATCACTAGAGGTCAATGTAACTGAAATGATTCAATCTCACTGGATATCTCAGATTCTGGTAACTCAACTTATTCATGATTCCTTATCTTCCGTACAACCGGCATGGACGTCCGGTCTATGAATACATACATGCTACTGCATATCCTACGAAGTGACGTCGTTGCAACCCGGAATTTTGGTTACTACTCGGCCGAACTTGGTAGCTATTACTATTTCCGGACCTGCACGACATCTACTCCAGATTCTGCACAATCGACACTTTCCGCCCACCCTTTCCAGAGGAGAAAAAGGTCAGGTGACTCCGCTGGGATTCTGCCGTGTGCACGGAGCGGAGCGGAGGTTTTATGTGTGATGAAAGTCAAGGTGGATTAATAGTTGGTCCGATTACCGAGGCCGACAGACCCCTCATATACGGACACACACACACTCGGTTTAGATAGCCAAGCACTCATTCTATCACCTTTGTGTCTATAGAGATCAATGTTATCCTCCTTAGTGTAATTAAATTCGTCGCCTACAGCCTCGTGCAGTCCGGATAATCGACTCCCCCGACTTCCCCGATACGGAGTTTTAACCGCTACATTGGTTTATCCGTTTCAATGTGCAAGTGAAGGCGGTGAGGGCGGTGGGGTTTGATGTTTACGAGATGCTCTATCCGAACGAGGGAATTCGCCTTGTGGTGCTATTGATTGTTGTCATCGATCCAAGACTTTGGGCCTTGAATTTTCCTTTCCATAACATATATACAGAGCAAAGAACATGCCCCTCTTCGCATTCGGCTCCAACAGCTGTGGGCAACTAGCTCTGGGCCATGTAGAGGACGTATCGACATCTACAAGATGTCTATTCTACGAAGACCCAGACCCTACTACGCAGAGCGATATCATCCGCATCGCAACGGGTGGAAATCACACTCTCGTGCTTTTCGGGAATGGAGCGGTTTATGCTGTGGGGTCTAATGTGGATGGGAGGTGTGGGCGACAGCAACAACAGGGAAAAGAGGATGAGCCGTTACTGCGGTTCAGACGGGTTTTTCTCACCACAGAGGATGGGAAGGTGTATGACACGTTCAAGGATGTTTCTGCAACATGGGAGGGGAGCTTCCTAGTCGTGCGGTCTGAAGATGGCGATGTGACTCTCGTGCTTGGAACAGGGACAAAAGGCGAACTTGGGCTTGGATCTTCCAAAACACAATCTCTCACACCAACCAGAATCCCAGATTTTTCTCCCCCCGGGACACGAGTGGTTTCAATCACCAGTGGCATGGGTCATACAGTCGCCGTCTTGTCAAACGGCGAGGTATACGGCTGGGGCGGTGCGAGGAAGGGACAACTCGGGGAAGGTGCAAAGGCAGGAAAGATAGCATGGTCGCCTGTTAAGATTGCAGATGTGCCATTCTACGCGACGGCTGTTACCTGTGGACGAGAGTTTACGGTTGTTTCGGGTGATAAAGAGAAAGGGGAGTACGTGGTTCTGGGATCGAGTGATGATAAGTGGGGAATTCTTTCTGAACGGCCTGGTTCCATTTCTAATGATGGTGCTCGTGTGCTTCTGGCATATACTGGTATCTCTGCCGGTTGGCATGCAGTCTATGTACATCATCAACGCCAACGTGATTCTGATCCATCTATCACGGCTTGGGGCCGGAATGACCGCGGCCAACTTCCCCCGGCGGATTTACTCAGTTCGAAGATGTTGGCTGTGGGCAGTGAGCATACGCTTGTCCTTCTTGATGACGGGACGGTCGTGGCGTTTGGATGGGGTGAGCATGGGAATTGTGGTACTGAGGTCGATGCTCAAGGAAATGTTAAGGGGAGGTATAATAGGATCGAGGTGTCTGAGATCGGGCATGGGCGCGATGTTGTTGGTATCGGGGCGGGATGTGCTACTAGTTGGGTTGTCACATCGTGATCCGTCGTTTGATGGTTGGTTGGAGCATAAGAGATTCTCAATCGAAGAGATTCTCAATCGAAGAGACCGAGACCATGGAGCTGGGACATGCGCTGCGTGGGTGGAATTCCCATATCATCCTGCTCCTGCTCAACTGGCTCATCTCTGCGCAAGGTATGAGACTCGTTATCTTGCAACCGCCCGAGGCTCGCGCTAAACGTCTCCTACAGGGTTCAACTATTAGCCATACCCCTCGACAATGTCTGCTTGCACTAACCTGATCCGCTGTTGCATCCCATCCGAGCATATCTTCCGCTTCTTCTTCATCATTGGGTACATCCCACTGTCTATCATCATCTGCGGGAACGAACAGGCTATCGAATTCCATCGACGCTACTGTAGGCCGCTCGTTTTCCGTATTCCTGTTATTTGTTTCCCTCGAAGCAGAAGGTGTCCCCGTCAGTGGACGGATAGGCCGGCTGCGCGGGGCCGCAGCCGCAGGAGGAAGAGGCGGAGGCATGTCCGTCCGTCTGTTCTCCGGGGCCCGACTGCCAGGTCGATTCGCATTAACCTGTGCCGTTGGTTGCGACTGTCTTGCTAATGATTGACGAGCAGTACTTCGCGAAGAATTCGGAATGTCGTCATCACCGCTTGCCTCGCCTCTCGTCATCAGCGTGAACTCCGTTTTGACGCCTTCGAACTCGTAGGCTAGTTGCAGGGGGCGGCATGGACGTGTGTAGCGGGCTGTGAGGAGTGCGTTTGTGGTTTCGGCGTGGGTGATGGCTGCTTTGAAGTCTTTGATGCTGATGGCGATGTGGAGGTTTTCTTCTGCGAGGAAATCTTCGAAGTCCTTTTTGTCGATGGCGACGGAGGTGTGGACGGGTTGTTTGAGGATTTCTGAAAGCCGTCAGTATAGAACATAGATATTGCTTGTGATCTGCTACCTTTGCCCTCTGCAATCTTCGTGGTGAAACTTGTAAAGATGGCCTTATCTCCCTCGGGGTGGATGTCTAATTGCTCTGCCGACGGACTGAAATGGTCCGCGATCTCTCTCAGAAACTTAGGCTCGATAGTCCATTTATTTGCTGTTCTTGATCTGTCAAAGATCGCATGTTGGACATGGATAGGTTCATAAGTAAGCTTGTACGATTTGATAACGCCTATACGCTGGTTAGTTCGCCAACATAATACATGATAGATTGGATGTCATACCAAGTCCACAAATCATTCGAATAACGAGCCTGCATTCCGTCTGCTGCGCGTCTTCGCGTATCTCGACCTCGCATCGCTCAACGGCCGTGTCTTTGTCCTTTTCGCTAGTCCTTCCTTTGAAGACTGAGAGGAGTGCCTATTTCTTGTTAATGTCTGTACAGGAAGTAGCTGCCCCGATAATTGATTCTCACCTTGAGATATATCTGACAACAAAACCTATCTGGGCGTCTATTACTGCTGGATGCAGACGAGATGTCTCTGTTTGGACTGAACGAGTAGTTCTCGAAGAAACTGTCCGCTTCGAGCACGAATGCTGAATACGCTGTTTTGGTAGAGTTGAGAACGCTTAAACGAAGCTTTAATTATACAATCAAAATGTCAGCTATTCAATGTTTTCATTTTCTATGTAGGAGCCATAGCGCGTACCAAGTCATATTCGGCCTCGAGGGCAACGCTCTCGTTGAATTTGACCAGGCATGTTAGAGCTTCATGCAGTCGGACCAGTGAAGCTGGTGCTAGAGAGAAGGACAGGTGAGTCATTACTCCTATCAAACGAGCAAAATTGCCCTCCTCTTCTTCACTCTATATTCGTTGCTCGTAGGAGGATCTTGGATGCTTCTTCGCGGCACGACGCGAGATTACATAATCCTCCCGAAGCCCAAGTAAGGTGTCTCCCAGACGTGACTTGATGCATTTACAACGAAGAATCCATTAAATTGTCCATTGCAGCAAGAAGGGTCAAGAGACTAAGAATTGAAGTACCCAATATTATGTTTTGTTGATTTTGCAGTGCGACACGTGTGAAAATGGCCCCCAGCCTCCCGGCCGAGGTCCTGTATATGATCTTAGATCAGCTCCGAGATGAGAGAGACTACAACACTATCTATCAATTTGCACTGAGTTCGAAGTACTTCACAGAGCCGGCATTGTCGATTCTCTATCAGTATGTACCGACATGAAACTACGGTGTGCATATTTGCTGACTCATGACATCCCAGGTTGTATGATACCGCGCCAGTGACAGGCGGCGGTGCAACAGAGGACGAGCAGATCAAGGCTCGACGGACAGGAGGCTCAGTTGAGAATGCTAAACGACAGCAAGAAAAGACAATATGGAAATGGGCGGCTATGTGGCGCTCTGTTATCCTGTCCGCACTTGATCAGACCTATCTTCCATACTGCAACTATATCCGGCACTTGAACCTCGAGGATTTATCTGACTTACTCAGTCACTCTGGGTTCAAAGGAAAGACACACGAGTAAGTGTTCTGGGAGCCACAGATACATTAGGACAACCTCCTTCCCTCTCTGACGGAAGTATAGTTATTTCTTTACATCAGAACTTCGTGAAGCCGCAGGCCAACATAATTGGGATAGAAGGCTTCGGTCGAGAAGTGCCCAAGATATTCCTTTATTAGTGACCGGGTTTGGCTTAGGTAATCATTCCATTCGTGGCTAAGACTGGGAGACTCATTGTTTATCATCACGCTAACTTCTCGAAGCGATTATCAGAAATACAAATTCAATACGGGGCTTGTCCTGTAATAGTAAGTTTGTTGTCATCCAATAGTGTTAATTATGGCACTAATATATGGATATTAAGTCTCAACTGATACACTGTCCGACTGGCTTGAGCATCTACCGTCGTTGCAGACTCTATCAATCTGGGATGGAGGAAATCTTACGCAGCCTGTTGGAAACAAGATCCGCAATCACTGTCCTGAGTTCAAGCAAATCACGGCTTATAGATGGTATGTCGCTGGACACAAATGCTTTTGCTTGGATGTTGACAATGTTGTGATTAGGGCAAGTAACGGACCCTGGCACACGGAGGCTGAATCTGAACGGTTTCTCAACGAACTGAGGCCTCAGACACTTGAGCATTTCGAGGTTATCAGCTTCAATTTCCTGAGCAGTGACTCGATCAGTGGCCTAAGTTCCCATTTGAGTTCACTGACAGAACTGAAACTGACCTCTCTCGGTCTTAATGCCATCGCATCGCTGCCCTCATTAACAGCTCCACCCGCCCTAAGGGCGCTGGCCTTGACAGACTCGAAGGTTTTGGTGGACAATGATCTAGTCGAATCGATTGTTACGCATCTTGGTCAATGGATCCATAGTTGCAAGTCACTAAAAGAATTGCACATCAGAAGATTTGTCTTTGATCCTAACACATTGTTATCCCAGGCCCTTGCTAACGGTGGGCCTCGCCTGACTACCCTTTCGTTGTCTGACTATGCCGCAGCTGAAGCCCGCGAGTTTCATGAAACCTTGGGGTCACAAAAGACACTACAGAACCTCTACCTCAACGGAGAAGGCATGGAGCCGGTTGAAGACAACGTGCACCTCGTCCAGGCCTTCGCTGAGCTAAATGAAATACGTGTACTTGAGCTCAAGGGAGTATCCAACGGCTTCACTCCGGACCACGTCATGGCCTTGGTTGCATCGATTCCACGCGTGGAGAGACTCTGGATCGATGGCGACTACTTCGACGATAGCATTTGGCTTGCATTCCGCTGTCTTCCCAAACTGCGAAGTCTGGTCATTCAAGCGCTCAGCGAATTCTCGGAGCAGGCGATTATTAGTTTCGTCACTAAGCTCAAGTCAGGTAGCCACGGGTTTAATCTATCAATTATGAACTCGATAACAGAGGCCGAACTTTCGGAGGACGCGCAGAAATCAATACGAGATATCCTGGTCGGTGGATCGTTTGAATTCGGGCTGGCGCAAGGTGAGTACTCATATGGAAGTCGATTCCAGCGAAGGTGGTAGTTTGCTAATCAAAAGGACCAGAGGAATTTAGTGATATGAGTTCAGAGGACTTCTCGGATTGATCTTTCAATATTCCCTTTATGGTAGTGTAATAGTTGAGATTGTTGGGTATCGCCAGTATCTAGACTGTAATTTACTTCAAGTCATTAGAAGCAAACCAAAGAGATTCTGCTCTGCAGAGTTTATCAGTGATTTTCTCTTTCTCTTCTACTATCATCAATGACTTGAACATGATTGGTTTCGCTGCCCAGAAACCACTTAACAAAAGCGCGTTGCGGTCGCGTTCAGAGACGCGACCCGCATATCCTACGCGAATCGCCTGCTGCTGCCACCCCTTCCCCCAGACAACAACACACTTCTCCGATCTTTGCCTGGATTATCAAATTTTTTCTTTATTTGGCAGATTTGAGATACCAGACAGCCCATTAATGGACGCCAATCATTCAACCTAACCACCGAAGCAGTCCCCCATGCCTACTGCTCGCGAAAGAATTGCGGAGCTGCGGGCTCTCCGTGCCTCCGGAAAGAAGCGTATCGATACATACGAGGTAGAGGATCAGGGAGATATCTACGACGAGGTCGACGATGAGGGGTATAAGGACGTTATCCGCAATAGACTTGACGAGGACGATTTCGTCGTCGACGACAACGGCGCAGGGTATGCGGACGACGGTCGAGAAGTCTGGAATGAAGGTGCGCCAGAATACGATAGCGATAGTGACGAGGATGTGGAATTGCCAGTGAGGGGCAAGGCGGCTAAGAGGAAACATGAAGAGGAGGAGCAGAGGAAAGAGAAGATCAATAATGGGATTTCGAAATACTTCAAGAGTGGTGCCGCATCTGCTCCGAAGCTAAAAGTGGGTTTGCCGGTTCAATCGCGTCAAATTGAAGGCTGACAATCAATTTTTAATAGCCAGTTGCTACCGCTGAAGATGACTCTTTTATGGCCGGGCTCCTTAACGAGGTCGATACGAACGTTGTATCGAATCATGTACCCGCACCTAATGTGATCAAATCGGAAGCCCGACGAAAAGTTCGCATCCTCTCACCACCGATATCCCAGAAACCACCCGTTGAGAAACGCGAAAAGAGAGACGAGAATGCTGGCCCAATCTCGCCTGTCAGCCATGAGCCCCCCGCTGATGTCGACGACGACGGACCGCTTCCCCAGGCCGATGACGACGACGTTCCGATGAGCGATCCCATGCCATCGTCTCCCATAAGCAAGGCCGTTGAGCGAAAGACGGCCATTCCAATCAAGAAAGAGGAGTTTGACGATGACGATGATAACGACCTGATGGAAGTGGCAGAAGCCACGGGTGACAACGAGAACAAAACCAACGGTGTTAATATGATCGGTAGCCGGCTGCCTCCTAAGATCAAGCAGGAAAACCTTCCAACCCCCGCAAGCTCTTCGCCTCTCAAGCCAGCTCCTAATACTGTGAGCCCTTCGTGGAATGACGTGAGGAGCAAGTTGAATGTCCTGAGCAGCCCAGGAGGACCAGGGCCAGAGATGAAAACTTTCGGCAAACTTCAAGCTCAGGATGCCGTCGAAGAAGATGGAAGCTTACGCATGTTCTGGATAGATTTCACAGAAGTAAACGGCAACCTGTGCTTGTTTGGCAAAGTGAAGAACAAGCAGACAGGCGCCTTCGTGAGTGCATTCGTCAAGGTCAACAACGTCTTACGGAAACTTTACTTCCTTCCACGAGAACACCGGCAGAAGCATGGAAGGGAAACGGATGAAGAAGTCGACATGAAGGACGTCTATGAGGAAGTTGATGAAATGATGTCGAGACTTAAGGTTGGGATGCATAAAATCAAGCCGTGCACAAGAAAATATGCATTTGAGCTGTCAGATGTTCCAAAAGAAACAGAGTATCTGAAGCTCCTCTACCCTTACGACAAGCCCACGCTGCCAATGGATGTCAAGGGAGAGACATTTTCCCGTGTATTCGGAACGAACACATCTCTCTTTGAGCAATTCGTTTTGTGGAAGAACATCATGGGTCCTTGCTGGTTGCAAATTAATGAGGCCGACTTCTCTGCCGTCAACAATGCGTCCTGGTGTAAATTTGAATGTCAGGTCTCGAACCCGACCTCCATCAACCCTGTCCCCGAGACTGAGAACCTCGAAGCGCCGCCGCTCACGCTCATGAGTCTTTCGTTCAGAACGCAACTCAACGTGAAGGAAAACAAGCAAGAAATTCTCGTTGCAAGTGCCCGGGTCTACGAGGACATCGCGATCACAGATACTACACCTCCCGAGAAAATGCCCTGCAAAACATTTACTGTCATGCGCCCACCTAGCTCGACATATCCTCTGGGCTTCGAAGCCGAGGCGAAGAAGCAGCGTGGTGCTTTTATGTTGGAAAAGAGCGAGCAATTCTTGCTCAGCAAATTCCTGGCCTTGTTCGAAAGAATGGATCCCGACGTTATTATGGGGCACCAGCTGCAGGAAGTTGACCTCAGTATTTTGCTGAGCAGGTTAAAAGAAAAGAAAACGCCTGGCTGGCACCGTCTGGGACGATTAAAGCGTGGAGAATGGCCCAAGAACTTCAACCGGGGTGGCGGGTTCTTCGCTGAGAGGCACCTGATCGCTGGACGGTTGATGTGTGATGTGGCTAACGACATGGGCAAAGTAAGTCTTGATGTCTTCGGGATAATGGTAACGACTAAGCTAATGGCTGGTAGTCCTTGATGATGAAGTGTCAATCGTGGAGCTTGACCGAGATGTGTGAACTTTACCTTGGTCAGGGCAATTTGCGCCAGGAATTGGACCACGAGGCAGCATTGAAGACATGGGCCATTTCTAAAGAAGGACTGATGAACTTCGTGAACCATTGCGACACAGACACTTACTTCATCGCTGCGCTTATGCTGCGTCTTCAGATGCTTTCCTTAACCAAAGTTCTCACAAACATCGCCGGTAACTCTTGGGCACGAACACTCAGCGGTACGCGTGCGGAGCGTAACGAGTACATTCTGCTTCACGAATTCCACCGAAACAAGTACATTTGCCCTGACAAGTATGCATCCAAGTTGCAGAAGGCAGAAGAAAAGATGCAGGAGGGCGACGAAGACGAATCGGTCGACAAGAAGAAGAAAGACAAGTTCAAGGGAGGTCTCGTCTTCGAACCGGAAAAGGGCCTTTACGACCGTTTCATCCTTGTTATGGACTTCAACAGTTTGTATCCCAGTATCATCCAGGAGTATAACATTTGCTTCACGACAGTCGAGCGAACGGCAACTGTATGTGTTCTCATTTCCTCATTCTCGTCTCAATTATACTGATCCTATGTTCTCCAGGCTGAAAATGAAAACGACGAAAAAGTACCTGAAGTTCCTCCCTCAGAACAGGAGCAGGGTGTTCTGCCTCGGTTGATTGCCGCCCTTGTTGGTCGTCGTCGTGAAGTGAAAAAGCTCATGAAAGACAAACGCGCCACACCTGAACAGCTTGCTCTGTGGGATACAAAGCAGCTGGCGTTTAAGCTGACTGCCAACTCCATGTACGGATGTTTGGGTTACACCCAGAGTCGATTCTACGCTCGTCCCCTGGCCATGCTTACCACATTCAAGGGCCGCGAGATTCTCAGGAGCACCAAGGAGTTGGCCGAAAGCAGCCAACTTAGAGTCATCTATGGTGATACTGACTCCGTTATGATCAACACTAACATGGACACTGTCAGCGACGCCCTCAAAGTCGGTGAGGAGTTCAAGAAGACCGTCAACGAACGATACCGGCTCTTGGAAATTGATATTGATAACATCTTCCGTCGACTCTTGCTGCATGCCAAGAAGAAGTATGCGGCCATCAACATGACTGAAGTGGATGGCAAGTATGTGGACAAGCTCGAAGTCAAGGGTCTGGACATGAGGAGACGTGAATACTGTGCTTTGTCCAAGGAAGTTTCGCAAAGACTTCTGAATGAGGTCCTTTCGGGTGAAGATCAAGAACTGGTTCTCAACCGGGTCCATGACTACCTACGCGACCTCGCCGCCAAAATGCACGACTACTCGATTCACGTCCAGAAATACGTCATCTACACGGTAGGTCGAGCTGTTAGACCATTTGCTTTCTAGCAACATGCTAACTATGCTTGTAGAAACTTTCGAAACGGCCAGAGGAATATCCGAACAAAGAAAGCATGCCTCCGGCTCAGGTCGCGCTACGTGAGCTTACACGTGGTAAAACGGTCCGTCCCAACGATGTCATTTCGTACATTGTGACGAATGGAGACGCGGAAACTGCTTCTCTCCCCCCGGCGAAGCGGTCGTATACCCTTCAAGACGTGATCAAACCCGATTCGGCGTTGAAGCCGGACATTGAATTTTACCTTCTCAAGCAGATCTTCCCTCCCATTGAGCGTCTCTGTGCCCCTATCCCAGGCACAGACGCCGTGCGGCTGGCTGAATGCTTGGGACTCGATATTCGCAAGTATCAAATCAACAACACCTCCAGTGGAGGCAACCAGCAGAACACGGACATCTTCCCATTGGAGTCACAAATCCCAGACTCTGTCCGTTTCGAGAATGCTGTTCGCTTCACCTTGACATGTCGATCCTGCAAGGAGAGGTCGGTGTTCGAAGGAGTGGCGGCTTCATCCAACATGTGCACACCCAACGGTCTCATCTGTCCGAACCAAGGTTGTCAGAGGCCGTTCTCAGTTCTGACAATCGTCGCACAGCTGGAGAGCCAAATCCGAGCACAGGCTTCCAAGTACTACGAAAGCTGGCTCGTTTGCGACGATTCTGCATGTGGCAACCGTACACGCCAGATTAGCGTCTATGGACACCGATGCCTTGGGCCGCGGGGCCACGCTGAAGGCTGTCTGGGACGAATGTCTTACGAATACACGGAAAAGCAACTCTACAACCAGCTGCTTTACTTCGCTGGTCTCTTCGATGCGGACAAGATCAAGGCCGCGGCCGCAAAGGAGACTGGGGAAAAGAAGGACAGTGTAGCGGCTCTGGTCGAATTCAACCGGACCCGATTCGGTACCATTAAGAGCGTGGTGGATGCTTATCTGAAGAAGTGCGGACGGCAATGGGTCGAGATGGACAGTTTGTTCCGTTTCATGCTTTAGTGAAGAGGAAAGCCGTGCCCTGGTGGCATGACAATGACGGGTACCTGTATATAGTATGCTTGGGTTGGTATGGTATATGGATGCGATTGGGATCTTTATTGTTTCTTCTGTGGATAGCATAATTGGTTCGATGGATTATGAGGTGTTCATAATATTATCATGGCATGAATGACATTAGTTTGTTAGGTTGAATTCCCATATTGATTCAAGTTTGTCCCCATAATTTCTAGTTCCTGCGACACAATGGAGTCGACCGATGACAGTTCAGATTAATTAAAACCGGCTATGATGTTTTCCAGCCCCACGGCAGCTCCCCGCTGATGTCCTACCAACTTCTCTCTGCGATTTCAACGAGACATTGCTGCTCGGGATACAATTGGGAGCCATAACACTATTCGGACTCGTTCATATTTTATTGCCTTGCTTGATTATAATCCATGTATCTTTCCCGGTTCACCGTTATGGTCAAAAAGGTCCTGGTCATCGCCGGATCCGACAGCTCGGGAGGCGCGTATGTCTCTCTCTACGCTCACTTTTGCATTTGCAGGACACTAATTAGCAATGTGAATACAGAGGTCTCGAAGCTGACCAACGGGTTCTGACTGCGCACGGATGCTACGCCCTCACAGCGACAACAGGTCTCACGGCGCAAAACACACTGGGCGTGCAGGACATTTTCGTCGTCCCGGCGGAGTTCGTGAGGAAACAGATCAATGCCGGTTTGGAAGACGTTGGAGCTGATGTGGTGAAATTGGGTAAGAATTGATCGGGCTGGGAGATAAAGAAAGGTTCTTTCTAATTGATTGGTGTCAAGGGATGCTTTCGTCTACGGAGACCATCCATGTCATTGCGGAGGCATTGGAGTCGCATAAGGTGCCTGTGGTGGTGTTGGATCCGGTATATATCTTTGCGCACCGGTCATTCAAAGCTCACCAGGATACAATTGCTGACGCAAAGCGAGATATAGGTCATGATCTCCACGAGCGGATCCCAATTATTACCGGAAGCTGCCGTCAAGGAACTGCGCACCAGATTGCTCCCCATCACGACCGTCGTTACTCCCAACATCCCCGAAGCGAAACTTCTACTGAAAGACGCCGGAACGGACGCCCCAGAACCAGAAGATCTCCCCTCGTTAATACAACTTGCAAAACAAATCAGCACCTTAGGACCGAAGGCGGTTCTGCTCAAGGGTGGTCATTTGGCCCTGACAAGGGACCATAAGATTGCTCGTGACCAACGTGAAGCCTCGTTGGTGGTTGATGTTCTCTATGATGGGAAGGATGTTACTCTTTTCGAGACGGACTATTTGGTATCAAAGAACACACACGGCACTGGATGTTCCCTGGCGTCTGCCATTGCGGCCAACCTGGCCCTGGGCAAGACGTTGAAGCGGGCTATTCGGGGCGCTGTGCGGTTTGTCGAGGCAGGGATTAAGACCAGCACTGATTTGGGTAAAGGAAGTGGACCAATCAACCATTTCCATTCGTTTTACAGTTTGCCTTTTGCGCCGTACGTTGATTCTATACTCTCGGTTATCCGTTATGGCAATCTGCTAACAGGATAAAGGGGCCGGTTTCTGGAATACGCATTAGACCGCGATGATGTTCGTCCCGTATGGAAACATTTCACAGAGCATACATTCGTGCAGGGTATAGCGAATGGCTCGCTTCCCGAGGGACGATTCAAGCATTACCTCGTGCAAGATTATCTCTACCTGGTATGGTTATTCACTGCCTCGTTTATTGATCCATTGTTGCAGTTTCTGATGAATTTACAGGTTCACTTTGCCCGGAGCAATGCACTGGCGTCATACAAGGGGAAGAGTATGGAATCTATTGCAGCGGTAAGCCCACTTCCTGTGAATGATCTGAATATGGCTTGTTGGAATCTAATGCGGTATAGTCTGCCCGGATTGTATTGCACATTGAGCGCGAGATGGCATTGCATCTGGACTACTGTGCCTCTTTTGGATTGTCTAAGCAAGATATGGAGAGCTTTCCTGAGACGATTGGTACACATACATTCCCTATCCCGTTGTCCTGATTTCCGATTGTCGCTAACGACTTGTGCCCGACAGCATGCACGGGATACAGTAGATATATCCTCGACGTAGGTCAATCAGAAGATTGGCTCGCATTACAGATGGCGCTGGCCCCTTGCTTGGTTGGATACGGCGCCATTGCCAAAAGACTATATTCAGAGGAGCAGACTCTCCGCACAGGAAACCGATACTGGAAATGGATTGAGAACTATGTTGCAGAAGACTATACGGAGGCAGTCCGGTTGGGATCCGGTAAGTATATTCTTTCCCTCTTTCTCCGATATGCAAATAACACTTTCAGAACTGCTGGAGGCACACATGCGAAAGATTTCACCGAGCCGGGTGGAAGAACTCATCAAGATCTTCATCCGAGCAACAGAATTGGAATGCAGCTTTTGGGACATGGGACTAGGCCATCAAGTATAGAATTTATTCTACGCATCAAAATGTCAATAGTTGGTACATACAAACTTTGAACTGGGTCGAGACTCGACACTGATAAGAGGCAAAAAAAAAAAAAAAAAAAAAAAAAGGCGGTGACGGAAATTTTCTCCCGCTAATCCCGAAAAGGCAATTGTCGCATTCGCCGCCCAGCGCCTTCCATCTTTTTTCTTCTTGAACAGTTTTCTTCCTCTTCATTCACCTTCTTCATCCTCATCATCTTATTCCCTTTTCATTCTCCCCCTCTCTCTTTTTTTCTCCCCTTCTGGACGCGATAGAGTGTCATCCTATTTATTTCTCTCCCCCCTTTTTTCTCCTAGTCTTCACGGACGTTTTTTCCCTGTCTTTTTTGATCCGAAAACACTTGAGATTTCATCATGTCGTACAGTGGCGGCTACCGTGGTGACTCCTACCGGTAAGTTCTTACTTTTTATCAGGGGAGAGTTTTGAAATCACTTGGGCTATGTCCTGCTCGGCGTTGCGTTGGGAAGAAAACTCGCGCTTGGGCACAGTTTTTCTCAAATCACCGCCGTGTCTAGCGCGTTAGTTCTCGGTGGCGTTTTTCTTTTTTTGCTTTTTAAGCCACCTTTCCCCAACGCAATGGCCCTGACTGGGAAAGACTCGTGACTTGGGACTTCCTCTGATCCCCCGTTTGGAGAGTAAAAGAAACAATTAGCTAACAGAAGCTACAGGGGTGGTTCGAACGGTTACTCTAACGGCGGCGGTGGCGGCGGTGGCGGCGGTTACGGAGGTGGTGGCTATGGCGGAGGCTACGGAGGAGGTGGTTACGGTGGTGGTTACGGTGGAAGAGGCGGCGGTGGTGCTGGTGCTGGTGGTGACCGCATGTCCAACCTTGGCTCCGGCCTCAAGAAGCAGGACTTTGGTAAGTTAAGATAATATTGTTGCCCTTGGGCGTTTGACGCGTCGGGCAGTGACGCTAACCGGATTTTGCAGACATGGACTCCCTCCCCAAGTTTGAGAAGGCCTTCTACAAGGAGCACCCCGACGTCACCAACCGCTCCCAGCAAGAAGTTGATGACTTCCGCAAGAAGCACGAGATGGCCGTTCAGGGCAAGGACATTCCTCGCCCCGTTGAGACCTTCGATGAGGCCGGCTTCCCTCAGTATGTTTTGACCGAAGTCAAGGCTCAGGGATTTGAACGCCCAACTTCCATCCAGTCCCAGGGCTGGCCCATGGCTCTCTCCGGTCGCGACGTCGTTGGTATCGCTGAAACCGGTTCTGGAAAGACCCTGAGTTACTGTCTTCCGGCTATCGTTCACATCAACGCTCAGCCTCTTCTTGCTCCTGGTGACGGTCCTATTGTTCTTGTCCTTGCTCCCACTCGTGAACTTGCCGTTCAGATTCAAGCCGAAATCACCAAGTTCGGAAAGTCATCGCGTATCCGCAACACCTGTATCTACGGTGGTGTTCCCAAGGGTCCTCAGATCCGTGACTTGAGCCGTGGTGTTGAAGTTTGCATTGCGACCCCCGGTCGTCTGATCGACATGCTAGAGGCCGGCCGGACCAACCTCCACCGTGTCACGTACCTTGTTCTCGATGAGGCTGATCGCATGCTGGACATGGGTTTCGAGCCTCAGATCCGCAAGATCATCTCCCAGATCCGTCCCGACAGACAGACTTGCATGTGGTCCGCTACTTGGCCCAAGGAGGTCCGCCAGCTTGCCTCGGACTTCCTGAACGACTACATTCAGGTTAACGTCGGTTCGATGGACCTTTCTGCTAACCACAGAATTACTCAAATCGTTGAGGTCGTTTCGGACTTTGAGAAGCGTGACAGAATGCTTAAGCACCTTGAGAAGATCATGGAAACCCGAACCAATAAGATCCTCCTTTTCACGGCAACCAAGCGTGTTGCAGACGAGATCACTCGCTTCCTCCGTCAGGATGGATGGCCCGCGCTCTGTAAGTTACTTACATCCAGGTTTCAATCCCAATTCATCGTGCTGACAGTTGAACACAGCCATTCACGGTGACAAGCAGCAGCAAGAAAGAGATTGGGTTCTGAACGAGTTCAAGGCGGGCAAGAGCCCGATCATGGTGGCTACTGATGTGGCTTCCCGTGGTATTGGTATGATAAATTTGCGATCCAAACCCCCTCCCCTCCCCCGCCCCCACAGTCCTTTCTTTTTGTCACCCTCACCTATAATTGAGGTTGTGTGACAACGGCAAGGTGCTCAACTCTTTTTAAGACGCCATGTTGGTGTACTTGACTCGTCCAGGCTTGTCGGGTCTTCTCGAATGGTTTTCACACCAGGAGGACCTTGGACTCACAGTGCAGTATAGCAGATGCATGTTTCATTTTATCACTGTCTTCTGTTGTCGTGACATTCGATCTCTATCCCTAACCTGGTAGAGAGATGGAAGTTCCTGCTTCTTTTGACTTTCGTGTTGAAGCTGCATTCCAAGGTTGCTCCAGGGCCGCGATTTTTGCCAGCCAATGGACCACACGCTCCAACGGATCTTTTACATGAAAAAGAATCCATGCGAGAAAGAGATTGATGCATCAAGTCTCACATGACTGAGAAAGGGCCCCTCTGGCCACGTTGCTCTTGACTAATGCTCTGTTTGCTAACCAAAAAACTTATCTAAAGATGTTCGCGACATCACTCATGTGCTGAACTATGACTATCCCAACAACTCCGAAGACTACATTCACCGTATCGGTAGAACCGGTCGTGCTGGCGCCAATGGAACTGCCATTACCTTCTTCACCACTGACAGTAAGTTCTTCATTCCTTCGGTTACGTCTCTTACTAACAACTCGTTCTAGACTCTAAGCAGGCTCGTGACTTGGTCAAGATCCTTACTGAGGCTAAGCAGCAGATTGAACCCCGTCTCGCTGAGATGGTTCGCTACAGTGGCGGCGGCGGTGGTGGCTATGGCGGTGGTTACGGCCGTTGGGGTGGTCGCGGTGGTGGTCGCGGCCGTGGTGGTGGTGGTGGTGGTGGCGGCCGTGGTAATAGTTTCACTGCCTCCAACGCTGCGCCGATTGCTGGTAACCGTCGTTGGTAAGGCGATCATGATGCCCAGTTCAGTCATTGAGCTCGTATCCCATTGTCATCTTGGTATCATTTTGCCCCTCTATTGTTCCCCCGATTTCCATTCCGTAACTCGGCGCGGGCGGCGTTCGTCGATGTCACGATAGACTTGTTTCTTTTTGTTTTTCTTTGGGTGTCTGGGGAAAAAGTGTATGCTGACAGGATCGGGTTATGCCGGCATCACCTTACTCTATCTTCCCATGCGCGTATTTGTTAATTAGGGTCAGTCAAAAGTTCTAATTTTGGCTCGTCAGCGGTATGGATGGGCTTTCGACGAGCTTTAGCTTAGTTTTGCATGTCATTTTAGAAATGTATCTATTACTGGATGCTTTCGTGCTGTGGTTGGTGATTTCTATCTTAATTGATGTTGGATTACTCTGTACTTGAAATTACTCTCATTACATAGGTCTATGTCTCAGGTCGAAGTCCAGCGCCCCTCCCGCCCCCTGGCAACCTAATGCGCGGAGTACGCAGTGGCAGGTTGAAACATGCCGAAAATATATGTATCTGTAACCACTGGTGTCAATGATGATCAGCTTTCGAGTCAAGTGGGTGTTCTTGGAGCACTGAGCGCCATCTGCTCAGGGGTTTTCCAAGTGGGATTGACAGGAGAGCAATGTTTATTGTGACATTGTCCTTAGTATATCTAATTCTGTACGGAGTCCACTTCCCCATCTAGTAGCCAGCGTTAGATAAATTCACACAGGTAACTACAACATTCTATCTCACCCGAGAATTATAACCCACACTACGTAAATAAAAGCACTCAAAACATAGCCAACTATACACTGTCAAAGCACTCCGTACAACTGCTCTATACAACCACCAAAACAAGCTAGATGCAAACTAACCACAAAGGGAATAGTCCACAGGACTAGGGCTCGGGATTTCCGGGTGTGGCAGAATTGGTTCGGGTTGGCTTTAGAGCGGCCGAAGAATATGCATCGAATGCTTACACTACTGCACAAGTACAAGCATGCAGACTGTACAGGTAGGGTACAGGGTAGTAGCATGTTGATGAAGAACGTTGTGCTTCATGGGTCGTTTTCTAAGGTATATATATCCTAGTCACGGGGTAGTACGGAGTACTCTGTAGGGAAATACTTCCACTGCATAAACACGAGGGAGGATGCTCATCCACCACGGCTGAAGGCCTTACACCCCACAGGATTTAAACTGTGCTATGAATGGACCGTGTATCGCAGATCGCGCTATAGTACAATTTAGTATGGAGTATCCGTACTCGAGTAAGCACAAAGGACGTGCTTTGTGCAGAGAATATCAGCTGGTGCTTCAACGCTCAAGTCCATGAATGTTATTTGTCCATATGCTCTCCCCTGTACTCTGTAATGCTCACGTGAATAACCAACGACATAACTGACTCAGCAACACATGACTCGATACGATACCCCTTCCCCTGATATGTTGGCTCCGTATTCCCAACTCTCCCTACTCGTATTCTGACCAATTAATTGGGCTTTTTACCCCTGGCCAGTCGATGCATACGGGGTACGGCGGGTGTACAGAATGCATATGCATATAACAATAACAGGAATTGGTTCTACAAAGTTACGGAGTCGGGATTAATTTGGGAGGGAACCACCGGGTACCAGGGAAAAGAGTGAGATCGTCGATATCGGAATATCTCTATGAAGGTTGAGTGTTGGCATTCCGTAGGATTCAGAATATGGTTCAGGAACATACTCTGAGTATTCCGTACAGTACTCTGTACTAAGAGAATTGTAGGGTATCGGGGAGCATCCGAAATAACGATCATAGTCGCAACCCCGGAATCATCCTCGTCCACTCCGTCTTGTAAGGAGTACTCCGTACTCCGTAGACGGAGGATACTCCAGAGAACTGGACACTGTCAGTAAGATGATTGATCTTCCGAGATGAGCAATTGAAAAATCGCGATTATGCATGGTGATTTGTTTTATGTCCTTGTATGTTGCAAATTAACCTCACGTTGAGAGTCTCCTACCTCTTCTGTCTTCTGATAAAAAACTCACCGGTCAACAAGCAGTCCCTCCCGATTCCGCCCTGTGCGGGGATCGCAATAGCACCAATTAGGGGCCGTACAAACCCAGTCTAGTGTGGTGGAGAGGTTTCCGAGGAAAGCGCCGTGCAGCGTGCAGCGCCCCTTTTCTTTTTGGCTGCCAGATTAAAGTCGAGATAATATCAACTGCCGGTTATCCGTACTGTAAGTATGCAGATGGAAGAAGAGATATGTATATGTTTAATATCGAGACAAAGTACAAAGTACAGTCTGTATCCAAGCACACTGTTATGTTTGCAGAGTGACCAATTCAACCGTCATCTGAGGCCATGATTCAATGTCATGATTGATTGGTCAGCTGCCTCGTGCCCCACCGACGCGTTCCTGTATCGTATTGACGTGACAGTTCTACTGTACTCCGCTTTGAGTACTACTCCGTACAGAGTACGAGACAAAGCAGTAGTGATACTCGTAGAGATGTTCATTTTCAAGATATTTCTTTTGATTAACCAGATCTATACAGAGCACGGGGTACTATGTACTCTGTACTTTAGTGAGCACCACTACAGAGTGAGGAGTACTTTGTGTGAAAAAAGTACAGAGTACATATCCGTAGGTATTATTGGTAATTGCCATACGAACGTACGGAGAAGTACCGGGCAACGCGCAGCAGCTGTCACTTTTTTTTTTTTCTCTTTTCACTTTTTCTCTCTCTCACAGTCCACAGTCCACAGTGTCTTTTATCTCTTCTCTCAACGATAGCCAACGAATCTCTATCAAGTCAGTTTCCAACCCGCCAAAGCAGTTAATATTCTCGTCTCATCCATACGGAGTACTCTGTACACATACTTGTACATACTCGTACAGCACTAGCGCGCACGCTACTCACGCTCTCCTCGGCCGGTCCGCGGGCGCACCTTACCCAGTTTATCCTAGCGCCAGTTAGCGTCCTCCATCAACGCTACTACAGACCACTATCAGAGCTTTCCGTTCCTGTACTGAGAAGCCCTGATCTTGGTACGGGTAAACCCACGGACGGCCATTTAGTACTAAGTAGTAGTACTAGGAAGACTACTTTTTTACCTTTGCCTGGGTTACGCGCGCATCACTACTGGTCTACCACTTTGCTGTTCCCGAATCGCGGGTAGACTAAGCTCTAAATCTACCTACCTACTTGATCCAGTACGATCAGTTCCGTGTTGACCTACTACTACTTCGGAGCATATCCCGAATAATTAAACAGAAGAACGGGTTTTTCTATCACGTCAAAATCAAATACCTCTGGGCAAGCATTCAGTCACCTGATAAAAGGGGCCGAAATAATAATAATTAAAAAAAAAAAAAAAAATCTAACCCTTTTCGCCACTTGTCGCGGAGAGTTCCGCTTTGAGCAAGAACATCATCCTGAGAAAGGGTACGGATACTGCACATTGTGCTCCGGAGCAAAAAGAATAACTAGAGAACAGAAAGTGTGTTTTCTTTTGATATCTTTTCGGACACTGGCCAAAAGAAGAACCGTCACCGTACAGCGACCGGGTCCCAATCTCGCCGCTGATATTCCGACAATACTCTCTTTTTTTGTGTGTTGTTGTGGTCTTCCGGTGTCGTTCTCCTTTTTTATTCTTTTTGGCGATACGGTATTACTGGTTCCCCTATTCCAGTTTCTCTTCTACCAACGTGCCTCTGATTCGCCATATCTCGACCCACGAGCACCACATCTCCACCGAGCAGCCCACCACTACCACCACTGTCCACCACCGGATCCCACGAGAAGTGCTCTCCCTTCTTCCCTTCTTCTTTCGCTGTCTTTCTCTCTCGCGCACTGTCCGACCTGAAGCCTTTTAGGGGCCGCTTGCTGCTCTCGTTTTTAGGGTGACCGCCAGATTGACCCGAGCCCAATCCCCGTTCAGTACGCCGTCTGCGGGTGTTCTTCTAGTTCGGCCGTGGACAAACCTTGTTTTTTTCATTTGGTTCTGCTCCCCTAAAGTGGTCATTTATTGAAATTAATCTCGTTATCTTATTTGGTTTTTTATTACCGCCGGCCCTCGTGCGCTTTCCTCCGCCGCGACCACCTGCACCAACACCTTCATCTGGTTCCCCTCCGTCGTTTTCCCTAGAGGCTGAACTAAGTCAATTAAGCATCGCGATCCCCGGAAAACGGGCGCAACGACAAAATAACACCCGGAAAAGTCCTCTGGTGAACAGGGATAAGGATAAAAGAAAAAAGAAAAAAGAGGTCATCGACAACTTCTTACCAGACCTAACACCCCCCGCCGATCCTTTCTTTTTTCTCTCTTCTCAATCTTTTTTCGGCGATACTCTCCTCTACTACTTACTACCGCGACTTTCTCTCCCTCACTCGACAAGCTACTACCGGGAGATAATAACAGGTTGATCGAAAAGGAACAAGCGCGCATTGGTTTTGTGTGTCGGACCTTGATTCTACAGTACGTGATATCAGAAAAAAAAAAATTATTCGCCAAACAGCAATAGGGAACCACACAGCAGGAGGCCGAGGAGAAAAGAAAAAGAAAAGAAAGCGATTCTCTTAGCTGCCCCGTCGCCTCGAGAATTCAATCTATTCTTTTCTCTTCTTTTCCCTTTTTCTCCTTTCCCACTCAAACTCATTCTATACGACTGGAAGCTCATTCTCGACGCGTCGTCCGCACAAAACAGGCCCCGCAGGTTACTTGGAGGATCTTTTTTCGGAAAGAAACAGAACAGAAACACCACCTATATGGATAACAGACCTGCTCCGGAGTACGCGCAGCCAGGTTCGCAATTTCCGTATCCACCGTCTGTCGCGCCTTCTTCTGAACTTCCAGCTGTAGACCAGGCTTCGGCTGCTGCAGCCCCTACTCCTTACACCCCTCAAACGGAGGTTCGCCCGGCTCCTCAGTATACGCCCCAGCCCGACATCCGTCCCACCGGGACAACCGCCAACATTTCGTCTTCCAACACCCCTCAGTCAGACTACGGTCTGAACCAGCCTCCTGCAGCCGCCGCCGCGCGCTCCCCCGCCTATGATTATATGCCTCGACCTCAATACCATCACGCGCCCAGCACTCAGGCCGGCGGCGCGGCAGGTATGGCTCAAGCAACAAGTCCGTCTATCACCACCCTCGGTAGTAGTGATGGTCAATCGCATATTGACCATCACGCTCCATCCAACAACATCAACAGTAATCAAAACAACAACATGAAATCTGACACCGACGTTCCTATAGATCCCTCCATCGCAGCCTCCAGTCCCACCTATCCGCCTCCCTACTCGCCCTATCAGCCACAGGGTCATGACATGTCTCAGTATCAAGGTCACCCTCCGCCTCCGCCGCCACAAATGTATGCGCGCCCCGAATGGCCGCACGGTTACGCTCAACATGGGCATCACATACCTCCCTATAGCGCTCCTGCTACTACGGTTGGTCTCACTACAAATTGTTCTCGATGATCGGAAAGCTCATTGAATTCGTATAGGTCTACTCGTTCGTCCCCATTCCCGGTGCCCAGCAACATAAGCGCCCCCGCCGTCGTTACGAAGAGATTGAACGGATGTACAAATGTGGATGGAATGGCTGTGAAAAGGCCTATGGCACATTGAACCACTTGAACGCACATGTCACAATGCAGTCGCATGGTGCCAAGCGGACTCCTGAAGGTATGCTTCTTTTTCTATTGATTTCGTTGATTTTTGGTCGCTTTTTGAAGGCATCGAAATGCTTCAATATGAATTGAGTTATCGCAATGCCTCGATTCGGCTAGCGCGGGTTGGCGGGCGCTAGTCGAGTTACACTGCTTTGGTGCGCCCGGACCGCGCAGTAGTGCCCGTGGCCGGTGTGGACGCTAATGCGCTCGCTAATGTCACCTTGTGGCGGGTGGCGACAACGTCGGCTAACTAAGCGCGTTCTAATTCAATGCATGTTACATGGAGAACGTGGCTGACATCGTTTTTCTCTACAGAATTCAAGGAGATCCGAAAGGAATGGAAGGCCCGCAAGAAGGAGGAAGAGTCTCAGCGTAAGGCTGCCGAGGAACGTGAGCGTGCTGCTGCTGCTCAAGCCGCTCAAGCCAACCATGTCGAAGCTCCTGGAGCGCCAGACCCGACACAAGCTGCGGCCACTCAACCTCCGGCCTACCCTGGCGGTGTCCGTCCTCAACTACCTCCGATCGGGTACCAACCCGCTGACGGCCAGGTGCATGGCGGGTACGGTGCTGCCGGTGGTATGGTCTACCAGAATGGCCAGATGGCGTACCCTCCTAACTACCCTCACTCTCCTTACACACAGGGTGGTCAAATGTATCAACCACGTAAGTAGTCATATCCCCCGTTCTTTTTGCGTTCGTTCTATCAGGATTGGGAAATCATGTGAAAGAAAGTATATCCACGAAACAAAAAAGGCTGTCAAGAATCAGGCCTTGGGGTTTTCTTTCCAATTCATCTTTCGTTCTGTCTCATGCGTTTTGTTTGTCCAAGTGGGATTATCAGCTGATCAATGTTGATGGCTTCCAGAAAACCAACCAGGCAGCTACCCACAATAAATGTTTCCTGCCCTTTCTTCTCTCATCTCCCTGTTCTCTTTTTCGGACTGCATACTTTTAATAACAGTCTTCTTCTTTAATCCTGTACTGCCAACCCTGGTCTAATTCTTGAGTCATTTTGCACATGATACCACTTTCTGGTCCTTGTTTAATTCGCTTTGTTTAACGAGTCTTCTTTGACTTACGCTTCTATTATTTTTCCAGTTACGTTTTATTCGAATTAGATCGTGTGGGAGGGACAAAAGCAAAACAAAAAGCAAAACACACTACCTTAATCGATTGGGGCCCCGAGGTTCTTCTTACCCGCGAGGATATCGGCTTACAGGACCACGACTCCTCTATTTTTTTTCTTGTCCTTCTTTCTTTCTCGGATCTTCTTTGAAGGGAAGGATTTCTTTTGCATTAGCTGAGCAATATATCTTTTCTTGCTGTTCTTTACGTGCGGATTTTCGTCGTTTCAGCCTTTGTCTTCGTTGCTGCTATGCTTGGTTGGTTTGCTTCGCCTCTTGTTATTACCCTGGGCTTGCTTGGCCTCTGCGTTGAATTGTGCATTATGCTCTGGTGGATTGAGTCTTTTGTCGGATACAGTTAATTGATTAGGAATGAGGTCGATGTTACTGAATGACTGACTTTAAAACACATCCTCTTGAATATACTACTATTTCTAATTTGACCAACATACCATACATATCACACAGCAACAAAGTACAGTATTAAAACACAAAATAAGTTTAGATAAGCCCCGATATCCCCCAAAACTAGCGATACACAGACCCTCGATCTAGCGCATAGACACTGCGTTAGTCCATCCTCTGTATCCTATACTACGCACGCAATAGTCCGTTACGATCCATAGATCTAGGGCAATAGATGTATCATAGGGCATGCGGGTTTAATGGTCCCTTGCTTGATTTAGTTCGTTGTTAGCATCGGTTCTGTGGCGGCGGCGTAGGGCTGAGCGGAGTCTATTCGATTGTTAGGGTCAGTTTGGAAATGAGGAGTCTGAGGCGTTAAGCTTTTTTCTTTCTTAGTGTAGTGGTTTGTATAGGGCGAATTGACTGTTATATTTTACGGATGGATAGTGTTATTGACCCTTGTTTGTTCCTGGATAGGATGCCTATACGGAGTATGGCTGTGCGAAAAGAACTCAGACTGCCATTTGGATAGTGTCATTTTATTGAATCTTGATTGAATCGTAGCTCGATTCCAAATCTCAAAAGAAAAAAAAGGACCATAAAAAAAAAACCAAAGCATAAGTACTGCATAAAGCGATAACATTACTAATCACGCATAGTCCGCATAACCCAATTTTTCAAAAAGTTCCCGGCGCAAGACCGGCTAAACACCGATCTCGAAATTTGCCTCTCGCTGCTTTTGTCCCTTCGCTCGCCATTTGACATTATCACGAACACTACGGCTTGTCGAATTCTCTCCCCGCGCATACTCGATACCTATTCCGAAGCAACGACCAGACCCGAACCATACGAACGCAGTATTAGATGCTTCGCTGCAGCAATGTCGGCGCCCTGCAGACGGCAGCCGGGAGGGGTACGGCGCTGAGGTTGATACAGTCGAGCTATGCTGGGTATTTCAGAGCTAGGGTAATTGGGTTACAGTCCCCGATTTCGAGTGGCGCAGTTGCGCAAAGGATACCGGGGAGGGGCAATCTAGAACCATCGCCGTTTTGTGTGCGCGCTGTTGGTGGATCGAGAACATACGCTACGGATGCAGACGCAGCCGAGGATATCCCCGGGGAAGAAAACGACGATGCCCCCGTTACGCGCACACCTACAGACGAGAAAACCGAAAAGTCACGCGGGGCACCGAGAAAACGAGACTCACTACTCCTCGAGCTCGCAAAAGAGGGAACCTCGCCAAAAGCCCGAGAGGAAAGGAAGCAGGAGCAGAGGGGGTGGAGTAATTTCAGCCTCGAGGAAATTAGAAGGGCCGAAGCTGCGGCGAACAGGGAGGTTATTTGGTTGACGGATCGGGCGACGTTGGCGGAGAGGGTGGAGAAGGTGCTGCAGAAGAGGGATGCGTTGTTTGCGGCGACGCTTGTGAGGAAAGCACAGAGGCTGGGGCTTGGGAGTACGGCGGCGTGGAATTATCTCATGGAGTATTGTATGAAGCAGAATGAGCCGCAGGCTGCGTGGAGGTTTTATAATGAGGTGGGTTGCTTCCCATTTGGAAGGGTATGGCTTGGATGATTGACCGAATTGCAGATGAAAAAACGAGGACGACAACCGAATACGAGAACCTATACGCTCATGTTGTCTGGTCTGGGTAGAACTGCCAGCCAACTTGGATTCAATAACATCAAGACTGCATTGTCGATTTACGAGAACATTGCCGACGCCAACAATGGCATCGAAAAGAGCATCGTCCACGCCAATGCTTTATTAACCGCCTGTCTTCGACAGGGTGACTTGGATACCCTGTGGAAGGTTGCCGCGGACCTCCCCGAAGTCGGAGCACTTGCGCCGGATGAGAAGACCTACACTATAATCCTGAAAGCCGTCACATATTCCCTCGAGCGAGACGTCAAGGATATACCGTCAGAGGATGTGGACAAGATCATCGAGCGGAGACACGAAGCCTTGGTAGAAGCCAAGAAAGTCTGGTCTGAAGTGGTTTATCTCTGGAAAGCAGGACGTATTCCCATGGACACTTATCTCGCCAACTCTATGGCCAAGATTCTGTTACAGGGAACTTCTGATCACGACTGCCATGATGTCTTTAAGCTGTATAGGCAAATATGTGGCACCCCGGTTCTTGTAGAGGAACCGCGCAAGCCTAGGAACCCTACACCACCACCATCACCACCTTCCCGTCCTTCTCCCCCACCTAAACCGAAGAGAACACAGAAGAAAGAGGAACACCTCCTTGCTCCAGACTCAGATCCTGATATGAATTATGTCCCGTTTGTGGGCGAGGATGAAGAGCCGTTATATAAGTCGAGACAGGAAGAAGAGGAGCTGGAGGAGCTGGAGGAACACGAACCGGAGGAGGAAGTCCCGCTTAACTTTGATCATTTGTTCGATCCGGTTTTCTCGGAGGGTGCTCCGGTTGCCCAAGCTGCCACTGTGAACCCCCAGCCTGCTGCGCAGGATGCGACGATTAGAGAGCAAGCTACCGTTGATGAAGAAACTCAAACTGTTGTACAGGATGCTGAGGGCTCTTCCTCGGAGGATACTTCGTCAACTGCAGAATCCATAGCTGAGACCCCCCAAGCTGTGGAAAAGACAGAAGTTGCCACTCGCGGCAGGGAGGTTAGAAAACCATCTTTCCGAAAATTGGTTCCCTTTGGCAACCCAGAGCTTTGCTATGTGCTGGAGGCTTGTATGCTCATAACACAAGGGACGCCAGCCGCAAGAGCCAATTGGGAGTACTTCACGCAGAGTGATTATCTACACAAGATTCAACCAGACAAAGAATCCTGCCTTTGGTATCTGCGGATTTTACGACAGTCGCACTCCAGTCGCCTCACGATCCGACTTCTTCAGGATCAGATGATCCCAGCCAAACTGGTAGATGGTAGGGTTTTCCACATCGCTCTCAGCAGCTGCCGGCGTGACCGTAGGAACATCGGCATCTTCAAGAACGCCAACGAGATCCTCGACCTCATGCACCGGAACATCATCCTTCCCGACCCGCGAGCGTTGGAGGGCTACTTTGAACTGGTTGAGAGCCTCAGGAGGAATCCTCAGCGTCTTACGTTCTTGAAGGGCCTCGAGCCGGAAAGGGAAGAGCCCGCTGCCAGCTTGGAAGCGTGGGGTCGCGAGTTGCAGGTGAAGTTGCAGTTGCTCGCGGTGCAAACGCTGCGCCCTCATCTTGCAAAGTTCCACGATGCGATGCAGCAGGCGGACATTGATGGACCGCGCGCTCAGGGCCGTTTTTCCAAAAACAAAAAGGACGTTGCAGTCTATGGTTCCTCGGCTGTGAAGATCATGCTTACAGCACGGCTCATGATAGACAACCTCTTGACAAAGAATAATGCATCGCTCATTTCCAAGGAAGATCGCAAGTTGCTCGAGGAAAGCTCGCATAGATTGCGAGTGTACTCAACTCCCAGCGCATCGAAGAAGTTCCGTAACATCACCGTGTTCCCGACGCGAAAGCAACTTAGCACATTCGAGAATGGAGGAGGAAGGGCTGTGATAGGGGAAATTGCGAAGAGAGGATGGCGGCATAACGGCGAACAATAAATTACGACTTTTATCTCTTCCTTGTTTCTTGCATTCGAAATTTTCCATCGATCTCACTATCCGAATTGTACACTACTTGTGCTGCAAACTCTCAACTCCTCTCTCTCTGGCCGTCAGGCCGATGGCAGTGCATTTATGACAGGCGTTGATTATTTTGCATTCTGATTTGGCCTCTTTTACACACAGCATGTACAACTATAGATATTATTGTGGTTAAAGTTTGATGACATGGAGTGGTTTTGTACATATCTACGATTTCATGAAGCTTCGCCGTGTTTCTGACGCATATCATTTCTCTTCTTGCTCTCATCGATAGTATGTAGTAGCGAGCAATATAACTACCCTAAATTGGACGATGTTAGTTAACTAACTAGTTATTTCAGAATAACATCGTTAATGCCTCACAATAAAGGCATACATATATGAAACGGCTGGCCACGTTCCGCCTGCCGTTTTAGGCCCGTGCGTGTACGTAATGCCACTCTAGCTTCTCCGGGCAGTCCAACAGTACGGAGTTGCTCTATTGCTCACAGGGATAATTGCATTTCTATTTCATTCCCTTTAATCCCCTCTTAAGCTCAGTTAAAGGGTCATGCCCTTGTGGAGGTGAAACAAGGAACAACGTCCATCCTGTACAGACATAGCCCGTCCACCATGGCTAGCGCACACGCATCCGACTATCCTCATGACGACCTACGCGACGATGAATCGATTCTTGATGATGATGTGATTGAGGCTGATCATGGTAAGTGACACTTTTACGTTCTTGCACTGCTGTCCTATGGTATGCTGACTCCCTCATGCGATAGACATCGAAGCCGATGACCCTCTACACCAAGACACGTCGGATACCGCTCCGTTACGAGGCAACATCCAGCCCGAGCCCTCATCTTCTAGAGGCGGGGGATCCGGAGGTGGCGGTTTCTCCAGCAGCTACCTGACCTCTTCGATTCCCGGGGAAGACCGCCGCGCGACCCAGAACACCATCGATGAGACCGTCTGGCAGACGGTTTCGCGCGACCTAACGGCCGTGTGGGAGAAGATGCGCCAGGTCCTGTGGCCGAAATACCTGATGGGAGGACTGTTGCAGCGTGGTGGTGGTGGCATCGGAGCTGCTGAACGGGGCGAGGCGACTGGGTTCGGTGGAGGATTGAGACACATTGTAGGACGGTGGCCGGATGCTGATGTCGTCTTGCAAGGTGGGATGAGTGAAGGATTGCGGGATTGGGATCTTTGGTATGGGCTTTCGTTATCTCGCCGCTATGTGTGTTCGTTTGGTAAGATGGGCTAATTGGTTGCTTTTAGGGGCCCGCTTATTTTCTGCTTGCTCCTGAGTATGTTCCTATCGATGCGCGCAAAGGGCGAACAATCGTCGCTGGTGTTCTCCGGAGTCTTCTGCATTGTGTGGATTGGTGAATCTGTGGTTACGCTGCAGATCAAATTACTAGGTGGCAATATGTACGTTCCATTTGCTCTGATACATGCTTTGGTCCAGCGGCTAACACGATATCTCTACAGTTCGTTCTTCCAATCGGTCTGCATCATCGGCTACACACTCTTCCCTCTCGTTATCGCTGCTCTTCTCAGTGCCATGGGCCTCCCCACCATTGCGCGAATACCCGTATATCTCGTCTTGATCGCATGGTCTCTGGCAGCGGGTGTCAGTATCCTCGGAGGCTCGGGCGTCGTAAGGAACCGGGTCAGCATTGCGGTCTACCCGCTGTTTGTGTTCTATATTTCGATTGGGTGCCTTTGCTTCATTAGTTAGAAGGGACTGGACAGTGGGATGCTATGCTACGTTTCCTCGCGGGTCGAATGGATTTGAGTCCTTGTTTCCTTTACTCTTATCAAAACTGATTACTTTGCCTATGTCATGTCGGATGAATCGTTTAGTTCTAGCAGAGTCAAGATATCCAATGCACGTTTCTTTTTCCTTCCTAAGATGATATGCTCTAGTGCTTATTGCTCCATTGGCTGGCGGGGTGGAGAGCGGTGACCGGACGACGGACAGCGTGACGGAACAACAAAGCAGGCGGTCTGTCATTCGCATCACCAACTCTTCTCTTGTTTGCTTATACGGAGATTTTCATGCCCCAGAGAGATCACTTACGATCTCTTCCTTTAAGCTTATCTTCTCTCTTGCAGTCGCCTGCCTGACTACTCCGCCGTAGTCTCCGACCCAACCGGGATTCTCAGCTCCGACTTCGTTTGCTCTCCGGCGCTTCGCGATTTTCAGCTTTCCCCGGCTCGTCCAGCACACACATATCACATTTATCCTGAGGCATCTTGATCTACTCGCCTCCTGTGTCGATCAAATTTCCATACCGCATCCTACCGCAACTCTGTACAGCACTTGCAGGACCTCGCATTTCGCATAGTGAGTGGGGCACCCCCGTATCCCCTTTGCTTAGCATTCTATCCTCTGCTCGACTTGCAGAATACAGTGTGAGAGAAGGGGGGAAGAAAGGAGAGGGTGTCAGAATTAGTCGAGCGAAAGCGAGGGGATCCTGTTCTTTTTATTTTTCTGTGATAGTGGGCTCATACTTTAGCTTGTTACGTCAGGTTATTTCGCTTTTTTTTTTTTTTTTTTTCCCACGCTCCGCTATTTCACCTCCCGCTCGTACTCAGGACCGACAAGATTTTGGTGTTCGTCCGATTATTGTTGTTTGTGGATTTGGGATTATAAATTGGTACTTGGGTCGAGATGGCATCGGATTCGCGGCGAAATGCGGAGATTGAAGGTATGGAATACTTCAATTCGGTTTCGGGATTTTACTGCAGGGGGGTTTTTTTTTTGAGTCCGAGACTAACATTGGTCGGTTTATAAGGGGATGTGCCAATGGAACCTGTTGAGCAGAAGGGTATGAATTGGTACCCACCTTTTGCTTTTTTGCACACCGTTTTTATTCCTGCCAATTACTCGTCAAATGCTTATGGATTCTATAGCTACTACAGATGAAACCCAGACATCCGATAACGACGGCGGCGAACGTCCGGTGCGAAGGAAGCTGAAGGAAACCTCTATTACCTCGGCACCGCAAAGCTTGAACCCCGCAAACGTTGAAGAGTCACAGCACGGTGGGAACAGCAGGGCGAGCAGCAGGGGTAGGAAGCGATCATTCAACGAAGACGAGGAGGAGAACATTGAGGAGGACGCCGGCCATAGACGGAAAAGGTCGCGCAGCTCGAACGTCGAAGAAGAGACCGGAAAAGTCCAGAACAACCTGTCGTCGAAGATTATGAGTCCGCAGAAGAAGAGAAGCCGGGATCAACTGGATAAAGAGGAGCCCAAGACGGAGGGCGCGGCCGGCGAGAAGGTCGCTGAGGATTCCGCTGAGAAAGAGGCCAAGCCAGCAGCAGAAGGGGAACCCGAGAAAAAGCGGCACCGGGATGATTCTCAGGAGAGGGAGTCGGTAAGTTACAGTGCCTTTCATTAGAAGAAAGCCGTGGCTAACACAATTGTCTCTACAAGGCTCCCCTTCCAAGCGCTTTTACGAACACTTCGTCCGTCTCCCCCTTCGGGTCCATTGGAGCTTCAAAACCAGTTACCAAGGAAGACGCTTCAAACAAGCCTCAAACCACTTCCAGGTCCGCCTTTGCCTCATCGAGCTTGGCTGCTTTCGCTGGCTCCGAACAGTCGCCTTTCGGCTCCATTGGAGGCTCTACCGCATCCGTATTCAAAAAACCAGCTACTACAGAGCCCGAGAAACCTAAGACCGGATTTGCTGCTGCAGCACCTTCTGGATTCGGAGGTATAAGCTCTGGATTTGCTAGTTTCAGTGGCGGATTTGGGGCGGCCGCTAAAACAGGGGGAGGCCTTACCAGCTTTGCTGCTCCAGGTGGTTCTAGTCTCTTGAACAGTACTTCTGCCAAACCGTTTGGAACTGCGGACGACAATAAGAAGGAAGAGGATGAAGAGGAAGACGAAGCTGAGAAGGGCCCTGGGGAGTTTGAACAAGACAAGACTGATGAGAGATTCTTTGAGCGAGAGAGTATGCCTCCTATTTCTCTTATTATTTGCGTTGGTTTAGTTTGAGCGGGGATCACTAACATGCAATAGTCGAAACCGGTGAGGAGGAAGAAAAGACATACTTCTCCTGCAAAGCGAAGCTCTTCCAATTCTCCGACATGGAATGGAGAGAGCGCGGTATTGGCACCTTCAAGGTGAATGTTAAAGTAACAGACGGCAAGGAGGATAAGAAAGCCGTACGACTGATTATGCGGGCCGATGGCGTTGGGCGTGTTATGCTCAACACGCCGATTTTCAAGGGCATGAACGTCGGTGATGCTACAGGCAAGGAACCTAAGGCAACAAAGCAGATTCTCCTGGCTAGTCTGGAGAGTGGCCGTTCTGCTCCGATTCTGCTTCGGGTATGTTTCCGACACCCCTGATACAACAAAAACTTGTATAGCGTCCAATACTGACTGGCTTACAGACCGGGAGCGAGGACAACGCAAGGGATCTCTACAGAGTCGTTTGCGACCTACTGAAGGAACAATAGTTTTCATCTGCCAGGAGTTCATGACTGTTGCTTCGTGGCCCCACGCCTACGATATCATACCTGGAGGCCATAGTCAGTGTTGGAGTTCTAATGTGTGTATTTGATATCCAAAATGGGCGAGGTTTTTGCATAGAAAGTGGTCGTTGTACTCGAGTTATTGCAAAATGCTGGTATACATAGTAGTATCGGAGGCAGGCTCTTCGTCTTCTACATTTGACTGGATCCATTTACATTCATTTAAATAGTTATTCATCTGTTTATTATTTTCAATTGGATGCTTTCTTCATCGTAATCAATGTGAGTAAGATCGCGCTATACCATTCTCGGTAACTATTGAATTTTGATACACGTGATTTCGCGTATGGGGGCGGATCTTTCAAGAAAGCTGAACCTCCCTTTCGAACTTATCGATTATATCAATTATCGCGATGAGACATCGACATGGCTGGCTCTATGTCGAACTCTGCCGCCCAGGCTGTGCTCAAGCGCAAAAGAACAGTTGATATCGGTGAAGGCAAATCGGATCTAGACATCCATATCCAGAACAGCGCGTCACCATCCATTGCCGAGCAAACTGCAACCGACAGTAATACAGAGCCTCATCATGAGCCAAGCGAAGTACCGAATAACCAGGGTAAAATCAAAAGAGCAAGGTCATTGAAGTCATCAACACCCACACAAACCAACAGCAATGGCACCGACAGCAACGGCGCCAAAACAAGCTGTGCGTCTCGCCAGCCCAGAAAACCAAGAGCCCCTGCCAAAAGAACACCATCAGCTCCATGGCCCGATGAATTCAAAGACTTTGCACGGACTTATCGCGCCTTGAACCTCGTGTACACGTTCTGCTGCACGCGGAAGCATTTCGCCACCACGTTTGATAATATCAAGAATGCGGTCCAGGTGCAGTTGGGAGATAATCGCGAGCTGACCGTGGAAGACATTGCGAGGATGAAGGCTCTTGTGCCTAGGGCTGTGAGATTGGAGTACGTGGATGAAGCGAGGTTGGAGGTTATGGCGGTTGGGGAGAATGATATGCTTGATTATAAGCTGGAGGGGTTTGATGATGGGAGTATGGGACAAGACAACTGGGTGCGAACAGGGGAAGGGACAAGGACATATTCTGAAGGAGTGAAGAAAGTTCTATTCTTTGAATTCCTCGATGGTGATTTGAAGCGGGAGACTCAGCCGGCGCGGAGAAAGACGAAGGAAGAAGATCTGAGAATGCCGGTCTATAGCCAGAAGCAGATGCTAAAGTTGATTGAGAAACGGAATGCGAAGTTTTCAGACGCTGTTGATGCGTTCCTGGTTCAATGCGAGGATGGGGGCTTGGAGCCAGTCGAGCAATTGGAGCGCAAGAAAGATATGATGATCCCATCACCTCCCGATAGTGGTGTCAATACTCCCGCTGCTATTTTGGCATCGTCAAAGCCGCAGCTGCCACGCGAGATCCCAAAGGAACGGAAGTCCATAGCAGAGATCATCGAAGAGGTTCGAGAACTAGATTGGTACTCTGCCCAGATTGTCCCAGATGGCCACAGGGCCTTCGATGCTCAGCCATCTGTCTATGGTGATTTGTCGTTTCAGCTTACCCAGAACATGGTCGATGCCCTGTATAACACCAAGGGTATTACGCAGTTTTACTCCCATCAGGCGGAAGCGATCAACCATCTGCATGAAGGTCATAATGTCATCGTTTCTACGTCCACAAGCTCCGGAAAGTCATTGATATACCAAATTCCCATGTTGCACGAGCTTGAGAAAGATCATAATAGCAGGGGAATGTATATCTTCCCGACCAAGGCTCTGGCGCAGGACCAAAGACGCAGTTTGAAAGATCTGCTACAGTATATGGATGGCCTGCAGGATACCATTGTGGAAACATTTGATGGCGATACACCCATGGAAGATCGCAACCTGATCCGCGAGGAAGCACGTATCATTTTCACTAATCCTGATATGTTGCATATCACAATTCTTTCGCGGGAAAATGCTTGGCGCACGTTCTTGCAAAACCTCAAGTTCGTCGTAGTTGACGAACTGCATGTCTACAATGGTCTCTTTGGTTCGCATGTTGCATTTATCATTCGACGGTTACGCAGGCTTTGTGCTGCTGTGGGTAACCAGGATGTCAAATTCATCTCATGCTCGGCTACCGTTGCGAACCCTGAAGAACACATGAAGGCTGTTTTTGGCATTGATGATGTGAAACTGATAGACTTCGATGGTTCACCCTCTGGCCACAAAGAATTTATATGTTGGAATACACCTTTCAAGGATCCAGGAGACCCGACATCAGGACGTGGAGATTGCGTTGCGGAAACTGCGAGGCTTTTCTGCCAACTGATAGCGCGGGGTATTAGGGTCATCGCGTTCTGTCGAATCAGGAGAATGTGTGAGATTCTCCTCCAGGCTGTGAGGAACGAATTCCATAACCTCGAGCGCCCCGAAATCGGTAAGCTGGTAATGGGATACCGAGGTGGCTACAGCCCGCAAGACCGGAGGAGGATCGAGAAAGAAATGTTCGAAGGCCAACTGATGGGCATAGTTGCGACTAACGCCCTCGAGCTGGGTGTTGACATCGGCTCTCTCGACGCCGTCATCACCCTTGGATTCCCATATTCGATCTCCAACCTGCGTCAGCAAAGTGGTCGAGCTGGAAGGAGAAATAAGGATTCACTTTCCGTGCTGGTTGGCGACAAGTTCCCAACAGACCAATACTACATGAAGAACCCTGGTGAACTATTCACGAAACCAAACTGCAAGTTGCAGATCGACCTTGCAAATGAGCTTATTCTGGAAGGACACGTGCAATGCGCTGCGTTCGAGATGCCCATTCAACCCGACCAGGACAGCATTTACTTTGGCGAGAAACTTCCAGCATTGGCAGCTACAAGACTGGTCAAAGATGAATTTGGGTTCTACCATTGCCATGAACGGTTCAGACCGCAGCCCTCCCGGTGCGTCTCTATCCGGGATACAGAGGACCAGCATTTTGCCGTCATCGACACGACGCACGCGAGGAACGTGGTTCTGGAGGAAGTCGAAGCGTCGCGGGCCTTCTTTACAATTTACGAAGGTGGCATCTTCCTACATCAAGGCCAAACCTACCTGGTCCAAGAACTCAACACGAACAGACGGTTCGCCCGCGTCGTCCGCGTCCATGTGGACTGGACCACGATTCAGCGGGATTACACCGACATCGATCCAATCGAGACAGAAGCAATGCGCTTAATTAGCGACAAGGACTCCTCTTCCTCATCTTCATCTTCATCACCACCTTCCCGTGTCTACTACGGCTCTGTCCAAATCCACGCCGTCGTATACGGCTTCTTCAAAAACGATAAGCGCGGCCGGATCCTTGATGCCATAGCAGTGGACAACCCACCCATCGACATCTTCACCAAAGGTATCTGGCTCGACGTGCCCAAACGGGCCCTCGAGATCCTCGACTCCAGACGTCTGAATATCGCCGCTGCGATTCACGCCGCCGAACACGCCGTGCTCTCTTTACTCCCTACCTTCGTCATCTCATCTCCAGGCGATGTCCGCACAGAATGCAAGGTAGCCAAGAAGGAGCTAGGGAAGAACCTCAAACTCGCCAATGAGACCCCTACTGGCAGTGCCAATATCAACGCTTATCAGCCACGGATTCAAAAAACCAGAGACCTCCAGCCACCCTCCCGCAAACGTCCAGCTCGTCTTACCTTTTACGATGCGAAAGGTGGCTCCTGTGGTTCCGGGATCGCTGGTAAAGCCCTCGAGTTTATCGATGTGCTCCTCCGTCGCGCCATCTCCCGCATCGAATCATGCCATTGCATCACGCCTCAAGGCTGCATTGAGTGCGTCTGCGACGAGCGCTGCAAGGAGATGAACGTGGTTATGAGCAAGGTGGGTGCCAGTGTTGTACTGAGGTGCTTGTTGGGTTTGGAGGTCGATGTTGATACCTTACCTTGGGGAGAGGGATATTTCGAAGATGAGAGGGCTAATGGTGGTAGTAGTGGTGCTGGCGGGGAATTGGCGGGTGGGTTGGAGACAGTTGTTGAGGCGCAGGAGGTTCCATGGAAGAGGGGATACTCGCATTCTTTGTGATATTTCGTTGGTTTGAGGTTGTGTTCGCCTCAGTCTGACATGACACCATGTCGTGGTTGCGATTTCTGTACAGGGTATTGACTATATGAGCGGTTCTATGTACATTGATATCACCAAATGCAGATTCGCATTGGTTCAAAGAGAGCCTCTATATCTATATGTAACTTTTCCAAGTAACCTCCACGATGCAATGTCCTACCATTGATGCCTCTAGTCGTCTATCGTGATTTATGCATATCGTACAGTAGATGCAAATCCCAGGACCTCTATGGTTCAATGAGCGACTTGTACAGATGGAAGCGGTCGAGAGGAAAAGGCGAGGAATAATCCTGTAAGCCTTCTCGAAAAAAGAAACCATTGACAACAATGGCTTTTTGTGGGCTAATAGAGCCGACGTCCAGGGACAACCCGCGGGTTGTATACTGGAATCTCCAGTTTCAAAGCGGAGTCAACTCGAAACTCTCAAGGCACCGAAGATTCGGTTCGAGTCCAGGTAGAGATGCGACCATGATAACCATGGATTTGACCTTCCCAGCTTGACAAAAGTGGCGGGCAAGTGACTATGCCGAGCGTGACCATGTCGGATCGAGTCCAGTACGCGAAACCTTAGAACTCATGTCCCACTAGCCAGCGTAGACGGCGAACTCTTATCACTCTCACTGTCGTCCAAGGTAATTTTCCGAAATAGTGTTTTCATATCGCGAACGCTTTCTCGAAAGTCGTCTTGCGGGTTGTTCGTCCGTTCTTCTGTCAATGCGCGTACTTCGCGCACGATATCGGGGTATCCTTCGTCATTTGGGAGCCACCAGTGGTTGAGTTCGGGTTTCTGCCAGAGCTCTGCCATGCCTGTTCGATACCGAGGAGCGGAAACGCATCTGCAGTTGGAAACAGAGAAATTAGTATGTCACACAGCCTCCTTGTTTTTGTAGAAGACTCACCCGTTCTGCTCCATTTTGACAAGCTTCCTCCTACACCACATTATATGTTTTTCATCCTTGGGCAGAAGCATGCTCGCGATCCCTAGGCAGTTGTTGAAAGCAAAGAAATACCCGTTCTCTTTTTCGGGCCACCGATCAATCGTCTCTAATAACCGACATTGTTCCAGAGCCAAGCGTTCCAGTTCGGGCATGGGTGGTTGTTGTAAAGTGAGAAACGACTGATACTCGAACATCGTTCTGGTGGAAAGGTAGTCGATCCATGCAAAATTAACGCGCCATAGCGGGCCCGTAAACAAGCTACCTGGAATGTAGGGATCGAAGGGGTCATCATCGGTTAGAGGCTGTTTGTTGGGGAAGGACTGGACAGTATGCTCGGGAGCTTCGAGTGCGATAAGAATTTCTTTCATCCGCTCCAATGTTTGAGAAAGGGTTTGGTTCTGGACAATGAAGTCGTCGATCGATATGATGCCTCGAGACAGCTTGGCGTACAAGGACGCCATATCCAACCCAAACCGGCGGTTGATAGAAACGGCAAAATCGATCTGTTTCTGTGCGTCGTGTGGATGCAGTGCGGCTTGTTCTCCATCATATTGTTCTTTAGAAATGTACCAATCGTGCCCGAGAACGGCTTCGTTTCCAGCCAGAATGCCAGCCACCAAGTCAAAACGGGAGTACCATAAGAAGATATAAGAGTGCATTTCGGTATGGTTTATAGATTGGGGAGTCAATAGTTCGCTCATCAAAGCATGCGCAGCTTGGTGGTGGCTAATAAGGCTCACCCAGTCGCCTGACAATTCCTGCAAAACCTATGAGCATGTAGACAAACAGACAAAATGCTTTTGGTTCATACCTCAAACGTAGTAAGGACTAGGACAGTGATCAGCGTTGCCTCAGTATGCTTCTCCCCGGAGCTCAAGGACTCGCGCAATAGAGTCAATGCCTTATTGTAATACTTGAGAAATGTGCAAAGCTTTCCGTTACCACTCTGGACGCAATGGTGATACGCAGCAAAACCGACGACCGCATAGAGAAGAGGTTCGTATTTCAGGGCGAGTTCAGTGATCGTTTGGTGCACGAAGCGGTGACACGGATGTCGCAGAAGGTAGTGTCGGAACGTCAGCACTTCCTGGTGGAAGATAAGATAAAACCGCAAGTCTTCTGCTAGATTAGCAGTCCCTAGAGATCCAACCAGCTCCTGTGGAGGTAGACCCGTACTACCCGATCGTGTGCTCATTGTCTCGAATCTCGGTGATGCCTCAATAGACGGGGAGCTGCTCGCGTGCTCAATTGACTGTAGATAACTCTTCGTCGGAGACTGGGAATTGTTGTGCCTTTTAGGAAGAACTAGTAAGGATCTAGCCGTGCCCATCGCAGGGGACAGTTGGGGTCCAGACTCAGGACTCTGCTCCTCATCCTCCTCGTTGTCTGCTATTGGGTTTAGGATGCGTCCGTCGTCATGTTCCACCTGGCCGGGCGAGTCAGTCCTCTGCGAGCGGGAACTAGGTCCCTTGGACTTGGATCGGGAGCGGAAATTAGATCTCGAGGTCGAACCGGAGGCCGATGGATAGATACAGTCTCGATTCCCTTTCCTGCACCTGTCACAAACCGGACGTGCCTCATCACATTTGATACGCCTAGATCGACAGGTGAAACAGCCACTTCTTGTTCGTCTGTGCTTCTTGTGTTCTGTGCCCGGCTGTAAGGATTTCTGCTGGTTCTGTGTCGAGGAGATGAATGGAGGGACGGGAGAGGGAGTGTGCCAAAAGGCTACACTTTCGGGGTATTGACTTCGGTCGAGGATCGAGTACGCGGGGAATTGGGTTGGGTTCTGTTGTAGTTGCATTTGACTTTGACTTTGCGGATAGCCCATCACGGAGGCTTGAGGCGGGGTATAAGGATTTGCCATTTTCTTCGAGACCAGTCGAATTGCATCCAAAACGCAAAGGGAGATTGAGAGCTAAAAGTCGGCATAAGCTGGGAGGAATCCGGAACAGACAGCTCACGCGGCTCCACGCTTGACAGAATGACAGGAGAGGGTCCAGGTGAACATCATCCAAAGGGAAGAATACTCGAGACCCTAAAAAAAGAACGTGGAAAGAGAAGGATAAAAGGAGAAAATTGACAGAAAAAGAAACGAGTGTATATCGTGTATATTGACTGACAGAGAAGAGAAGGCAAGTGTACTCCGGAAATCAGAGTGACAGAATATGTGGGGGAGATGGAGCGAAGATGGTAGTAATAAGCAATAGTACTAGTTACTGCTGCTGCTGCTACTACTACTACTACTACTGCTGCTGCTGCTGCTGCTACTACTACAACGGTTACTTCCTTTTTACCAGATCGGGGAACACCCACTATCAGAGTACTTTCTTCTCAAAGGACATAATAAAATGCTTGCTTTTTTTCAAACTATTAACAATGTACGTGTACAGTGTACGCATAGCTTATCATCAATTGGCTTAAGGGTTATTACTATTTTATACCGCAGTAATGACGCTGCTGCTCCCCCTGGAGTCCCCTGTTTTTCTTATTTCTTATTTATTTTTTATTTTTTATTTTTTTTATTTTATTTTATATAAATATTTTTTTTCTTTTCCAACATCATATATGCGACACAACGGCTGAAAGCCTGTCCCCTTTTACCAGCCCTCAAAATAGAAAACATATACTCCGTATAGGGTATAACTGTGTACAGAACTAGGGACCTGCGTCTGTTCCGAAGCCCCGACATGTATCCGTACTACTCCGGAGGACTCGTCTTTCCACGACACCTGCAGAATATAGAGAGAACATAGCGTCAGAGCCAGGGCCACCGCGGAATATCGACCATTACTTCATAGGTTCCAGACATGGCAGATGACACCCAAAATAGATTGATTTGCTCATCAGGAGTTCCGTTGCAAGATTTTAGACCAACAAGGACAGTCGCGCAAAGCCAAGATGAAATCGCCCCTATGGCGATGATCTTAATGCTAAACAGTTCGACATGTCCGATCTTAGGTTGATTCTCTCTCCACACATTAGCCGCACAAGGAAATGAATCCCGGAGAAAGTGGACACTCGCTCCATAATAAAGATCTTTATCGACCATGTGACTGACAGAAATCATGACGAGGAGGACAATTGACAACTATGACAAGGGGGGAAAAACATCGTACCAATCGTACATGATCAGTATGACGCACGCTGTACAAAGTACTCCATACAGGGATACGTACCTCTCTATGCGTAACCCCGGACTTGGGTAGGCTCTGATCATCTCCTGGGTGCTAACGAGGCTGAAACAGTCAACCGGCGACTAGCCCACCGTGGTTGGCCGATCTGCCAAGCTAGCCCGTTAGGTTGAGGCAGCCCATCCTTCAATTCCGGATAGCACATGGAGTAATCCGTCTCCCCGATTCCGTTCGCCATTTTCCGTCCAATAGCCGTGGGTATATTCCATACCCAGATTGTAAGTACAGAATAGTATACACTGCCATGTACTATGACAGCAGTAGTAGTGTACAAGAACTCTGTACCTACTAGTGTGGAATATTATTATACCCAGAGTACGGGGGTACGGAGTGCACCGGTCTGGAATAGCAGTGGACCGGGCGACTGGAGATACCGAGGAATTGATTTTACTCCGTATTGTCATGTGCAAGATGCTTCCCAGAGGCCCGTGCCACCGAGTTCCTCCGTTATGCATTAATATGCAAAAAGATCATTAATTTATGTTGACCACTGTCCCCGAGAAAGGGAATCGGTACCTAGTGTAAATCCCGGGAAAGGGATAAGATGCCAAGGCCCGTATACGGATATACGTACGTACTATGTACAGAGTATGCATCCGTTGATCAGGTTTCAACTGTCCGTCCGTACCAGAGTTGGAAGCTTTTTCTGGCCGTTGAACCGTGTCATTCATGTTTTGGGCCGTGCCCCTGTTCTGGTAAGAGCTAAAGTTGGCACGCTGCAGGGGAGTAGTCCAGAATAGTTAAAATTGCCGAAACGTTCATCCATAGTGGATCCCGAACATGGTGAAGTGTGAGTCCCGATCACATACTCAGTAAGGACCTTCACGACTCCATTTATTTAGCACATTTAGTACTATGTATTATTGTTGGATGGAGCTTGGATGTCGTTCTCGTGCTCAGGGAGTGCGAGCTAGTATTATTGCGATAGCCGTTAATTGCCATTATGGGCCTGCAACACCGAATAAATATAGAGCACATTCGACTCCTGATCGTATGCCCTGTTCACCGGAGTACCGGGAAACGATCAAAAAACAGATCTGAACTCTCCTAACTGGAACGGGGACCCGGAGACACGGTACGTATTTTTGTATCGTCCTCTGTTAGCTTCTGAACCTGAAGAACAGGGGACCAAAACAGTGGAAGCCTGCAAGCCTCGTATTCTTACTGTTTACCATAATGAGCAATGATGAACAGACATCCTTGGCTGACAGCACTCCCAGCTATTGGCCAAACAATACCACATCAAGAGAAACCATTAGAGGATAGGGAGCAATCTGGACTAGGATAGGGGAAATGCCTTTTCGAAGGGAATACGGGACGAATCAAGAAGCTTTTTGCGTGAATACGCTTTTGAGTTGGAACGGCGTACCCAGCCCATAAAGATGAAAAGCTTAACATTACCTATAAACGACCAGGCTGTTTCGTAATAGAAACGTCTTCAATGGAAACCGTGTTAATCGAAACAGAGCGAAAACTTCCAGTAGTGAAGTCACACTTAATGCCGCATCCTGTGCCTATGGTCCTCGTCGTTCCAAGCTGTCGATTATGCTTGTCTCCTCAGTGTACATTTTTTCGATGTTCTCCAACAGGATTAATTCAACCGATACGCAGTAACCAAGCCCAAGATACAACAATGATCATGGTATCTCTATAGTTCCATATATGCACAGCATAGAATGTATGTTTAATCATAAATCATCAACACGGTATTTGCAAGTATTTTTCCCATCTCCGGAACCGCGGCACACTCATTGTTTCCCACCCTTCAGCTCCTCAATGGCAAGCTGGATTCCCTCAACAACCGTTCCCCATTCAATCTCATGCACCTTCGTCTCGAACTTGTCGAGGTCTTCGTCGACGCCCTTGACGAATGGGATCTCCCGGATCAGGATCGGCTTGCCCATGTCAACCTCCGAAATGACATTGTGAATCATCACGCCAGTCTTATCAATCTTGCCTTCGAGCCATGCGGCGTGGGCACGTTCAATCGCATGCTATACGTCCAGAAAAGCCTTGTCAGCAACTCTGTATAAATGGGATATGCAAAAGAAAATATGTGAAAAAAGAACGCAACGACTTACAGTTCCATTAAACGCCCCAGGTAAAGCCGGATGCAAGTTAATAATCTTCAATTTCACTTCCTCCAACGGCCCCAGAAAGTTGGGTGACAACACATGCATGAATCCCAGACAAACGACTAGATTCGGAGCATCCTGGAGGACCAGCCTCGCCAGTTCCGCATCGTATTCCTCCCGCGCTACCTGGACGCCTTCGGGAGTGGCTGGGTGTTGCTTCTTGTACTTGACGAGATTATGGTAGGCAGTTGGAATATCGGCTCGTCTCGCCCGTTCAAGTCCAAATGCGTCTTTGCGATTCGAAATGACTCGGATGATCTTGGTGGGCAGCTGCCCCGCGTTGGTCTTGTCGATTACTGCTTGTAAATTCGATCCACTACCGGATATTAGAACCGTGAGACGAATCGGCGAAGACATATCGTGGATGTATTCGATGTTATCGGAGGATGAAAAACGTGAAATTTTCGGCCCGCCTTCAGCTGGTTTGCGTGTGTACTTGGTGAATCTCTGGATCGCAAAAGTCCTAGAAAGAAATATGGAATTGGCGCGTGAGGTTATAGGTAAGCCAAGAAAACGTCAATTGAATGCTGGGAACCTGGTCCCTCTAGTCGTTGCGCGACGAAGAGAAACAGCGCGGGGTCGAAAACGGTTCCTGCTGAGTCATCACAGATGGAGGGGCGGAGATGCGCCTGCGGGGCGGTCTTCCTCTCCGCCCAGTTTCCGCTGTACAGGAATGAAGTAGATAGGTATAATCACTTTCCATTAATATGAACAGCGTAATATGCCTTCCGAACTACATACCCACATAAGCTAGTGAACGAAACTGGAGCGCAAGACACCAAAGAGACAAGATAGCAAAAAGTCGAAAACGACGACGACGACGCCAGCATTTCAAGCAAGAACCAGCCTTGCTGCAATCGTATTCCATCGCATCAAGCTAATTATTGACCAAAAAGAATAACACCAATCCAGACGGGGAACGGCCACAACATCTCACAACGGCGAGAGACAGGAATCAATGCAGAAGCCCAAGCTTTGCTGCTCGCATGCCAGTCGCCGTAGAAAATGCCCGAATAACATCATATCCATTTCGCCATTGCCCCTAATGTATGACCTCGCTTGAACTCATGGCGCTGAAACAACACGAAAAACATAAAGAAGAGAAAAAGAAACACATAGCCCCAATGCATCCAATGTAAATATGTAAGTAAAAAAGAAAACTAGAGAAGATTCGTTACCTATGCTATTAAATAAGCGCTTCATGCTAATACTGGGACGAAGATAAAGTGTTGATAAAAAGTATCCCAAATGAGATGTTCAGCCTGGTTATGTTAGACTTCACCCGACATCGCTGGGCCTTGGGCCGGATTCGTATTCTGCGTTTCCGTCACGCCTTCGCCCCTACATAACGGGCAGGAATTGCGTCCGGTTGTGAGCCACTTAACAAGAGAAGTCAGCTTTGCTATAGAAACCAAAATTGGTTTTGTCGTTTTATACGCACCTGATCAATGCAATCCCTGTGGAAGACATGCTGACATTTGGTCAACTGCCTGAGTTCTTCCGCTGCTTCGTAATCGCTGAGGCATATTAGACAACGGTCACCTTCAGGAATCTGAATGTTGCCCGTGCCATCCACAGCCTCGGCGACCAAGGACCCAGCATATTCCACAAGACGGAACAGCCCGCCAGCTGTGCTAACATCTTCCTGTGTGGCAACCGGTGGCTTTGCCGGCCCTAACAGCGACGACAGCAAGATCATGTCCTCATAAGTCGGATTCTGAGTGCCAAGTTAGCCGCAATCCTAGCAAGGAGATGTTCATGTTTTACAAAGCAAAGTCTTACGTCGGTAAAAAGACTCGGGGTAGCAAACGCCAGGTTATTCTCTGAAACGTTTGCCCCCACGACATAGATTAGCCAGCTTCTACCTACTGGCGGGGTTGCGTTGTCGGGCTCCACGACACCGTTTCGCCTATTAGAACCAGCGCCGAGGCCACGGTGGCGAGCATATTCAGAATCACTCCTGCGCCGTTGACGAGCGGTGTTCAACGGAGAGTGCTCTTCAGCCGACTCAACCGAAGGTTGCATTGACTGATTTTCGTGAACTTGCGGCAAAGCGCCCGGCGACATAGCCGATGTAGAAGATGGTCTGCGACTCGGTGTTGAAGCACCAGACGCCGATGTCGACAAACCTGGCTCAGCAGGAGTCGAAGGTGGAGGATGAGGGCCAGGTGGGCTCGCTGGCGAAGAATTAGGGAGTGAAGAAAGAGGGCTACCAGTGCCTGCATCGGAGAGTCTGTGGGGAACGTTCGAAGATCCTGGTTGATGTATCGTATCATCATTCGTAGACAGTCCGCCGGGTCCCGGTCCCCTTGACAGACGGTTGGGGAACAATCTCGACGCTCCATCAGGGCGGTTCGGGCCACCGTCTGGATTCCGTATTCCTGGCGACAAAAACGGCATTCGGAGCAATGCATCGAGGTCATGTCCTGGGTTGGGTTGATCACTGCCGGGACCGTTGCTCGCTGGGACTAACCTGACACCTACAACGACCAGGGTGACTGTACGTCCTTCAGCTTCAGTTCCCTCCGTTTGGTTGTCAACATCCATTCCGTCCGCTTGGTGATTGGCGTTATCCGACCCTGTTGAGGTCCGGTTCGTAGCGTCAGAAGCCCTTGCAGGATCCGAGTTAGCAAATCGGAACACCCGCAGGAAATTGAGCGGAGGCGAAGGGCCACTCTCTCCGGTAGTATTTGGCGCATCACCAGGGTTTGCTTGTGTAGACGTGGCGTTGTGGAGACTTTGAATGAAGTTCTCCAATGAGCCATTTAATCCATCATTACCGAGAGCCTGGATATTCGGAAGCACCGGACTAGTTGAGCCAGAGAGTTGGGCTGCAATCGCAGCGGCAGCCAGTTGCAAGACTCGCGACATAGGCATTTGTTCTTCTCGCCGCAAGACTCGGGAAGGCTGCGCCCGCAAGAAACTAGGGATTTGTCGTGCACTTGTCACTCCTTGTGCAGACTGATTAGATGCAGGAGAGTCTGGACGAGTATTCCGTACTGCCGGTTCAACCGAATCCAATTCATGGGGCTCATGGGGCTCATCAAAATCCATGCGGTTATCCAACTCTGTCGAAGGAGGGAAGAGAGGATAAGGGTCATCACTAAGGGAAGGAGGGCGCACTGCACCCTCAGTGTTAGGGGACGATATGCCCGTGGATGGTTGGCCGAACATATGAGATAGTGGGTTGGATAACGAGCGTCGAACACGATGAAGTCGAGCACTTCGACGCCAGGATCCTCTGTTCGACTCTCGAGCACGTTCGGAGGCAGGGTCGGGGTAAGCTGGAGGTGCAGACGTATCTGGAGCCAGAGTTGGATCACTCCGTGGGATTAAATAAGGCGCTCGAAGTGAACGCCGCCTAGTGATGCCTCTAGAGCTCAGGGAACTGAAGGGGCTAAAGCGACTGCTATTATGAGCCACCTCGCTCCTCGGTGTAGATCTTGAAACGCCATGCCGATGAGCATGTCCCTCCGCGGGTGTCTCTTCCTCACTGCTTAGCAACCCGCGGATAACTGAATTTGGCAAGATTCTGGACCCTAATCTCGACATGGTAGACTGCCTCCTCGCGGTCATGCGGGCAAAGGTTGCAGAGGGATGATCTTGGTAGCCCTGTTGATGACCGAGGTCAAAACCCGATCCATTTTCTTCACGCGTGTTTCCCAAATGACTGGTTCGCCAACTGTCCGAAAAAGTAGACTGTCCCGGTAGCTCCGCGACTGCCCGTGGTTGAGCTGAAGGAGCAGTTTGGATATTGTCATGAAATATTTCCGTCCTTGAAGGGGGACCGGCTTCCCCAGTTTGCTCGAAATGTCGCCCGTCGCTCATAGCTTCATGTCTATTCTCCCGTCCACGTGCTGTTCGAAAAAGTAAATGATCTGAAAGGCTGATGCGGCGATGGTCTCTTTGCGTAGACGAAGACTGTCCCATAGTAACAGCGTGGGAGCCGGGGGACTTGGATGGGGCTTCAAAAAGCGCCTACGTCCATGGAAAAGTAGGTAGCTATAATAGGAAGAGAAGAAAGGTCAGTTTGATGCGAAAGCAAGTTAAATGGGAAGGAGATGGCGGAAAGCGAACGACAGTGAAGGAAGTAGTGGTCGGCACCCATACCCGCGCTTAGGAGGCGAATATAATATCGAAAGCAGACGCTTGTAAAGGAAGGCGAGATTACAAACAAAGACGCACCATTAGAAAAGTCAACTGAGTAATACAAAGACCCCAGTATTCCAGCGAAAGTAATCCGGATGTTCTTAGGACCGACCGTCGAAATTCGTTTGGACGCTGAGTGAAGGTAAGAGTGAGGGAAAGTTTGAGTTGTCCAGTACACGATGTTGAAAAATATTAAAGAAAAAAATAAATAAACACCAGTTTGCGACAGGTGCTAAAGGCAATTATCGAAAAGGTCAAACGGATTATTTGGGGCCAAGGACGCTGTAGTCGACAGCAAACGAGTCGTTGCTTGCAGGCCGGCGGATTATGACTGACGAAACCCCACGACAACAACCAAACCCGCGGTAAATATCTCTATTTAAAGAAACACACTGCAGGAAACGACTGTGGGTGGTCCAATAGTCCAACAAAAGAGACGTGAAAAGAGAGAATCGAAGAAGGCGATGAGCCCGAGGCGTTGAATGGCAGAGGATGAATCAAACGGTTGAGAGCGACAATGATGAATGATAACGGAGCCTCTCGCCTTCGGCCGGCCACTCGGCGCTTCGATTTGGATGATTTTCCGACTGGCGGCAGTTGCGCTTCTGCGGTTCCAGCGGCTACACACGAGTCAGTTGCACGTGATTATACCGATCCTGGATAGTCACGGGATTTTCTGATTGAAAAAGTTGAATACGTTCTCTGGCTAGGATAGCTTCTCTGTCTGATCTGGGGCAGCTTCCTTTGCTAAATTTCCTCCCAGATGTGCCATCGGCCATATACCTTTAATCACACAGACAGCAGAGCCGAAAATAAGTTTTTTTTTTTTATTATTATTATTACGAGAAACGAAGGGAAAAGAAGCCCTGTTCTTCATGGATACCGGATCTATACCGCTGAAGGTTGAGCGACTGGCTTCTTGACCTCCAAGGCCTTCATGGCTTCTTCTGTGCCTTCAGCATCAGTTTTTTCCTTGCCGCTTCCGCCCTGGCAACAACCTCCTAGCGTGCGCGTAGCTCAATATGAGCGTAAGAAGCGCAAGAGGGATTTCGATGATTGGGGAAATGAGACCGAGGATGCTGGTGGCGAAACAACTGATGCTGCCTCAGATTTTACTCCGGCGGCATCATCCTTGATTTTATCGCCCAATGAAGCCCATCAATACCGCATTGCAGGTCTTCCTTTCGACCAAGAGCTTCCAGGTGGACATTTTCCGCATGCAGCACCAAAAGACTCATCACATCGTCGGGAAATCAAAGGCGATATACTCAAGGGCTTGTCGAACTTATCGCCTCCCATCTATCCGCCACAGTCCGCTGCTCATCAGGGGAATCTTCGGTTGCAGCATTTTGCCGTGCTCTCGGCCATTCTCCATCGTTGCCTTCTCCAACGAGATTATCTCCGCGCGGGAAGGTCTTGGGCTCTGATTCTCCGTGAAGAGTATGGAGGCAATCCCGTTGATATACGCAACGAAGAGAGGTGGGGCATCGGCGCTGAGATCCTACTTCGGCGGGGACGACAGTTGTCAGATCTCACGTCTTCATCTGAACCAGTGGATGATGGGTCTTTGAAACCGAAGAACGCTTTCGGGCTTTGCTTTACGAGGAAAGGATTTGAGGATGCGAGGCAGTATTACGAGAGGCTCATTATTCAACACCCGTTTCGAAAAGTCGCGCCGGACGCAACAAGCGCCTTACATTTCTACCCCGCCATGTTTGGACTTTGGATATACGTTGTCCAAGAGGAGAGCAATACCGCTCGAGATGCGATGCAACAGAGTTTTGCTGAGGACTCATCTGATGAATTGTCGGATGATGAAGATGGGTTCAAGGCTCATAGCAGCTCTGTCAAAAGGAAGCAGAAAATGGCCGCAGAGATACGAGTGAAGGAACTAGAACAAGCACAGCAGATTGCAGCCCGTATGGATGAGATTATTGTGTCGCCTCCATACTCGGATTCCCCCGAGCTATTGGAACTTAGGGGTATGATTTCGCTCTGGATTGCGGATCTTTTTGTCTTGAGTGTACCGCAACCAGAGGATGACTATCATAACTTTAACGATGTCGACACCATATCCTCTGATGGCTGTACAGGGTCCATCCAAGAAAGGCGAGAACAGAGGCTTGCCATGGAAAAGAGGCAGGCGGAGATTCTGAAATCGGTAGGGTACTTTGAGAAAGGAAAACAGCGCGGTAGGGGGGTTTCTCATACTCTTGAAAACCTTCATATCGACGATGGAATCTCTTACAGTTGAGTTAGCAGAGAATGGGAAATTTTCCAAGTTTGGTAACTTTGCCGTGCTGTCAATAGCTGCATGTGTTACCGAGTTCAGTAGTTCATGCGAGTGCGGATACCTACTATGTACTGCTACATAGTCAACTCGCTTCAAATATATAAATATCCATTGTTCTCCGTGAGCTTTCAACAGGGTCCAACTTCACGATTATCCATTCCCTGTATATTTACCACATTATCTTCTCACGAGATGTCTATCAACCGTGGTGTCTACACTGATCCCGCCCACAACCTCTACGTCGCCGATGCGCAGCCGGTACTGTTCCATCCGGTTCAACGCTCCAACCGGGCGAGGTGACCATCGCCATAAAAAGCAGTGGAATATGCGGGTGAGCCTTATCCCATAACACTCCTCCCCTCATACTTATCTGACAAATTGAGTAAACCAGTTCGAACGTCCACTTCTGGAAGCATGGCGGCATCGGTCCCTGGCAAATCACAACCCCGCATGTTCTGGGCCACGAATCCGCCGGCGAAATCGTCGCCTACCATCCCTCTGTAACAACCCACAAAGTAGGCGACCACGTCGCTGTCGAACCGCATATTGTTTGCTTTGCCTGCGAGCCTTGTCTTACTGGTCGATACAACGGGTGCAAAAACCTGACTTTTCGGTCGAGTCCGCCGTCACATGGGTTGCTGCGCACCTATGTCAACCATCCTGTCGTCTGGTGTCATAATATTGGCCCCCGGTTGTCTTTTGATGAGGGCGCATTACTGAAGCCGTTAAATGTGGCGCTGACGGGCGTGACGAGAGCAGGAGTGGCGATTGGAGATCCGGTGGTTATATGTGGTGCTGGACCTATCGGGTTGATTACGCTGCAGGTTTGTCGGGCTGCGGGGGCATGGCCGGTTGTGATAACGGATATCAACGAGGCGAGGCTGGAATTCGCCGAGGAGTCTGTTCCTGGGGTTAGGGCTTGTTTGGTACGACGAGACCAGAGTCCGGAGGACTGTGCTGAGCAGGTGAATGAATTGATGGGTGAGGGGGTTGAAGCTGCCATCGCCTTGGAATGTACCGGAATGGAGACCAGCTTGACCACAGCAGTACATAGCGTCAAGTTTGGCGGGAAGGTGTTTGTGATTGGGGTGGGCAAGGATATATTGGAGATTCCCTTTATGAGGATGAGCGCTCGCGAGATTGACCTGCAGTTTCAGCAGAGATATGTCAATACGTGGCCGAGGGCTATTCGGGTTCTAGAGAGCGGCATGGTCGACCTGAAGAAGCTAGTGACCCATGAATTTTGCTTAGAAGACGCTGTAGAAGCGTTTATGGCGGCCGCTGATCCAAAACATGGCGCTATCAAGGTGCTCATTCGGTCTGAATAAATATATTTTTTAGTTCGTCTTCAGTCACTATATCAGACATTTCAAATAGACAACCAAAAATGCGCATTTTTTTCTAAAATGCATCAATTTGCCTGTATATATATTTCAACTGGCACGTGATTTCGTGGCTCGCTCGCGTCGGAAACTGATTCGTCTCGCGACTCAACGTCGATCTGGCAGCCAGATATCAACGCCCAACCAGAACGGCGTAAAAGAACGTTCTTGCAATTATGGGCAGAGACTTCAAAAGTTTATGAAGAAGTATCAACGTTTACACTAAGATTCCTTTCCGTCCACGCTAATTTCGGACCTCCGAAATACCGCAAGAAACAATGGGGGTCGGAGATTATATCCATTCCAAAGAAGCCGGTCAACACCGTGCTGCCACGAATGAGACGTCAACCCAGTCGAGAAAATTCTTAGCTGAGCAGGCCAAAGTCAATGTTCCTCCGACAAACCTGATGGCACCTGTTCCCTTGGGGGTTGGTGCGTCTGGGCTACCGCAAGAACTAGAAGATGCTCAACAAAGAGATACGTTCGACACAGATGTGGAAGGGATTGATGAATCTACTATTGCTGGAACCAGTATTGCCGATGCTGAAGAATTTCGAATCCAACCTACCCAATTACCTCAACTTCAGCCGCCTCAGCCAACTCAGATCACAAATATCCCTCAGCCTCAAGACACGGACACAAGACCTTTATACCAATTTCGCCATGGACGTCGTCCGTACCAATCTAACTGGTACGAGAATTTGGGGGATAAGGCTATGAAGTCAGCAGGATTCGAGTCAGACGATGCCGACGACGACGCTAGCCAGTTGACTTCTATTGCCGGAGATGACGAAAGGGATGAGCCCAATGATTGGTACTATTCTCACAAGCATCGTGCTGCACCTGAGGAACCTTTGAGCAAACGCCTGGAGAATTTCTGGAATGCTAGCAAACGAACAACTCCCAAACCAACAACTCAATTCCATCCAGAGACAAAACACCCGGTGCTAGCCCCACCAGCTCTTGAGTCCAGGAAACAGGATCTGCCCGTGGGTGAAAGCAGAAAGATTACCCTTTCTCGCAGTATGACCGCGACGCCCAGGACCAGATTCAGCCCGGCAAAGCCTTCGCTTCTCGAACAGCTGGATAAATCCCCTACACGTCGAGTTGGTTCCTCGCGAACGCGGCCTAGACGGGGAAGCGTGATTGACCTCCGCCAGGGGAACAACGGTGACGATGCAGATCTGTTCACTGGTGACAACCGAGACAGTATTGATGGCCAGTCGATGACCGCTTTTGATTTAACGAACGTGGTAGCTCTTGACGAGGACGACACGCTACAAGATTCCTTCTTGAGACACAGCCGTTCTGGATCCGACCCCACTGCTCCTTCAAAAAAACGAAGCCTCGAACCAGATTATCCACCGGATGTCCTGTATCAGAAGTCCTTTGCTGAGCTTCAGTCCGAACCGTTTGATCGATCTCCTAGCACCACCACTCCTGTACAACCCACACCCGCTCCAGAAGCAGATACGGCCCCAGAAGACAAGTTCCCTATGCTTGCGAACATGTCAAACCTTGACCGCCGAAATTACTTCTCAACTCTCTCAATTGACGAATGGGAATCATGCGGAGATCAATTGATCGACCAATTCACCGATATGCTCACGAAAATGAAAGACCTACGCCAGGCACGACGCAAGACAGCCGCCATCTTTGAGGCTGAATTGAGAAGAAGGAATGAAGTGGTCGAAGAACAGGGTCGCGAGTTATCCGACAAGATGGAAGTTATGAGAACTGGGGGAGCAGAGGTTCTGCGTGGTCGTACCCCTTGACAAAAATGTCTTTGACTGTAATGACAACTACGACTGATCTAATTCACGACACTTGTCTCTATACCGTCTGTGGCATAGGATATGTTTGGATCAAACCCAAACCCGGCCGTGTCTTAGCATATCTATACGCAGGCGGCGTCTGTACTTTTCCTTTTCGTTGTTTGGGGGTACCTGGCGATGCGTTGTTATGATTATGTGAAATGATTTGAAATTGTCTGGCGGGTTTTCTATTCTAATAATTGCCTTTTTTTTCTTAGATTGTTTCTTAGAGGTTTGTATGAATACCCTGTTGCATATCTCATTTATGAAGCCATGAGAATTTGAAATTAACCAAGTCTACGAGAAAACCGTGGAAAAGAGAGAATGAAAAATTGCTGATCTTAATAATTGGCGTTCGTGTTTTGCTTAAGTAGTATATTTGCCAGCCTCTTGTAATCCTCAAGCAGCGTCGAGACATCACCAATCGTGAGTCCGCTGGCATTCTGGGTATCGAGAAAACGTTGAATCGGTGGGTTGGATTTAGGAAGAGGACCGCCGCTACTAGAAGGGCGCGATTCTTGCGCTGGTGGTGGCATTTTGGTACTCTCTGGCAAAGCTGGTGGCGTCTGCCCGCCGCTAGGATGGTCGAAACCACTGCGGCCAAAATTTCTAATCATGCCTGGGATGTGGTTGAGTGGGTTAAGGGTGTTGCTGAAGCTTCTCACGGAGCCCAAGGGCGTTGAAGGTGACATAATCGAAGACTGGGAGGCGCCTGGTGAGGGATCATCTCTTGTTGACCCTGCAGCGGCCAATGACTTCTTGGAGCTTCCTTGGGTTCTTGCGCTGTCTGCACTTCGATCGCGTGGAGTTCTGCGTCCACCAACTAATCCTATGATCGTCTCTTCTGCTTTTGAGTGTACGTGTCTCAGGGGTGGGCGATCCGTCGAAATAGGATCTTTGCTCGCATTATCTTCTTCAGCCAGACTCTTAGTGTCCCCAGAGATTGGGTAAGCAACCAGGCGACGAGCTTCTGCTAGGGTTTTAGGCAATGTTGGACCGTTTCCGTCCCTCCCGGGTTGCATTTCCTTGAGCCGTCCAAAAAGAAAATTGAAACTGGTGTCCAATGATACGCCAATATTCTTTAAGCCCTGATCGGCAGTGTTGCGAACGGCGTCATTAGCGGCGCCGAGCATCCTTGATGGAGGCTGGAACAAATTATTCAAGGCCCTTTGTTGGACTGAAGCTGGTGGCTGAGTCTTAGGTAGTGTCTCTGAAGCACTCTTATCGCTGGGCTTTGAAAGCTCCGAGGAAGTAAAAACCGGAGCAATTGAAGAAGTTGCGGCCTCTTTTGTTGAATTATCTTGACTGGAATGTTCAGCAGGCACCGAGTCGGCTCTTCCCTGTCCATTCTGTATTTCGTCTGCACGCAGTTCTGAAAGGTCGACATTTTCCAAAAAGGTGATAGAAGCCTCAAGGTTAGTCAGGCAGTATGCAGTCTCGCCATCCATCTTACTCGAAGATCGGAAGCGTTGTATAAAAAGAAGGTTGCTTATGACGCTGATTCCCTCGGGAGGACAAGTGATCAATGTATAAATTAGTGTCGGCAGAATTTCATCAGCAGAGGATGACGAGGGGAGTAATTTCGTCAACGCATCCACAATCGCCTTGTGTGCATATGAGAGATGTTGAAGCTTCCCAAGAGGATATTTCTCTTCATTCATATTTGCCAGACGTTCGCGAGCGACATATATATAGTCATTGGCTTCTTTTTGCTTGTCTTCGTCAATGGCGCTAATGTCAAGGTCGATCCCAAGGTCCTTCAGATTAATCCCAACCAAAAGCAGAGCTGCAGTTTTCGAACGCAGTTTTTCATCTCGGACTTCATCCAAAGTAGTTCTATGCCTCCATATCTTGTCATAAACAGCCTCACACGCTCTCCGTTCCACTGCCTCCTCCAAAGCAACACGCTTGTAAGAGAGGAACTTTCGGGCCTTTCTTTTCTCCGCAACCTCTGATGCTGTTAGCATCTGACGACTAGAGGTAGACTCAGCATCCTTCGATTTGTGCTGGGCGCTCCCCCGAGGATTCTGAGGGAGAGGCGAGGGTTCGCGATTGATACGTGATGCTAGGGCCGAGATATGAGTAGTTATATGTGATTCTGCACGGCTATAGAACTCCTGGAACAAGTCCGCTACTCTTTCGATTGTGGGGGGAGACGTGTGAACCTTGGCCGAGAGGGATTCGACGAATCTAGTATTCAACGAAAGAACAGTCAACAAATGTCACACGACATGATAGTGAACGGAGAAGCTCCACGATACCGATCGGTTAAACTAGCCAGCTCAATTGGAAGCTCCTCTGGCTGATCCTGTATATTGCTCGAGAGCACAGACTCCTCATCGCCCTGCTGCCCGTTATCTCCGGCGCCTGAGTCTGAAGAACTTCCCCTTTCAAAGATATCAGGACCAGCATCTTGGTCTTCATTATCTCCGACCAACGACAATGGAAGCGATTCAGGGTTCACGGTTTCCGAAATGACCATCGACTGCACCGTCCGGGCTCTCGTGCGAGCAAAAGGGCTCGCGTTCGAGCTATCCATTCTGGGGAACGATTGAGCTGTGTGTAGACGAGGCTTCTCGGGGTCCTGTTGGGAAGGACAGGGAGACATGGTTCTTTATTTTCGAGTGATGATCTTGCGTCAGGCCGCGATGTCACAATCTTAACGTCCAGCTGATGGGCTCATGCAGATCGGAAATACGTTCGGAGTAAGCGACCTGGTAGTTTCGGCGTTTTCTTTTTTTTTTTTCTCGTTTGAATGATCGGTCCTGTTATTCATCAAGAGCAGTCATATTTAATGGGCACGCCTGGAAAACCAAGCAGAATGGATAAGACCGGCTGGTCCTCGTGGGTGACGATGGTAGTGGTACTCTGCTCACAGAGCGGGGAGTTGCTGCTCATGGGGTAGATTTCCATTTTAGGAATAGTGTACACGTGCCACTCGGTTTCGTATAGAGAAGTCCTCAACTGTGTTCAGCAGACTGTCGTTGCAAGAACCTCAGAATTATTCTCTAGGCATATTGGCTAGTAAAGAGTGATATTTTTTACACTAATTCTGACCAAGTTGGAAGAATGTTGGGCTTGTTCATATGACAATTTCATGTGATCTGTTCGAAGAGCAACGCACCTGTTCGAATATCACGTGCCCAGCACCCGTATCACGTGTGGAATCTCTCCGCACTGCGTCACCGCCTTGTGATAATCGCCATATCAGCGTTGGGGGATGTCAAGCCAGTCATCCCCAACTTTGCTTTTATCATCAGTACATCGTTATGGAAGACGGTCGCAGAGGCTCAAAGAAACGCTCCTTATTTGGACAGGGTGCTCTAGGGTTCTTATTGTCGATTCAGCTGCTACCAAGCGTTGTTTCTGCCAACGTGCCTGTATACTTCGGTTCCCCATCGGGTGACTCCCCCATATTGCCTCCGCAGATACCCCTAGCTGGTTCTCCCTCGCCCCTGGAAGCTCATGAGTTTGTAAGTACTTTGCATATGGTTGCCTGTTATCCTGCTGCTGACAATGGGTCTCTATCTAGTCGCTTCGTCATATATTCCATCGAGGAACGCATGAGCATCCCGATCTCCATCAGAGACTCGATATCGAACCGCACACGCGCCTTTTGAGCGTATCCAAAGATGGCCAGGAAATAAAGCCTGCGGCGCTTGACGCCCCCTTGGTCGCCTCGTCCAACCCGGTTACCATCCAACGACTCGCGGACCGACGAGTCTCGGTCATCGAAGGGCATCTACAAGCCGCGAGATCTACCGGAGAGGTGGTTGCTCTGTCACCATCAGAATGGGTTATGGATACAGTGGACGGTCCTAATGTGAAGGAAAAAAGAAGTGTCTTGACATTCGCTCAGATGACGGCCAACGACTACATCGAGGAGCCGGGTACGGGTAAATGGCATGACATCAACGGCCGGTTTAATTACTCCGAGAGTTTCGGATGGAACAGTGATGGATTAAGGGGTCATATATACACGGACAAGGCAAACAGTACAGTGGTTATTTCCTTGAAGGGGACATCCCCGGCCCTCTTCGATGGAGCCGGTACGACAACCAATGACAAAGTCAACGATAACCTCTTCTTTAGCTGTTGCTGTGGACAAGGGGGCTCCTATCTTTGGAGGCAAAGTTGTGACTGTATGAAGTCGACATACACAGGCAACTTAACGTGTATCATCGAAGCTATGAACGACGAAAACCGATATTATCGAGCTTCTATGGACCTCTACTCGAACGTGACAGAACTATACCCGGACGCCAACGTTTGGCTAACAGGCCACTCGCTAGGTGGTGCAATGTCCAGCCTGTTGGGGTTGACATTCGGGCTCCCTGTCGTCAGTTTCGAAGCTATTCCCGACGCTCTGCCAGCGTCCAGATTGGGTCTACCCTTTCCGCCTGGCCATGATCCAAGATTTCCGCAAAAACGGCAGTATACAGCGTCTTATCATTTCGGTCACACTGCAGACCCTATTTATACAGGGACGTGCAACGGCGTTGGCGCAACATGCACATGGGGTGGTTATGCGCTGGAGACAGCCTGCCACTCCGGCCAAATGTGTACCTATGACACGGTTAAGGATAAGGGCTGGCGTGTGGCAATTGGGACACACCGCATTGAGTCCGTAATTGCGGATGTCCTTGATGTCTATGACGAGGTTCCTCCCTGTGTGGCTGAGGAAGAATGCTACGATTGCGAACTGTGGAAATTCTTCCGAAGCAATGGCTCTGAAATCACGACGACTTCGACAGCCACTTCAACCAGCTCGACAAGTGCGACAAGGACATCAACTTGCAAAACCCCTGGGTGGTGGGGATGCCTCGACGAGAGCACAACCGACACCGCTACCACGACTTCCACCACGGCGACGACCACGACGTGCAAGACGCCGGGTTGGTTTGGCTGCAAAGACCCTACTACCACAACCGAACCTACGACATCTACCACCACCTGCGAAACTCCTGGATGGTTCGGATGCCGTGATCCTACAACCACTGCAGAACCCGCTTTTACAACAACGACCCTCCCCGCTACTGCCGCTCCCACAACCACCTCATGTGAAACCCCGGGATATATCTACGGTTGCTATGACGGTTCAACGACTACCACGAACGACCACCCTATTACGCCTGCTCCCACACCCTTTTTCTAGAATGAACGATAGAAGCCGTTAGACTCGGGCAGTCTTGCTTTCCTCCTTTTTTGATTGTTTAATTGCATAGCATTTTGCATTATTATTGAGACGAACTTTCACGACTGACCAGTACTTTTTGTCTTGCAACATGGCCAAGCTGGCGCAAATCTAACGCGACAGGTGTTTCTTTCTTTCTTTTTTGCTTGCTTTTGGTGTAACACTTGCTTTGGTTTAATAATGTGGATATCCATTTCGGTCAACAGCGCCATTCATACTCTTATATTTTTTTTTTTGGAGTCAAGCATTGATCAACTATACAAGGATTTTGGTAACTTCAGGTTGAAATGAATACAATACTTCTTGGATAAAGGTTCTTTCATTCAGTCGTAAGATTATGTTTTAGTCCACATACAAACCGGGCCAAAACATGATAGAAAAAGTAAAGGGAATCAAATACAGAAAATTAGACACGAAGATGCAGTTTTTTTGATACCCTACAGACGAGCAGACTTGGTATCAGCCGTTTTAGCCTCAGTAGCCTTTTCAATCCGAGTACCAAGATCAGGATTAACACGACCGAACATCTCATACGTCTGCTTACGCACACGCGGATGAGCGTTACACAGATGACCAGAGATGTTCTTCACAAAGTTATCCTGCTGACCGGGCTGACGGCCAAGGACCTGCCAGAGGCCATTTGCCTGGACGTAGTCCTCCTCAGTAACGGGGAGCTGCTCCGCGACAACAGCACCAACCCACTTCTCGTGTTCCTGGGAGGCCTTCACGGGCTTGTACTGCAGAGGACGGAAGGTGGAGGGGTAGTTCGGGTTGGCGCCGTAGTTACCTTGGACGTTCATGTAGCCGTCGCGGTGCCAGGGGCTGAAGGACTTGAGCGGGCAGTTAACGGGGATCTGCTCGTTGTTGCCGCCCAGACGGTGGCGGTGGGTATCAGGGTAGGAGAAGAGACGGGACTGGAGCACGGGGTCTGCGGAGGGCTCAATGCCAGGGACCATGTGGGAAGGCGAGAAAGCGGCCTGCTCGACCTCCGCGAAGTAGTTTTGGGGGTTACGGTTGAGGGTAAACTTCCCGAAGCGGCGGAGGGGCACTTCGGACTGCGGCCAGACCTTGGTGAGGTCGAAGATGTTCCAGCGGAACTTCTCGGCCTGTTCGGGGGAGAGAACCTGGACGTAGCAGGTCCAGGTGGGGTTCTCGCCGCGCTGGATGGCGTCGAAGAGGTCCTGGGTGTGCCAGTCGGGGTTTCCGGCGGCGAGGTTGCCGGCTTCTTCGTCGGTGAAGGTCTTGTTGCCTTGATCTGTCTTGCAGTGGATCTGGACGTAGTTGAAGGTGCCATCGGGCTTGATCCATTTGTAGGTGTGGCCTGAGTAACCGTTCATGTGGCGGTAGGAGTAGGGGGTGCCACGGTCACTGAAGAGGTGCATCACCTGGTGGACGGCCTCCTGGTGCGTCGAGAGATAGTCCCAGAACATAGTGGCATCTTTGAGGTTGGTTTGCGGGTTGCGCTTCTGGGTGTGGATGAAGATGGGAAACTTGGCGGGATCGCGCAGGAAGAAGACGGGAGTGTTGTTGAAGACCCAGTCCAAGTTGCCCTCCTCTGTGTAGAACTTCATAGCAAACCCACGGGGGTCCCGGGCACTGTCTGGAGAACCCTTTTCACCACCAACCGTCGAGAATCGTGTGAACATCTTGGTCTTCTTGCCCACTCCTTTAAGCATGTCGACGATGGTCTATCCCACACGTCAGTGTCGAGCCCATCTATCACACAGGGGGGTATCATACGATATCGCTAATGTCGTCGGTAACCTCGAATTCACCATAGGCGCCAGCGCCCTTGGCGTGCACGACACGTTCGGGGATTCTCTCACGGTCAAAATGGGCGAGCAAGTCGATCAAGTGGAAGTCCTGAAGGAGGAGAGGTCCGTTGCGACCAACGCGCTGGGCAGCCTGGGGGTCCATGACCGGACAGCCGGTGGACGTGGTGTAGACGGGAGTCTCATTGTAGCGGTAGGTTCCTAGAGAGGATATGAGTTAGTCATGCTCTATTATGTAGAGAAGAATAGATGAATGGACATACTGGGTTCGTCGTCTTTGCCCATGGTGACAGATGTGCAGGGATAGTAGTGAATGAGAACAATAACACAAATGAAGTCAAAGTAAAAAAAGAAAGAAAAAGAAACAAACCGGGCGGGGCGCCTATATATACAAGTTGGACAGGGCTCTCCTTAGCCTTGAATGCTGCGACACGGCGAGATCCATCGGACCCAGTATAGCTTGTTCTTAGTACTATGGAAGCTGCCAACCAGATCCAGACGCATCGAGCTTGCTAATACTTTCTCCTCTTTTGCCTGGTTTCTTCCCCGCATTCTGTCCATTATTATTAATGTAAGGATATTGTTGGCTGTCTAGACTATGCAAGGATACTCAACAAGTACCTATGATGTACCCCAATATACTCTGATACACTTGGTGTACGGTATGTGTACTTGCAGAAAAAGAAGAGAAAACTTTCCCCCGCACTGCTTAAAATGGGATTGACCGAACAGTATCAACCAATTATTATCCATCAAATGTCAGACCCCACTTCACTGGCGTGACACGATTGGCTTAGTCACAAAGACCGGCCCGGACACTGGTTCCTGAGGCCCACTATATTCTTTTTCAAAATTACGACGAGAATTCACCGAAACGTGGCGTATCTTTAACTCGTTCTGGTATTTTTATTCCTTTGTTCAGCCAGACGTGCTTAACTGCTTTGGGTATGCACATTCTGGCCGGATCGAACTTCTATACTGGGAAGGACCATCATCTCAAGCAGAAGCACTGATTGTACAGAAAATATGGGAGAATTCCTAAGAGTTGTGAAATCAAAATGGACCTACCTTCGGACTGCAACGGAATAGGAAACCGATTCCACTCTATCACTTGCCCTAATGGAATAACCACGGAAACAGCCAAGACAGGTCCACCCACTCATTCTAGCGTCTTCCGCAGGAGGTCAATCAAAGTGATGATAATCACAGTACGCTGTAGGAACTCTCTATAAGCACTACTGGCATACGGTGTCTATTTCATAGACCACGGAACCAGCGGAAATCTCCGTTAAATTGGAATCCTGAATATCATCCTGATTCATTCCGATTCCGAGACATCATGGAAAACCACATCCCAACCACAAACTAACAACTATCTTTCAAGCCGACCATCGCGGAAATAAATAGTTAATTCTTCGAGGAAGAATTCTGGTTCTCGCTCTTCCCAATACTTCCGAAAGCACTCCCAGTTGACTTGCTCACTCCCTTGGCCGTATTACCCAATCCCTCCGACGCACCGCTCACAGTCTGTCCCAGGCCCTGAGTCGCTCCGCCAACCGTCTTTCCCACACCAGACACGGTGCTGCCCACGGTGCTGCCCACTCCGCTCACGGTTTTGTCGAGGGCATCGCCAAGGCCTCCGAAGAATCCAGCTGTTGGGGTCAGCTGTGTAGGGAGTGTCGGAAGTTTAGTAGTACTCACACGGCATGTTGTCTATTTATGGGTGTTATATGGGAGGGAAAAGAAAATTGATATTCAGCACGGCAGCAGAACTGTGGATATTGGTTTGATTATGTCGAGCTCTTGCACTGAAGTCTGGGTTGCGTTCAGGAGTTTTGCGGTGGCTCGTCGTCACTCCACCTATGATATCATCGCTGGCCAATGGTGAAGTTTAGAGGCATATCAAACTCGTCCACGAAGTATGTTTACTTATCAACTAAAAACAGAACAGAAACCAACAGGAGTGACTCTCATAGACATATCTCGACAACGAGTATAGGTGGTATTTGTAACTGCAGAAGGGGGTTGGTGTATTTCTGTTGAGTGAATGGGTGATCAAAACAGTAGTCAGTAGTACCAATAGTAGAGTAAACCATGATCATCTGTTTGTATCTGTTCCAGTTCCACTGTTAGCTAATTGCAGCAGACTTCAAAGGCAGAACAAACAAAATGCTGATGAACAAATGTAAAGTTTTCTATGAATATGTGTTGATAGTCCTGGACTAAAGTACTCTGTAGGTCTCTACCCACTCTCTTCGTAACTATTCAACATCCATCTTGAAGCGATTTAAATCGATTGGATCTGAATCAGATACCTGATACTATATCCCCTTGCTGCACGCAATCTTTTTATCTTTGAACTGAGTCTGCGTTATTCGCTGGTGCGTTGAGCTTTCATACGCACAGAATTGTCCAGAAGCATTGTATCTTTCGCGCCCTATGCTTGGGAATTACTCTGGAGTAATGCATGGCAAAGCAACAAACCATAGCCGTCTCAGGCAAGTCATTTGGTTGGTGGGTCCCTTTTACAGAGTACCTTGGCCGTTGACCTGGTACAGTACACGAGACATGACTGCCAGGGAAAGCGGCTAGTGTGCCCAAAGATGGCATCGAACCTCTGTCCTTGTGAGAATGTTGGGATGCACCAGTACAGACTTCCAGCTGGAAAACGGAAAATATTATGCAACAACCTGAAATTGATGGAATATGGTAGTGCGTAAGCGGAAGGACGCTCATACGCTTCACAAAAACTTCGTCATTCGAGATTGACTGCGTTGGTTTCGCGTTAGTGCATGCGGTCGCCCCTTTGGAGGGAGTTACTATACAATCCGTGGTTTCTCGAAGCAAAATATGAACAATCTTGTAATCTTGGTGTTAACATGCATATTGGACTTGATGCGCGCCGAACTGTATGTGGTCAGCTGACCAACAACTACTTGACAGCGCCCTTGCAGCACCCATGTGCTCTACAAGTGACATGTGCTCTATATCTCAATCCAGAAAGCGATCTTTTAATCTCCTAGATCTTAAAATACCAATCAAAAGATACTTTGATCCATTTCGACCGCTGTCATGCCCACACTAACGGCTTGGCTGCGGTTTTTCGCGGCCAACAAAAACTCTGCGTTATTCTCAATCACCGAATATTCTTCCATTCTTTTATATATCTTTCTCTCTCTCCCTCTCTCCCTCTCTCCCTCTCTCCCTACTCCAATCATCAAATAGAGAAAAGAAGCAATGCAACGGCGCTACTACTGGCCGCTGTAGTATCCATACTAGTGGGGAGCTCCACTGGCTTGGGCGGGCTATCATAAATTCCAAGCGAGGCCAGTTCCAGTTCTTCCGTCCACATTGGCTCCCCGTCCGGTCCTGCTTCCCTCTCCCGGTCAACCTTCCCCTGATTTTCCTCCGCCGCCGTTCCCCGTTCTGTGCCTGGCAATTGCTTTGCTTTCTACAGCATGGCTTCCCCAAAGGCACAGGGCGCAATTGCGTCCACAGAGGAGCCGGTATCGTCGCCTCCGACTCCGGACCACCGCAATTCCACGTCGTCTATGAGCAGGATGGTTCAAGATGCCAAGGCGGCCACTGATAAGGAACAGAAGATGACCTTGTTACAAGGCATCAAAACCTATCCCAAGGCAGTGGCTTGGAGTGTGCTTATCTCTACGTGTATAGCAATGGAGGGCTACGATATCAGTCTTGTGAACAATTTCTACGCATTTCCGCCCTTCAATCGCAAATACGGTGAGCAGATGACAGATGGCTCATATCAGGTACCGGCTCAGGTAAGCTTTTCCTCTTCTTTTCTCCCCCTATCCTTCATCGCGTTTGTAGGAAATAACTGACGAAAAGATTTTTTTTTTCTTCTAGTGGCAATCGGGTCTTAGCAATGGTGCCTACGCCGGAGAAATCATCGGTCTTTTTATCAATGGATGGGCTTCGGAACGCTTCGGATATCGATATACCCTTATAGCCTGCCTGCTTTTGGTCTGCGCATGGACAGCTATCTTCTTTACAGCCCCCAACGTCCAAGCCCTGCTCGCCGGTGAAATTCTTTGCGGAATCCCATGGGGTGTCTTCCAGACTCTCACCGTCACCTATGCGTCCGAAGTGTGCCCCGTCGCCCTGCGAGGATATCTGACAACCTACGTAAATTTCTGCTGGGGTCTCGGACAATTGATCGGTATCGGCGTGATCACGTCGATGTTGCCTCGGAACGATCAATGGGCATACCGGATACCGTACGGGTTGCAGTGGATGTGGCCGGTTCCACTGATAATCGTCATCTTCTTCGCCCCCGAGTCGCCATGGTGGCTTGTCAGGAAACACCGAACCGAGGATGCTAAGAGCTCGCTGCGACGTTTGACCAGCGTCAAGAAGGATTCCGACTTTAACCCCGAGGAAACCGTGGCCATGATGGTCCACACGACCGCGCTGGAAGAGAAAATCACAAAGGGAGCCAGCTATCTGGATTGCTTCAGGGGAACGGACCTGCGCCGAACGGAAATCGTCTGCATGGTCTGGGCCATCCAGAACCTGAGTGGGAATTCATTCTCCAATTATTCGACTTACTTCCTGGAACAGGCGGGGTTGGCCACGTCCAACGCCTATGCATTTGCCATGGGACAATACGGAATCAACATGGTGGGCGTGTTCGGTTCCTGGCTCCTCATGACTATGGGAATTGGCCGACGCTCCCTATACCTATACGGCCTTTGCGGCCTTTGCGCCATGCTCTTCATCATGGGATTCCTAGGCCTCGTCCCAGAGGCCCACCGAAACGAGGCATCCCTCGCCACAGGCTCCATGATGCTTGCGTGGGCCCTCTTCTACCAACTAACAGTAGGAACAGTCACCTATTCCCTCGTGGCGGAACTCTCCACCCGCCGCCTGCAGATCAAAACCGTCGTCCTAGGCCGCGCCCTCTTTAACATCGTCGCCATCGTCTGCGGTGTACTAACCCCCTACATGCTCAACCCTGGCGCCTGGGACTGGGGCAACTACGCCGGCTTTTTCTGGGGCGGCATTTGCTTCCTCTGCATCATGTATACATTCTTCCGCGTCCCGGAACCCAGGGGCCGCTCGTTTGCGGAACTCGACATGCTCTTCGAGCAAAAAGTTGATGCGCGCAAGTTCGCGCAGACACAGGTCGATGTTTTCGGTGAGACTATCCAGGGCCAGGTTGTCGATGAATATCAGACTCAGAAGGCGGCAAGGACGGATGTGGCTCAGTTGGAGAAAGAGGCTGAATCTCCGAACTCGACGAGTCCGACGAAATGATATGATGCGTTTGGTATGCGATGTGATGTTGTATGACCATGAACAAAAGCATTGGCATTGGCTTTTTTTTATATATATACATACTTTTAATATCTTTCTTGTGAATAGTTCATTTGCCTGTATATAATTTTAATATCCAAACATGCAATAGATGAATGACACTAATGATAATCATTGCTCAAGTTGCAAATGTCGTTATATAAATGTTTACTCGTGACTCCACTCTGGCTTCTTCTTCTCAGAGAAGGCCTTCATTCCAATCTTCTGATCCTTCGTCCCGAAAAGACTGTGAAACAGTCTCCGCTCATACTCAACACCCTCCTTGAGCGGCAACTCCTGACTCTTATTCACAACCTCCTTGCCCGCCAACACAGCAATCCGACTGTAACTCGATATCTTCGCCGCCGTCGCAATCGACTTCTCCAACAACTCATCCTTACCCCCGTCAACAACCTGCGACGCAAGACCCCACTCCCCGGCATTCTTTCCACTGAAGTTGTTCCCCGTCAGGACGATTTCCATCGCCCTGCTCTTTCCAATGGCCCGGGTAAGACGCTGCGATGCACCGGCACCGGGGATAACACCCAGCTTGATCTCAGGCTGCCCGAAGGTAGCGGATGAGGTACAGTGGAGCATGTCGCACATGAGGGCGAGCTCGCAGCCTCCACCGAGGGCGTAGCCGGAGACGGCGGCGATGACGGGTTTGCGGACTGCGTTGGCGAGGTGGGACCAGGGGGCGATGAAGTTTTGGGCGTACGCGGAGGAGAAGGTCAATGGTTCCATTTCTTTGATGTCGGCGCCGGCTGTGGAGTGTTATATTAGTGGTCGTTCAGTTGGTCAAACTCGACAGAGGGGGACATACCGGCAAAGGCCTTCTCGCTACCAGTGATAACAATGGCACCGATGTCCTTGTCTGCTTCGTATTTGTTCAGGGCATCGTTGAGTTCGGCAATGAGGGTGGAGGAGAGGGCATTGAGGGCCTTGGGACGGTTTAGAGTGACTGGATCCCTTGTTAGCACCCATACAGAATGCTTGACGAAGATAATCACACACCCAGTCCAACATTAGGCTTAGGGGTCTCGGTGAGAATGGTCTCGTAGCTCTTTGCACCAGTCGTCGAGAATGTCCTGCCCGCTCGGTTAAGGTATGATGCCGAGGGCACGACGGGTCTGACGACGAAGAATCTCGAGCAGCGTTGGGCAAACATTATGATATAGTGCTAAGGGAAAGGAGAGTACTCTGTGTCAATTGTCAATTCACCAGATCAGAGTCAATCAATTGAAGATGAGGAGAGGGTGTGATATGGGTTACTCTGAAGCGGAGGGGAGGCATACAACAACCGCGGCGGTCCAGCGGCGGCCCGCAAATGACCGACGGCAGCCGCCGCAATCCCGTGATTTTGCGTTACATCATGGCACCCTTTAAATCATGTGATAATTTAGTCATGTGATGACTGAAAGCGGACAAGCGCGATGGGGCGCAGCAGCCGTACCTGGATGTGGCTGGTGTAAGTGACAGCCAACGACAAGCCGCGACAGTGGACACTTTTTTCCTTTGCTGCTTCCTGCTTACATTCGTTTCGCCGCATTCCGTCGTTGGCCAGTGTTTCAGCCTGCATTTGACCTTATTCTCCGTCGCAATTGATTCTTTGGTCCTTGTTCCTTCCTCCCGTACAGCAGCAGTCTTGAGAGCAACCGCTTGTTTTCCATCTCAATTTCGCAGCCATGGATGTCCCCGAACCCGAACAGACTCCGTTTATGGCAGTGACGGCGCAGACCTCGAAGCTGAACAGGGTGAGTTGCAGTGTTCACTGTTGAATATTGGCGTTCGCTCTTGACTTCTTTCTTGTCGCGAGAGCTGCGAGTGTGGAAATGAGGCGCATGATTTCCAAGTCCGGTGCTAATCAACGATGTGGTCCTTTAGCAATACCAAACCTATCTCGATGCTTCGACTCCCTTCACTGCCTATCGCTGGACTGGAACCGCTGTCCTCCTCCTCCTCTTCTTTCTGAGAATCGTTGTTGCCCAAGGATGGTACATTGGTATGGCAAATTATTTAACCTGAAACCGCAGGCGCCTCCACCCATCGCAATCGATAACTAACAAGAACCTCTTCTCCAGTTGCCTACACCCTCGGAATCTACCTCCTTAACCTCTTCCTTCTCTTCCTGCAACCCAAGTTCGACCCCTCCCTCACCCAAGACGAAGGCCTGGAAGACGGCGAAGGCGCCGGTCTCCCCACCAAGCAGGACGACGAGTTCCGCCCCTTCATCCGCCGTCTTCCCGAATTCAAGTTCTGGCACTGGGCTACCCGGGCCATTGCGATCGGTTTCGTGTGCTCATGGTTCTCGGTCTTTGATATTCCGGTGTTCTGGCCTGTTCTTGTGGTTTATTGGATTATTCTTTTCGTTCTGACGAGTAGGTGTCCTTCTTTCTGGTGATGCTTATAATTCGTCGACATTTGCTAACGTTCTAAAGTGCGCCGCCAAATCCAGCACATGATCAAGTACCGCTACGTTCCCTTTTCGTTCGGAAAGACCAAGTATGGTCGGTCGTAAGGGGCTTCTACCGAGTTTGATTGATAATTGAAACGGTCCGTGTCTTCACATTGGAGGTTCTCTTTCTTCATATTTGCCAGTAATTCGACCCTCCATGTTCGTTACGACTCTCCTAGATCTTTATGGACATAACCGAAGCGTGTGAAAAGGGAGGAGTTTCGCTATGTATCTCTATTGATTGATGATGACCGTTCGGGATCTGAATTTCATGAGCCTACTTGCTTTAATTACATGTATACAATTCTATTTTATTACATTTTTTCTTTGACTATTAATGCCGTGTATGTGTTTCGAACTATGTTCGTGTGTAACATTGTTTTGAAGCCTAAGTCGGGTTAGAGAAAGGAGAATTAGCTGCATATGCATGTCATACATTGACATTAGCAGGGATTGCTCTCTATAGAAAAGTGAACATTATTCTCATTCTCTTATCCAAATCTAGTCATTTTCGCCGTCAAACCCAGGTATATGAACAAGAAAGGCCCAAACGCCAGTTTATTTACACCATGCTCTTAAATATCCCGCAGCCTTCTAACAAAGAAAGACAATGCAACGCAGATCAGACCATTAACCCGAGTATCATACCAGATAATCATAGAAGCAATAGAAGATTAGAGCTCAAGGTGATCAACGCTCGACCGTTTCTCATCAAGCGAGAGCGAAGAAATCCCTCGGTCCGTAGAGGGTCTCTGGACCTCCTTGGTCTTGGTGCAGATCCAAGTCGAGGCGTACATGTTGACACTGTTCTTCGTTAGCATCAATGTTCAAAAATATTTTTTTTCCAGGCGTGAACTTACCGGTCGATACACGTGCCTTGGAATCTTGCCCCAACACGACGAGCAGAGAAGCCGTTCTCCTCGAATTGCTTGATGTACCATGGCTCAATGCTGGCAGAACGAAGGAGGATACGACCGCCCATCTTCAGGGCGTAGTTTAGGGTCTGGGCTTGGGAAGAGGCTTCCACACCGTCAGTGTCGAACCAGTCCATAGAATCCATGACCACTGCAATGGTCAAGCTGCGAGGAGTAATCCGCTTGATCACCTCGTTGATCTCGTCAGTGTGGATACGAAGACTGTCGAAAGCACCCGGCGACGAAAGCTTCACGTGGGCTCTAGGAGACAGGTAGGCGGGATGGCATCTATTTCCTGTTAGTTTCCTGCGGGCCAGAATTAATAGGCACCGTTTGACTCACTTTCTCGAGAACTGGCCCTGAAGGCACAGGAAGTAGAAGTAGTTGTCGTTGCTGATCATGGTGTCCTGGACCACCGGATCCAGAGTGTCAATAACGTATTCCCAGATTGACTGTCCACTGACATCCTTGCTCTGCTTCATGTTTTGGTTGAGGCCGTTTCGCTTGTAGTAGTCGTCGATGATCATATTTCGCTGGTTTCGGGGAACACCAGCAGCCTTCCACGCAAACCATTCGGTTCCCACCACAGCCCAGTGAAGTGGGCGGCTCATGAGAACTCGGCGGATACGAGGCCAGATAGCGCGCTGTTCAGGCAGGGTCTGAGCTTCACATAGTTTCCGCACTTCGCTCTCGAGACCAAAGACTTTGAAGATGTAGCGAACCATCTTGATTGCATGACGCGACCCACCGGACTCGTAGAGTCCTTTGCCGTGAGAAGACGTGAAGACGTGAGTGTGCTCCAACCAGTACTGGAAGGCCTGGCTGGAAAGATGAGGGCTGAGCTTAGAAACGAGGAGTTGACGGAACTCAGGGTGTTTTCCTTCGCCGAAAATCTTCCAAACATCACGGTGTCCCAAGGCAATGAAGCTGGCAACCTTCAGCTCTAGAAGGTGGTTTTGGTTAGGGTTCAAGTCCACAGCGTGAACTCTGCGGGGACTGTTCTGCAAGTAGTCCAAGACGTTGTCACCGGCGCTGGTGATGGCCAAGATCACATCATCACGGGTAATGTTCAAAAGTCGATGGTCCACACGAGGGTCCTCCCAGTTGAAAGCATAGATGTACTCGTTTCCAAATTGTGTGTGCTTGGGGAGCAGGTCATTGTAGAAGATCCGGTAGTGGTGGTTCTGATAGAATGTAGATGGAAGCGGAAGGTTCGAGTCCAGGTTGATGATGGCTGATTCGTAGGCCTTGGATCGGATCTCGCGAGCACTCTGTTCATTTGCCTTCTCCACCTCCTGTCGGTGGTTGGCAGGAGACAAGTAAGGCGACTCAGTGAAAGAAGCGTCCAATTTTTCGATAGCGTCATTACCGGCGGGGCTTGACACAACATCCTTCTGACATCCGATGAAGATGTAGTAGGGAATTCCTCCAAGGAGGTAGTTCCGCTCACTAGCTGAGATGACAGTTCCAAAGCGGTATTCCAAGTAGTCACGACGAGCAGCCTCGAGCGACACGCGATCCAAATCGAACCAGGCACGCCAGAACAGGCGTCCAAGCCAGTTGACATGGCGGTTGAAAGCGCCACCGATGTAGTTGCGGGATGAGACATCAACAATGCTTTGGACTATTCCCGCAAGTCAGTTTCTGTACTGGTCTCCACGCGTGACTTTACTTACCGTAGAAATCGCAGACACCAAGAATTCCACTAGTCTTCATCAAAGATGTCAAGGAATCGACGACGCTATAGTAGTCTGCCAGTTGAGTGAGCATTTGCCCTCATGAGATACCGAGGAGCCTTCGAGGCATTGTGCTTACCTGGGATCATGGACAAGCTGTAACTCATGGTAGCCACATCGGCACCCGAAGTAGTTGTGCTAACCTTGGTCCGAGGGTCGACGTTTTCAACTTCCGGGAGACGGAAGGTCCGCACATCTTGACAGACAACAGAGACGTTTTTCCATCCGAGTCGTTGGAAACGCTGGCGGGCGACATCGCAGAGCGAAGGGGAAAGGTCAACTAGGTAGACATGCGAGAAGAACGAGTCGACGGGGAGGAAGGCAGCCATTGCTTCGATGTTATATCTATTATCTCTGTTAAAATAGGGGAATTCGAATGCTCGACCGTTCTCAATGCTCACCCTGTGCCACCACCCATCTAAACAATTAGTATCGTTTTTTCAGGAGATCAAACGGGAGAAATCTTACATCAACCCATACAGCCTCTCCATGCCGGAGCGCCTTGCTTTCCACCTTGTGTTTCATCTGAGCGGCAACAAGACCCAACATGTCCTCCCTACCACAGAGAAGACGCTTCCTGGTGGCATCGTAAACACCCGCCTAGAAACCCAATTCTGTCAGCGAAAAGAGAACATAGCGAGTAAGACATGGACATTGCTTTGAGTCTGTACCTGGGTTTTGTAGAAGCTCTCCAATGCATCTTGCTGACCGTAACCCTTTTCATGGGGCTTGAGAAATGAAGCGTAAATGAACTTCAAATAAGTGAAGATGCCGCTATTGTAGTCGACTTTCTGCTTCCGGAAGGAGTAGAGAAGAATCGCGGCCACAAGAGCAAACACCAAGAATGCTGTGCCTGCAATGTAGGCATATTGCGGGTCGACGCTGTTCAGCAGCGAGCCAACAGGACTACTACTGCTGACAAGGTCCATTGTGCAATGGGAAAGAACACTCAAAAGGAGAAGATGGAGGAGGAATGTCGTGATTAGAGGGAAAATATGAGAAGGAAGAAGAGAAGAGCAGAGAAGAGGGGACGAGATGCTTTCTTTTGAATCCAATCCAATTGCCATGAAACGGTACGTACCCTCTAGAGAGTACGAGCACCTCACTATCGTCCAGCCCCACCATCGTGACCCCTCGATACTGTTTCTCCGGGTCCAGCAACTCTCATTCTCCCAAAGCTTTGGAATTCCCCCAGTGGACCGCATCGTCATGTCCTATCAGGGCAACACATGGGTGGCGATAAGATACGGCGCAGGACGGTTTAGGAGACGACGATCCATCCCGGGGTGGGGGAGGATCATAGAAGCTATTCTTGTGGACGTGGCCAAAATTGGAAATAGTGAAGCATTTGGAGAGCAGAGGAAAGAGACGGGCAAGTCACAGTCTCTCACGCGGTCATGTGTCGGCCATGGGCCTATAGAGAGAGCGGACAGCGCGGGACCAATCAGAGGGCAGCGTGCGGGCACACTTCCGCTACGGGGACTGCGGACGGTCAACCGAGAGTTTGTATGGACTCATAGTCACAGTCAGTGAGAAGGGGCAATGGAAGATAACGGGTGAGAACGGAGCGTTTGTTTGCCATAGTTTGTTCTCAATTCCTCAAACCGAGGTGGTATCTACAGTAGTACCAGTAGCATAACTATGGAATCCTCACCACGGCCCGTCCATCAATTTCGCCTCGTTCCAATCGCTGCAAAACCTCATTGATCTGACTCAATTCAAAGCTTTCAATATGTGCCTGGACTCCTCTTGCCACAGTCATCTCCATCAACTCGTTCATCTCTTCCGGGGTCCCGGCGGAATTGCCCACAATTGTCAACCCTAGCAATGTCAACCATGCACCAAATCTATTTTCCAATTGCTCCTACTTACCCTTGACAATCATGTCAAACGGAGTAGCAGGTAGCCTGAATGGCGTACTCGGAATCCCGACACAGACCAACACCCCCAGGCGGCGGAGCAGACGCATACTTTGCATGTACGCCATCTCCCCGTGAGCGGTGCATATCACGGCATGTGCACCTAATCCGGATGTCAGAGTCTTAACTCCACTTTCAATATCGTCCGTCCTGTAGTCTAAAAAGCAACTAGCACCTAGTGAGAGACAAAGTTGCTTTTTATTTTCGCCGCTGTGCATTGACAAATCGGTTAGCCAACCGACTGCTTAGCTATTCGACCCATTTGGAAGGAGCATGAACCTGTCAATGGCGATCACTTTTAGTCCTTTCCTTGCTGCGATCTGTACTCCCCTGGACAATCAATGTTAGTTTATAGGGAAGCAACAAAAATGCCGGAACAAGTACATATGCCCTAAACCTCCGCCAGCTCCAGGCAAAACGAGCCAATCGCCCGGTTTGGTTTTGGTCTTCATGATGGAAGAGTACATGGCAATTCCAGCTACACTTATTTAGCCACCTATGGGCCCTGCTGGGATCTTAGAGTCAGACAGAGCATCCATACCACATAGAAGCGGCGCGGCTGTATCCGAAGGGAGTTCAGGCGGGATCTTCGTCACATGGATTGCAGGGCTGACAATGTACTCTGCACTTGGTCAGTGCCTTGCATGTACCAATAGTAGTATGTCAGAGGTTGCACTTGCGTTGAAACGTGCCGGGGACATTCTGCAGCATGTCAGATGTCGTTCACATGTACTCCGTATATACTCCAGACAAGGACAAGAACATACTGCACCAGCATTTCTCTGATAAGGACATGCAGTCTGATTTACTGCGCAAATCTCACAGCTTAAGCAAGCGCTGTATAGCCATCTGTCTCATGTTAGTCGCCTGTACTAGTACGCAAACTAAACTTCTTTCTCACCTTATCCCAACTCTTTCCCCCAACCATTCCGTCTCATCAAGTTCTGGGTCAACTATCAAATAGGAATAGATTATTATTATAATTATTTCGAATACATCTGGGTACAAGTACCTACCCTGAACAACTTTCCCGATCCCCTCGTGACCCGCCACGTCCGTTAACATAGGCGTCTCCCCGCGTACACTGTGCACATCTGAATGGCACACTCCAGAATATTCAAGCTTAACCAGAATCTCCCCTTTCCCTGGCGTTGGAACGGGGCGAGTAGTGGCTATCTGGAGCTGGGCTGTCGGGGATGCACCAGTTGGTGGGAGAACAGCAGCAATCTGGGTCTCGGGGATTGGCATTTTTGCAGTCGTCATGGTATGATATTTTCTGACAAGCAGTTGATTGAGCAGAAATGAGGAACAGATTTGAGTAGGGTTGCATTGAGCCGTGCTTGGGGCGGTGCCTCTTGTATCCTGGGCGTTGTATACATGCATGAACGTCAGAAGAGGGGTTGCTCTTGCATCCACCGGTGCTTGCAGGGATGATTGGATAAAATTTGCATATTGGATGGTACTTCGTGACACTGATATAAGAGAAGTAGTTATAGATAAGACAAGTAGTTGTCCATTTCAGAATCCTTGCTCGTGGTACATAATATGTATGGAATCTGTAAAAAGAAAATAATTTTAGCTTACAGTCAACTTAACTGCAGTCGAATTGTTTAACCAGATACTAACTTAGTAGCAAAAAATATCACAGCTATACGTCGCAACTGATGCATTGTGACTCTATCTTCATAAGCAACGCTTAGTGGGAATCACCACCGTCCCAACCAGTGTCCATCGTAGTCCATGAGCTATAGACCCAGTAAAAAAACATATAAAACGGTAAAGACAAAGAAAATAAAACGGAAATCATTGAACCAGCACAATCCATAAACCTTTGCCTGAACAGATCGAATTCCGGCTCCACGAATCATATGCAACAATGCATGTCATAACAACCAAACCAACGATTAGGATATTAAAAGCATAGGACAAAAGCTGTCGATGTAAAAACACAGACTCAGTAACAGAGTCAGGAAGAAATGAGGATACTGGCACCTCACGTACCAGAGGAGGCACCCCCGAGTCCCCGAGCGGGTTTTGAGATGAGTATATCGAAGAAGGGAATCTATATCATGACGCAAAAAGACGCCGGCGTTTATGCGTTGTCCGACTGAATGGTTTGCTGCGTGCACAGGCGATGGTCAGCAACCTGGCATTTTGCTTACTATAGATCGGAAAGGGAACTCACCACCAGCCAATCCATGCCTTCGTCGAGACCTTTACCATCAATAGCAGAGCATGCCACAATGCTCCAGTTCCGGTCTCGCAGTTCTCCAAGCTTCAATGCTTCTGAGATCTCGCCAGCACCCTTGGCACCCGGTTGGTCTTGCTTGTTGGCAAATACCAAAAGGTTCGCATCGCGGAGTTCCTCCTCGTTCAACATAGTAGCAAGTTCATCGGCCGCGGTTCCCAACCGTTCGATATCCGTTGAGTCGATAACGAAGATGACCGCAGCAGTATTGGCATAGTAGCATCGCCAGTATGGACGAATTGATGTTTGGCCCCCCAGATCCTGCAATTGAAAGACACCGTGTTAGCAGCCGTCGCTTGCACCTTCACTTTCCATAATCAAAGCATTGGTATCATGCAGGTAAAGCGACGTACCCAGACATTGAAATTCAGATTCCGATATGTCACCGATTCAACGTTGAAACCAATGGTAGGTATGGTCGTTACAACTTCGCCGATCTGTCCAAAGTGAGACATCAGTAAATCATTCCTCAACAACAAGAGCCATCAACAACCATACCTTTAAGCGATAAAGAAGAGTCGTCTTTCCGGCATTATCCTATCCAGACAAATTGATCAGCACGGTAATGGTCTACTTCGTGTCGACCTTCCATTCAACGTACGAGTCCAAGAATGAGAATCCGGATTTCCTTCTTCGACCAAAGCAAGTTCCATATTCTTGATAGAGAGGCGCCCATATTTCTGTATCCGGTTTGTAATAGGGAGAAGGAGAAAGGTGTGAATAGCAGAAGTCGGACTCGCGATCGGGGTCTCTTGACAGGAGATGGCTGCGGGAGATCCCAAGGAAAGCGGTGGCGGATTGAACTGTAGGAGGGAGAAAACGCGTTCGCAACTACCCTTAATAAGAAGGGATTTCGAGTAGTTATATAGGCCGGATGTAGAATGAAACTGATGGTGCTGGATAGAGAGGAATCAACATAACCAACTGTAGGCACACGAGATCATGGGGCTGACTAAACACTGCCTAGTGGCGCTGTTATTTTTGCGGGCGGCGGCGATCGGGGGCCCTGGTCCAAGCTTGCCGTTTGGGATGGAAGGGAAAACCGATGGGAGAAGGAAAGAGAATGGAACACATAATAATGGAATGACCCTGCGGAAAGGCGCGCTTCTTTCTCTCTTCACTCTCTCATCCACCTCTCAATTGTCCACCATCACCACGCGCGCTCCTCATCCCATCCTTTGGAAAAATAATTACTTCTGGTCAACTATTATCGCTTATACTCATGGCGTTCGTTATCTGAAGAATCGCACCAGTATCGTCACCCTCCTTCCGTTACGCCTTGCGATCCGCCCCATTCCCGTCAGATTACTCTAGAGTCATCCAACGTTTCTTCCGGAAGAAAGAGCACAATGGTTGGTAAAAAGTCTGGAAAGGCTCTCCTTCGGGATGAAGGTAAGGATCTAGTCCGGCCCCGAAAGTTATGCGGAGTTGAGATCCAGGGACTGATGTCTTGAAACTTGTCATAGGCCTTGAGCGAACCGATAATAACATGGAATTATCGACCTGGCCTGTGGTACCTCCGATTAATCAGAAGAATTACTATACGTACGTGCTTAAACCTACCGCCGGTGTCGCTTTCACGGCTTTCTCGCTGACTCCTGGCTCTCTGCTCTAGCGACTACCTCAAGAGAGACGATCAGTATCTCGCATTCCGACTACAAAATGAAGAGAATCGAAATCGCATGGCCAAAACGGCCAAGGACCGGGACCGTGCACTTGCGATGAAGGGACACGATGCAGAAGCGGACGCGGATCTGGATGGCGACACGAACATGGAAGATGGAACTGAAGAGACTCAAGAAACAGCTGGCTCCAAGGTCATTGTCATGCACCTCGGCGGTCAGAACTTACGGATCGGTTTGGCCAGCGATGCTTTACCAAAGACGATCCCCATGGTCATCGCGAGGAAATCTGCTACCTGCGAATCCGAAGACCAGGAAGAACCGAATCCGAAGAGGTTGAAGACGGAGGACGGCTCTGAACTGGAACCAGAGAAGATGTTTGACCAGGAGGTTTGTTTTGCGTTTTTTAGACTAAATGCTAAGGTTGCACTTACTGACTGCGATCTCTGTCAGTTTTCTTCGCAATATTCGACCATGGCGGCCGACCTGAAAGTCCACATGCGGCAGAATAAACGCCGGACCCTCCCCAATTCGAAGGAAATGGTTGTCAACTACAACCGTCGAACAGTACCTGAGACGATTTCGGAACACAACGACCCGATGCGTATCGAGTGGACGGAACTCAATAACCCTGCACCCGAATATATCACTGGTCAAGATGCATTAAGGATACCGGATCTATCGAACCCTCGCTATAAACTATACTGGCCAATGCGACATGGGTGGTGCAATGAAAAGGACTACGACAGCAAAAGAGTTCTGTTTTTGGACATTGCGCTCATCCTTGAAGAGGCGATCAAGAACCAGCTTGGCCTTACAAGCAAGAAAGAATGGCCGCAGTATTCATGCGTCTTTGTAATACCGGATCTCTACGAAAAGTCCTACGTGACTCAGGTCCTTGAGCTGCTGATGAGAGAATTTGCATTTGCTCGCGTCTGCTTTATCCAAGAAAGCCTGGCAGCTACCTTTGGAGCTGGATTCACATCCGCCTGTGTGGTAGATATTGGTGCGCAGAAGACATCGATATGCTGCGTGGAGGAAGGCATGTGTATTGAGAACTCGCGCGTCAACCTGAAATACGGTGGTGCCGACGTTACCGAAGCTTTTATCAAAATGATGCTGTACGACCATTTCCCCTATGCCGACATCAATTTGTGGCGTAGGTACGATTTCCTGCTAGCTGAAGAGCTGAAGAAGAATATATGTACCATGAACGAAGCCAACGTCTCGGTACAACTTCACGATTTCCATCTTCGTGTTTCTGGGCAAGACACACGGAAGTACACGTTCAAAGCGTATGATGAAGGGCATCTGGCCCCAATGGGCCTTTTCCAGACCTCTACCTTTGACAATTCACATAAGCTCAAGGGTCGGAGGACACTGATTGAGCGCTCGGTTGACATTTACGATGGTCAACCGAATGATCCGGTGTCTGCGGCTCAATCCGAGATCTTGAATTCTCTTGCTCCGCCAGCTGCCAATGGACATGTGAATGAGGAGACCACATCAAAAACATTGGACGTCCAATCAACCCCAAGCCGCTCACATAATACCAATGCTCTAGGCCGGGTTCAAGATCTTGAAGCTACGCCTCGGTCATCTGTTGCTGGCTCTCCTGCCCCGGAGGCGACAAGTACACCACATGGAGGCGGAACCAGCACCCCGGCCGCGGGTGGACAGGGCGCAGGTGCACTAACATCTCGCGCTCCAACTGTTGAGGAACGGGACGACATTATCCCGATCCTTTCGTTGGACAATGCAATCCTTACCTCCATCGCACACGCTACTCGTGGAGAAGAGCGTAAAATGCGAGAATTCATGGGAGGTATCATGATTGTGGGAGGCGGTAGTCTAATCGATGGTTTCCACCCATTCCTCGAAGAACGGTTGAAGAACCTCCGGCCTGGGTTTGCTAAGGAGATTATGATTGGTACTCCTCCGAGAGAGCTTGATCCGCAAGTCGTTGTCTGGAAGGGTGCCAGTGTGTTTGGAAAGCTGAACCAAACGAATGATAGCTGGATTGGCCAGTTGGAGTATGATCGCTTGGGTCATAGACTAATGGCCTATAAATGCATGTGGGCTTGGTGATTTATGTTTCGTCTCTTATTAAGTTTGGGTCTGTTTAACTATGTATGGAGAACGGGTTTCGGTTATTGGTATATGATATTGATGTTAGTTAGCTTTTTTTTTTTTTTTTTTTTTTTTGTAACAAAACAATGCAGTTCAACTGATGCTTCTGATTATGCAGGTATCATGGTTAGAGATTTGGCATGTTATGTCGTAGTCCAAACAACTGATATTGGAGAATCTATGGAAAATCCTATTTTCCGGCCTCTCGATTCATTAATTTTAGGCGGTAGTGTTTGGCAGAATAACAAGTCTAGTCTTCTCTCCGAGGCGTTCGCGCAACAGAGAACCTGTTTGTATCCAATCGCTCTTATTTCCTAATAACGCCTGTGCCAAGGACAGGGGTGCAAGGATCGCATACTATCCCAGTTCTGGCTAACTGCTCGACTCAAATATCTGGATTTCCGCAGGGCACCGCTCATTGAAGCGTCTCCCACCATTTGAAGTCTACACCAGACGATAACATCAACATGTCCAAGTCCAAAAGTGGCTCCTCTGGGGGCTACCACCAAGAGTACATTGCTTCAACACGCTACCGAAATGACCTCCCTCCTCCGGACATGCCCCCAAAGTTCCTAGAGATCCCGCATGAGGGGCTCGAACGGTTTCTGACGCCGGGCTTTACGTCGAACCTGGCTCGACGCGAAGAGCCAAATATCGATGTCGATGCGGAAGGTGGAATGCCAATTGATCTTGTCGGTATTCCAGGACTTCATCTGGGTGATGAGAGTGGTAAGTAGCTGATCTCTACGTGTTCACACATGTGTTTGCTTCACTGAGCTAAAATATGGTGCATAGCTATCATGGCCCCCGAAAACCCGCAACCTATTGATACAGCCGATCTCCCGCTTCTCATGAGTCTGGAACAGCTGAAGAATCCGGCACCGAAGAATACGAACGTCAGTTTCCTGCGGCGGACTCAGTATATCTCAGCTGGTTTACGTGCCCCTGATGGTGGCTCTAGGCCTACTCCGACAAGAGTGAAGCCGCGTGAAGATAAACACAAGAACCAAGATGACCCGACCTATATCAAACGTTATATCCAGAAGGGTTTCGATACCGCCTACCCGGAAAGCAAGCATACTGGCGAAGAGACCGCGAGCAAAATCAAGGGCCACACAGCTACAAAGGCAGAACACGATGCATGGGCAACACCTGTTCATCCGGATAACCCGAAGCTCAAGCCCGTTGGTTTCTATCCCGTCATGCCCGATTTACAAGGGTTCCCGGACCCTGGTGGTTTTGTTCAATTCAAGTTCGACAAGGCGCCTGTACAAGGCGTTTCAGGGAAGCGCAACAAGGCCATGGATGTTGCTATTCTGCTTCCGTCTGCCCCCGAAGAGCGCGTTTGCCAGGAGCATGCTACTAAGGTGGCCCTGCACAAGACGAACCCTAACCTTTACCCCGATCCGGGTCCGATTCCGTGGGACTACGATCTTTTCTTGCCTGATAAGAAAGAAGCAACACAGAATGTCATATCCAGTCTTGATATCTCGAACCCGAACCGTGATAGCCCTGAATTATACACTCACAATGGACCTGATGACACTAAGTTCCACCGTTTCGACCGCTCTCGCACATATGCCACCAGCGCACAAACGCTAAGTAACGACCACAAGCAAAGAGATGTCGCTCTGGCCCTATTCGATCCGGAACAGGTAGCGGAGGGCCAGCAGGATATTGCGCCTTCCAAGCAAAAAGCTGCCTACTACTACCCGATCCTGGGCAAGACCCGTCTTAAGCCTGAACGTGCACGTACTATTGCGCAAGCAGGATTAGCCCCTACAAAGCCGAAGACGAAGGAAGACCAGGTTGACCAGCTTCAAGTGGTCGTCCGCGACCCGGATGAAGCGGAGGTCTATAAGCGTGCTTTGCACCGAGCAGCCATTGACCCCAAGTTTGCTGATTCCATGCCTCCTCCCCCGGCTGGTGCAGATGACGAACAAGAAGTTCCCCAGGAGGAGAACACTGAGGGAGATGAGAGAGGACAGGAAGAATCGGGCGAAAGAGAGCCAAGTCCTGATCATCCCGAGGAAGCAGACGAAGAGTAGATGCTCCGGCTTCGCTTTCTTTTCTTTTCTCTACGTTTTGGCGTTGGTATGGGTTGCATTTATGTCAAAGCTAATTACTTTTTCGGAGCACATACCCATGTATCTCTTCATTTTCGACAGATCATCATATAACCAGTTTAGAACTTGTCAAGCGAGACCTCATGCTGCTGCAAATAGTCGTGGAGTCAGTCCATTGGAGCCGGTGTTAAAGGCAGAAAATGATAGGCGTTTGGTGCCATGGACATAACATTTCAATATATATACTTTGTTATCTCAACATTATCAATCCTTTTGCCCATTTGTACAACATAATTCGAAAGAGGAAGGTATCCTATCCCCTGATATGTATATGTATACCGCACACCGCCCGGAAAAGTTCTGCTGACCCAAACTTCCGACCGCCCGCCGGCTTGACGCAAGAGAGAAAAACAACCGGAAGCGGAATAAAATCGCATCGGGATTGATCCCTCTCCTTCTTGCGACTTATACGGAGTGCACACATTTACGTGTGGGATGCTTGCTGCTCTTCCTTGCTTTGCTTAGACTGTCTGAACTTGTGGAATATATTGCAATTGTAAGTTCCCCGAGCCTTTTCCGTTTACTATGCTTCCTTGATCGGCTTCGCCGGCTAGGGTACAAGCATGGGATGGCTATGCCATGCGTCTACGGAGCCTAATTGTCTGTATAACAGAGACTAACAGTATCCCAGATACTCAATACGCATTGATTGTTAGCCAATGGTTTCTGCTTAAGATTAGCGCTCGTGTTGTTCATAATGGTCGCAAGCTCTGCTACCCTTGCTTTCCGGTCTGCGGGCTTAAGGGCTCGCGCTCTTCCGCTCGCCCAACGATCTCCGATTTGTTATAGTCGCGCTGCCGTACAACTACAAAGCTCGTTGAGATGCTACTCCTCGGAAACAAAACCCGAGACGGCCAAGAAGGCGAAGGAAGCCGTTAAAGAGACCACTGAGAACGCTAAGGAGGCTATAAAGGAGATTAAGGAAGCTCCCAAAGAGGCCCCGGCACCGGCCCCTGCACCGGCTCCCAAGAAGGGAGGTCGCCGGTCTAAGAAATTATTCCGTACATCGTTGGCTTTGGTTCTATTGGTTGGTTTTGTCTACGGGTCGGACACCAGGGCTAGCATTCACCGATTTGCGGTGCCTCCCTTGGTCCGGTTGCTGTACCCTGATGCGGAAGAGGCGCATCATTTTACTGTGGAGACATTGAAGCAACTCCATCGATTTGGTCTTAATCCCCGGGAGCGTGGAAACCCGGATGGTGATGGCGCGTTGGCAACAGAGGTTTGTTTCCAAACACATGAAAATTAGGCCGTGGATGCTCAGGAATTGTCTCGTTTAGGTTTTTGGATACACGCTCTCCAACCCAATTGGTATCTCCGGTGGCCTTGACAAGCACGCGGATATCCCAGACGCACTTTTCGATATCGGACCTGCGATCGTCGAAGTTGGCGGTACGACTCCGTTGCCGCAAGAAGGAAACCCGCGACCCCGTGTGTTCCGTCTCCCATCGCAACATGCAATCATCAACCGGTACGGTCTGAATTCGAAGGGCGCAGACCACATGGCGGAGGTTTTGCAGGAGCGTTTGCGTGACTTTGCGTATGCGCACGGCTTCGGTGAACACGAATTGGCTCAGGAGCGCGTGTTGAACGGCGAGGCGAACGTCCCGCCAGGCAGTTTGGTGCCCGGCAAACTGCTCGCGGTACAGGTGGCCAAGAACAAGGCCACGTCGGACTCGGACATCGAAGCCATCAAGCGGGACTACGTGTACTGCGTCGACCGTCTGGCTAAGTACGCCGATATCCTGGTGGTAAATGTGTCGAGTCCCAACACCCCTGGTCTCCGTGATCTTCAGGCGACGGGGCCTCTGACGGCCATCTTGAGTGCCGTGGTTGGCGCAGCAAAGGGCGTGGAACGTCAAACCAAGCCGTTCGTGATGGTCAAGGTCAGCCCGGATGAGGACGCAGACGAACAAGTGTCTGGCATCTGCGACGCCGTGTGGGGCTCCGGCGTCGACGGAGTCATCGTGGGTAACACAACCAACCGGCGCCCGGCGCCGCTACCTAAGGGAAGCACCCTACCAGAGGGCGAACAACCCATCGTCAAGGAAACAGGCGGCTACTCCGGCCCCCAACTGGCCGACCGCACGGTTGCGCTGGTTGCACGATACCGCGCGCTCCTTGATACGCCCAACATGCCGGAACTAGAGAAGCGCATGCAAGAGCAAACGGCGACGGCTAAGGAAGCGGAACCAGACCGCGAGAACGTACCGGCGGTGGGAGCCGCAGAGCCCGTGGACAAGTATGGTCGCAAGACGATCTTCGCGTCTGGGGGTATTACGAATGGAGCACAGGCGCGGGCGGCCTTGGATGCAGGGGCTTCCGTGGCGATGATGTACACGGGGGTCACGTATGGGGGGATAGGCACGGTGACCCGTGTGAAGCAGGAGTTGAGACAACAGAAGTGATTGATTAATCAGTGTTGTCAGCTGTTTGTTCTTGTTCACCGCTGCTGCGTCGAGAGCTGTAGCTGTAGTGCTCTCTCGTCCGAATAAAAGCAGAAACAAAAGGAGAACAAAAAAGAAATGAAAGAAGATAAAATCTTCAAGCTCATCTGACATGCAAATAAAGCTTCAACTAGCCCCAAATAGGTGAACCCGAGCAGGTGGATCGATCTGGACCATTATGGAGAACATATCTGGGGAATGCTGTATGTATGTACCAGTAAATCCATTGTAAATCCATCGTAACGCATCCGATACCATTTACACCGACATGACAACATGGGACCATCATCTATAAACAGTAATCCGTGAAAGAAACTACAGGGTCTCCTCGACTTCTTGAACCACCTTCCGCACGCCGTCAATCTCATGCGCAAATCTCCCCAGAAACATCCCATCAACCGCCTTCCCTAGACCGCCCGCTCCCCACAATCCGGGGCCCGCGCTTCCCCCATACAGCACCCGCACCTCTACTTGCCTACCATTAACCCCAGACTCCCGAACCACACCGCGAATGCCCTCAACCACAGCAGAAACATGGTCCATTCCCGCAGGCACGGGTTTCCCAATCGCCCAAACCGGCTCGTAGGCAAAAATCACCGGCGCATCAGCAGGAATAGCACCGAGGACTGGCCTTACCTGCACAGCAACTTCCTCGATAGCCCGCGCTATCGCCTGGTCCCCCGCGGGGGCCATAATCTCCCCCACGCAAACCAGTGGGATTAGCCCATGCTCACAAGCAGCTTTCGCCTTCTTCGCAACCTCGTTGTCCGTCTCGTGGAAGATGGCGCGGCGTTCTGCGTGTCCGAGCTCGACAATTGATACGCCTAGATCGCGGAGGGCGAGCGGGGAGACTTCGCCGGTGTAAGGGCCGAGGGCTTCCCAGAAGCAATCCTGGGCACCGAGAAGGAAGGTGTCTGTGGCGTTGGCTTCGCGGAGGATCTTGGCGCAGGGGTGGATGGTTAGGAAGTCGGGGATGAGGGCTAGGAGGAGGTCTTTCTTGTCGGAGTTGACGCTGAGTTCGAGGAGGCCGCGGAGGTAGGAGAGGGTGCGGGAGGGGGCGAAGTACATCTTGAGGGAGATGATGAGGAGGGTTTTGGGGAGTGTTGGAGGCATTTTGGTATCAGTATAGACTGTATAGATCCGTATAGATTGTGGATGGTATAGAGTAGAAGGTCAGTAGAGATAAGTATAGATTCTGTTCGCTATGTACATCTGCCACATCGTATGTGCATACTTGGCCTGTCGTGCAGCACGTGAGCGTGGGGTCCCGTGACTTCTAGAGACATGTACCGGGCATGTATACAGAGTGGGATGCACAGAGCATTGTGCAGCATTTGGACAGGAACAGCCAAATCTAGTCCTGCTCTAGCCAAGGACTGGGCTCGCCTAGTATATTTGTGTCTATACCCTGTACTGGACAGTGACTGATGTCATCATCGGAATACACAGGAACCGAACCCAAACAGGCAACTACGATGCTATACACCTAGGTACTTGTCGACGAAGCCATCGGAAGTGATCCCTCCAATGATTGCCGTGTATAAACCCCCTGAGGAAAGTAACATTCCGTGCCCCTCAGCACACCCCAGTCTAGCCCTCATAGAATCCCCCCTCCTCTTCTTATCCGTTCAAACGATTCGATTCCATTCCTTGAATTTGAAGCTTTTCCATATCGGCTATTCGGGAGTAGGTCGACCACCAATGAGCGACGGTGGATGAGACGGAGTAATACAATTGACGACTGCACCATACCCTAAAGAGTATGTAAGCGCAGTTGAACAGGCAACTCTATCTATATTGGGATGGTGATTATAGGCTGGGTTGGATGCCGTGATGATATAAAATCCGGTTTTGTTTGCAGTGCGGGAATAATCAGCATCAGTCCACTGTACATGGTAGGATCATTGTCTGTCCACCGAGCATAACGTTGAATACCACTTTGTACACCTACATAGCACAGTCCAATTTTAGTGTCTCTACTACTAAAGAGGAAAGCCGTTTGCACATGACCATCTCGATCTACCACGAGTACATACTACCCCATAGTAGTACATAGTAGTAGTACATCCAGGAGTACTGCATTGAGTATCCCGAGATTCCGTGGAACTGCAATCATCCCGAAACGGCTAGTGCAGTCACTCATTACGACCCGGTATTAGCGAGTCCCACCCTGTTGTATATTACCGAACCATCCCTCTTAATTGCATTCTCATTGGCCACTGCCCCAATGTGCATGACGCCACGGCGGGGCTGTGACCCAAACCGGTAATCGTCGAACATCGGACATTCCATACTTGTATATGCAACTCAGGCATCTTTGTTGTTTGGCATCCGGGTTGTTTGTGGCTCCGAAGGGAAAGGGAGGGAGTTGAGACAAGAACAATGAGATTCAGGAGGGGGTGAGCATGGTCAGGCTCAGCTATTTAAGGGCCGTCAATGTCCCCCCAATGCCCTCCTCACTATCATCATCATCCAAATCCTCTCTTCTCCCTCTGAGCTCCTCTGGATTTTACTTCCGATCTATCCACTTTCCTTCTTCCACAGTCCACTTTCTTTTGTACTGATTGTCCACCCTATCTTAACCTCATTTCATATCTATACAAAATGGCCGACCTCCAGCCCCTCCGCATCGTCTTCGCCTGCGATGAAGCCGGCCAGCCCTACAAAGAAACCCTCAAAGCCGCCTTCGAAAAGAACCCCCTCATCGCCTCCATCATTGATGTAGGCGTCGACTCCACCTCCGACAAAACCGCCTACCCACACCCCGCCGTCGCCGGCGCCAAACTCATCCGCGAAGGCAAAGCGGACCGTGGTCTCTTCATCTGCGGAACCGGTCTGGGTGTCGCCATCTCCGCAAACAAGGTTCCCGGAATTCGTGCCGTGACCGCCCACGACTCGTTCTCCGTTGAGCGGTCCATCCTGAGCAACGACGCTCAGGTGCTCTGCTTCGGTCAACGAGTTATTGGCATCGAGTTGGCGAAGAAGCTGGCTTCGGAATGGGTTACCTACCGCTTCGATCCGAAGAGTTCTTCTGCTGCTAAGGTCCAGGCTATCTGTGACTATGAGGTGGAACTTTCTGCTGCTGCTCAGTAATGCGGACTATGAGTACATGCGTTGACGAATATACGATTATACGTTCGAACGCTTAAGCCTCGTCTCCTTGATAAAACTTGGTTTGCGAGACGATTGTATAGATACAATATCCGGATGGTGCCATTTTCAGCCCTCTTCAACATTTTGATTATTAGCGTTATGATACCACGACTATGGTGAATTTGGCTGGCCGAATCTTACTTTCTTCCGTATATAGTTGAATATATTTTCGATCTACAAAGTACAAATGCACCGATACGTTCTGGATTATTTTCTAGAACGACCGTAGCTTTCCTCTTCAAGGCACTGCAATATACGGTCGTCCACTCAGTGTGAGTTGTCGTTAACTGTGGGCGATATCAACAGAGTCTCTGGCAATCCCCTCTTCGCCTTGAGCATTTTTACCCGCGATGTCCTGCGCGACTCTACCGATCTTGCCAAGGGGCTGGAATTCGTTTTACTTCAAACTCAGGCAGTTTACTGAACGTGTTGAGTGGGACCATGCTAGGCGGTTTGACGAAAGGGATCCTGCCCGCCAAAGGGGCAATCAGGAGGGAATGCGCTGAGAGATGTAGAAGGCTGTGGTTGGGCTTGTTTTGAACTTGGAATCATATGGAGAGATTTCTCACATGGAAGTAGCTAAAGTGTATGGAGTAGGACTTGGGGACTTTGCGTATTCATATATCAAAATTGCCTTCGGTGTAATACCAATAACACCTTATCCGCACCTTTTGGGTCTACCGCTTCCCGTCCGACGTCAAATTCACAAGGAAACAGGGGTGCTCTGGGATGATTCTAGAATATATCTAACCGAGAATCCCTCTGGTTTGTATGACCAATACACCCGCAATCTACTTCTCACCTGCAAGAGCATTTACGCCGATGTCTCGTCTATTGTGTATTCCACCAGTCAGATTGTCCTGCAGTACCAGAAGAGCCACGGTCTCCAGCCACTCAGGAACCTTCTACCGACTTATATTACGTGCCTCTCAGACGTGATAATCATTCTTAACGCTTCGTCTTGTCTGGATGGTGGCTGCTGTAGAATGAAATGCAGTGTCAACGATGGCTGTCGACATGACAAGCCTCTACAGATTTCATCGTGTCCAGGAGAAAAGATCGTTAGTCGCAATTAAAGTTACAACTGGTCTGTGACGTCGATAATCTGGAGACAGCCAATGCGGTTGTGGAGCCATTGCTCGTCCTTCCAACTCTGGCACAATGCGAACTCCAGATTGGGAGGCATCCTGTTCTGACCCTGGAAAACCTGACAGTTAAAGCTGCTAGCCAGGCAATGGATCGGCCATTGAGACGATCTACTACAGCCTTCCCGTTCCTACGACTGCCTGTCGAACTCCAAATTCGGATTCTGGAGTTTACCGATCTCATTGCGCCTCTGGGTGAAATCGAGTGGAGCCCAAAAGAAGGCTACAGTATCGACAACTATTGCGCCACATGCGACGAACTAGAGGGGCCTGGTGACTGTTTTGAGCATTATGCGTGCCAGTTTCTTGCCTGTCCTGACACTGGTGACCTTGATTGCTTTTGCAACCTATACCATGCGACCTTTTCGACGATCTACCGGTGCTGGGAACCATCGACGTCGTTATTCCTGGTCAGCCGGGCCATACGGGAGGTTGCCCAGACGGTATTCTTTTCGAGAAACCGATTAATTATTCATACATTGGAAGAAAACTAGTTCGGGCCCCAATCAACATCAGACCGTCTCGAAGAGGCTGTTTTCTTGAAGGACACCGTGCCTCCCACTCATCTGCCTTGTCTGCATTTCTTAGGACTCGTCTTCCCGCGCTTAAGTACAAGTTTTCTTGCCTCTGGTAAACCTGTTTATCATGACTGGATTACGACCATTGAATACGTCAACGGCAAACTGAATTTCTCAAAACTCGTTCTGCGGGTATGCTTCCGGGAAGATCTGCCAGCTGAATCCGACGAAATACGCGAAATACTAGCTAGTGAGGAGGGCCGGGTAATCCAGGAAGCTTACCTCCTCATTCTGGCTCCATTTGGACGGCTTGGTCGGCCTCACCGGTTTTTCGTGGATGTTGGATGGCTTGATGAGGAGTCCTATAGCGAGGTCGTAGCCAACCTGGAGCGAAAGTTGGAGCAGTCTGCGATGGGTGAAGGATATGATAGTTCTAGGCTGGGAAAGGGCAAGGAGAGATGCAGTGCATGGCTTTAGTATTTGAAAAAGTTTGGCCTTGATGACGAGACTGATGAGACTGAGGAAGATGAAGAGGATGAGTGGCTTGATGAGGATGACGAGGATGACGAGGATGACGAGGATGGCTGGATTGACGACGATGATGAGGACGAGGATGATTTTGGTGAATTTAACACTACTGCAACTCAAACGGGAAAGAGGGCACATCAGCAGATTTCCTCTTTAGGCCTAGTACGAGCGTTGTTGTAGACTCTGAGTCAGCTGGGTTCTGCGGGGATCGATCAGCTTCGACAATCAACAAAATCATTGGCATTAAAGACGTGGTCTTGCTCCTGTACTATTTCCAGATTATTCGTCTAATTGCCCAAAAGGAAACATGTCCTTTGAACTAAAGGAAAAGGGTAATCGACTCTACAAAGAGGGCGATTACAATGGCGCTGAAGAACTCTTCTCTCAAGCGTGCGTTTCTCTCTAGTCTTGCATACATTTTGGCCCACTAAAAAGAAGTCCAACAATAGGATCCAGAAGAACACCCGCGAACCAACCTTCTTCACCAACCGCGCCCTAACCCGCCTGCGCCTGGAGAAATGGCCCGGTGTCGAACAAGATGCCCGCGCCGCCATCGCGCTCTACGGACACGAAAGTCCCAACCGTCTCAAAAGCTCCAGTTATCTTGTACAAGCACTCCTGGGCCAACACCAACCACAAGCCGCTTACGATATCGCCATTGAAGCCTACCGCGACAGTCTCTCCGCCAAGTCCCCGCAGACCGAGAGCCTCTCCAAGTTTGTCCTGCGGGCTAAGCAGCAGATCTGGGCGCTTAAGGAGACCCGACGCCTGCGCGAAATGAACGATACCCTTGCGACGGTGGAGGGGCTTATCGAGGCTGAGCTGCAGCGCTCGCTAGACGACCTGCGCCGTCAGCTGGACGCCGGAGAGATCGGGGAGATCGGATATGTGGAGGATGAGAAGGCACTGCGTGGGGACGTGGAGAAGAACATCCAGAATACTCGCGAGGCGTTCCGGGCTACGTCGAAGGGGGAGATTGCTGAGCGGGTGGTGCCGGACTATCTGGTCGATGGGATCTCATTCGAGGTCATGCACGATCCGGTCATTACGCCGTCGGGGACCAGTTTTGATCGCGTGGGGATCGTCAAGTATGTTGAGCAGTCTGGGACTGACCCCTTGACGAGAGTGGGCATGTCGGTTAAAGATCTACGGCCTAATTATGGGCTTAAGGCGGCTTGTGAGGAGTTCTTGGATAAGAATGGGTGGGCGGTTGATTGGTGATCTTGCTTCCTTTCGCTCTAGACATTGCCTTTTTTTTCTTTCTTTCTTCTTTTGCTTTTATTATTGCATCAAATACCCGTCGTTTTGCTAGCATTTATGGCGTTGGTTGGCTACCTAATTTACAATGTCAGATAGAGTATCATCGCAATGTAGAGTTGTACAAATAGATTCCCTTCATAATTCGCATAAATCAGTCATCAGACTCACATCCCGGCAAAAATAGCTAGACTACCCCACTTCTCCCCCACCATCAACAAGACTCAACCACCTCAACGCATCTCATCCTCCATCACTACAAACCACAAGACCACTCCTATCGATCCTATCTTTATTCACGAAACAAAACGCCAAAATGTCCGCCTACCTCAACACCATCACCAATACCTCCTCTTTCACCCCCGAGGTCCAAAATGCCGCGGCCGCCCTAGCCCCCTCCAAGGAGACCCTCCAGGCCGCCATCGACGCCGCCCTGGCCATGGACGAGACTGCCGCCACGCTGAGCGGCGAGCAGGCCGAGCTGCTCAAGAAGGGCTTCGAGTATGCGACGCAGGTCGTCAAGATGTTGGAGAAGGATCCTGCGCCGGAGGAGAAGTTGGATGTACGTTTTCTGTTCTGGGGAGTTGGGGAGGAGCTTGTCTTGGATGAAGGGGTGGATGGGTTACTGACTAGAAATCAATAGCTGTACAAGTACTACAAGCGCGCGAACAACGATACCCCCGCTCAGCCGTCGATGTTCAACTTCGAGGTTCGCATTTCTCATCTGTTGCCTTGAAAGGATGGGACGGAAACTGACAACATGCAGGCCAAGTACAAGTACAACGCCTGGAAGGAGATTAGCCACATCAGCGAGCAGAAGGCTCTGGTCCTCTACATCAAGCAGGTTGACACTCTTATCAACAAGTACGGCACCCGCTCGTAAGCGCATCTACGCGCGTGTTTGGCATACATATGGCTTTTGGTAGTCTTTTTTTTGGGAGGATATCGCTAGTCACGGATAGTATATCATTACATTGAATGCGAGTTTATTATCATAATCACCACTTTGGGAATTGTCTAACCATCCCATGTCTGCCCTAACCAGTCTGGTTCCGGGTGACTTGCCGTTGCGCACCATGGCTCATCCCGAGGTCTATACGGTGTTAACGGGACATCGTAGGGCATTCGGAATCCGACCAGGACATCCTCCAGCCCAGACTTGGTTTCAGCGGGACGATCTTGCTTGAAGCACGGAACCATCTTGGCTGTCTTAGTCTCTGGAGAACCATCAACGTACAATCCGGGCCATACAACCACCCCAATCTCCCAGCTGCAGATCCTAACTTCTCGCTGCGCATTAACAGCTGCGCCCCACGCTTGGGTAGACAGGTTCGCAGAGGTCACTATCGCCCAGTCTACAGATTCCATTCCCGCATCTGAGAACCGGATGTAGGTCTTAATATGAGGCGCCGCACGACGACGACCCGCTTCCCGTCGAGGAATAGATTCTGCTTCAGCGGATGATGTTTCGAGACCAAAGTCACTGTCCCCTGCCCACTGTCGCAGATAAGGACGCATATACTGTAGCTGTTTCTGCTGAGGCGCACTTTGCGTTTTCATGTGAATGGATCCACCGGAGCCGTAGCCGTTGAGTGAACGACGAATCTCGTCCGGCGTAGGGAAGATAATAGAGAACCGCGGACGCGGTGTTGGGGATGAATATTGCGCGAGAGAATCGAAGAAGATATCGTTTAACCATTTGTCTGTTTGGCCTAGTGACGCAATCGAGGATATCTGCTCTTCGTCAGCAGGTTTTGCTATGTTTTTGGGGTGGGTTAGTTACCTGAAGCACAATATGTGCCGTCCCAGAATGCGGCGCCAACGGGACATGTCGTAGAATATCTTTCAAAGCCGGCCATCCCCACAGCGTTTGCCTTTTGGCGTCCATAGTCTCAGCTTTCTGTTTCAAAGGCACGCTGGCTATTAATGCTGCTCGCACGGCCCGGAAATCGAAACGTTCCAACTGCTTAACCAACGGGCCTGTTTTTTGACGTCCGTATGCATTTAGATAGCTGAGTAGGTCTCGCTTGAATCTGGTTCCACTACCGTATCCTCCGGTTCCTTCAGAAGTGGATGTGTTTGGTAACAGTGGCAGAAGAGGAGAGCGCCAGACTGCTTGGGTCATGTTTGCCCAGTCTCCGGGGATCATGTTGGCTGTATGAATTATGACCCTAGTCCCGTTAACAGATTGAAGCTTGAGAGCCATGGATAGGAAGCATACTGAGCAAGATCATCATGTCGAAGTAGAATCATCATCTTGGAATGATGCGTACCAAACGGTTCCGGCATGTACGCAACTATCGGCTCCACATTTGGATATCTCGAGCATTGTTCCTATAGCATCATTAGCAAACACACTTTAATCTCAAATCAAAGAGGAAAACTACATCAATCCGTATCCTATTAGGCGCATCCCTCTTCCACGACCCATGCACCACCTTCACCTTCATCAAGTCCCTGACATCCTCATCAAACTGACTCATCAGAAAATCCACGTCTATCAAGAAATTAAACTGCCAGCATTCGCGGATCATCGGATCCTCGAGGATATCTCGCAGTCGGACAGTGTCGACATTGTTCCCCGACGACGCGGGTAGATCCCGGATATGGGTAAGTTGAATTGGGGATGAATGAGTGGTAGTAGGTATCTGTTTTTGTTTTGGAAGTTCAGTCGCTTTTACTCCATCAGGTACGGCTGTGGTGCTGGTTGATTTCTGGCGTCGTGGTGGAGGCGGCGGCGTGATAGATCGACGTAGTGATGCCAAGCCATTGTTTTCTGCTGTCAATGTGTCGCGGTATGCTGGATCAGTTGTAGGTGGATGGTGCTCGAAAGATGAAATTCTGGTTCGTTTGGAGGGGCGATCCATCTTTATCATGGATGTTCGGTGGTGATGGTGCTGAAAGGGAGCGGGAGGCCGGAAGTGACGCAGCCACTGACCATGCGACAGGTTCCGATACGGAAGAGGATAGAGAAACATAGACGGACTATTAATACCTGAAGAGCCAATTTGATGAGGGAGTATGCTTCTGATCGCATTTTGCTAGTGCAGCCTATCTACAATAATTATACGTCATCCCGACTGATGCTATGCATCGATCGGTAATATAATTACCATCCTCACAAAGACCTGAGTACGTATCGGGGTCTAACTGATTGGCAGTATCTTCGAACCAACGTCCGAAGACGATGGAGCAGGCCTGGTAGAGTTTTGATTCTTCAAGCTTCACAAATAGAGTCCGATCGTTCGTGTTCCACTCAAAACCCAAATCAGAACCAGTTTCGAGTAGCGGGACCTACAAAGAAGTCAGTCAAATAAAACGACATTCGGATTGGTTCTTTGCTTACCGGTACACCCGGGAAGGGTATCTCGGCGTGTTCGAGAAGCTGCAGGCGGTGGATGAGAGCAGGGGTAATATGTTGGACGCTCGTTATTTTCGAGACTGCATCTCGTAATTCCTCTGGCGTCTCCATGATCACCTCGACATTTTCAGTGAGAAGCTCGACTTTCGCGTTGCTTGCGGCGTCATCAACCAGGGTCGCCTCTTCCAGTCGCGGACGATGTGTAAGTGTCTGGATAACCTCATAACGCGGTGATGACTAGAGCCATGGTGAATAATTATGAGTAAATGAGATGCTTTTGGTAAAGTGAATAACCTTTCACAGAATGCAATGCGGTGCTTGTGCAAAAGAATGAACAGTCTTTTGAAAGGGATCCCAATCTAATCATGACTGGCAGTGCCAGGCGCTTTCCTTCCTTGTGCTCTAGTATTTACTCAATTGGGAAGGCGCTGCTTTGCGATCGACTACGTTATCCAAATTAGGAAAATATAAACAATTGACTATCACAATCACCACAAGAACCTCTGACTCATCCCCGGTTCCTGCGGCCACTCGAAGCCCTTGTACAAGAAAATATAGCCCGTCACAGCATTAACAGCCAAGAACCACAGGGTCTCCAAGAACAGAGGAGAATGAGAAGCCACCTGTGCACAAACAATCTCCTTCTCTTCCTCCGGTCGGTTTAGACGGTAGACAGCCGGAATTGGCTGCGGTGGTAAATGCAACCTCCACATAACCCACGGGATGATAAAGTAACGGGGCTCGACGAGAGGCGCGGTGACCAACGAAAGAGCCGTCGCAGCAAGCCAAATGATCACGAAGCTCACCCGGGTCGGTTCCAGCTGCTGCTTCTGACGCGTAGCAATGTGTGCCTGGATCCTTGCCATGACTTCTGGCGTAACAGGATCTTTCTGCTCAGGTGGGGGAGCCTGTTTCGAGGCCACTTGTTTGCGGTTCGTTTTGGCTTTCCTGTCGGCTTCCTTTTGTTGTTCTCTCTTTTCTTTCCTCGTAACTGGTTTCGTGGGAGCCGGAGCCGGAGCCGGCGGTTGTTGAGATTGCGGCGGCATGTGCATCAATCTAGGTGCTGGTGCAATCGTGGTGAAGCCAAACGCAGAAATAACCGCCCAAGCACCAAGGAAATAAATTACCACGGCTCCGTACTTGATGGCTGAGTGATACCGGAGGATTCGGAAGGCGTAGAAAACATAGTGACGGTTATCGGCCAGAGTGAAGGGATGGACAATGGTGTTGTAGTGAACCGCAGCCAGCATTACCGGAACGACTGCCAAAATAGCCAATAGGGATGGGAGTCCCCTCTGTCTCTTAGGGAAGCTGTAATCCAAGAGCTTTGGAAGAAAGTTCCTCGGGAGGGCTAGATTCGCAACGGGGATGACAAGAATAGGCCACGAAAAGAACAGGAAATAAGGCCAGATGTAGAGCATCTGGGGCAAATGAAGACCTGCAGTGTGAAATTCCTTGTGTCCTATAAAATATATTAGTCTCCATTGCATACAACACCCTCGTTGCAAAGACCTACCCAAGACGACGCCATTGTTCCATAGTATGAAACCACCAAAAGCTGCCAGAATGAGAATGTGAGGAACTACAGAAACAAGCACTCGGGGAAGATTGTTCAGTGAAGTCGTGGCAAGAGACACGGTAGTCTTGAAGTAGTCTACAGTGACAAAGTTAGCGGAGAATGCCATCACCATTAGATTGTCAAGGATGTCTCACCTGCAAAAGATGCATCGGACACAAGAGGATCATACAGCTCATTCTGGAAGCCTTTCTTCGTGACTTCATTCAGCCCAGAAACGTTGCATCTGTTAGTAGACAGACGCAGCGTCCGGAGCACCTGCAATCCACCGAAAAACACGGAGACCCAAAAGATATTGGTCTGTCTAAAGACAAGGGCAACCAGTCCGAAGACAAGGAATATAAGGGACTGAAGAGGAGCAGATCCGTTCACAGTAGAGCGCTTAAGCTGCCAGTTGTACGCCTCGACGACTACCACAAGGGCAAGGATATCAGTATAGTAGAGCCCCGAGAAGAAGAACAGCGGCGGGAATAAACAAATGTTCAACACCGTGTGGCTCAACCGTGCACCTACCGGACGAGACTTGCGGTCATTCCGCAAGAGCTCCAGCACAGACTGAAGCCTCCAGGGCAAGAGAACAGCTGTTGCTGCGACATTCGTGGTGCGCAGGGCGTCCGCGCCGAGTTCCGTCGGAGAGCCGCGGAGAGCAAGCATGGCGGCGCAAATCAGGTACGACCAGAAGTACAGTCCCGGGGGAGTCGTAATCTTCGGATCCCAATTTGTCCATCGATGCGCCCAGTAGGCCTGCGCCTGGGGAACATGGAAAGCTTCGTCGAGATATGGCTCCGGAACGACTGCGCTGACTCGGGTTTTCCACAAGGGAATCAGCAACAAAGCGAAAGGAACCGCATACCGGGCGGCTCGAGATAGACCCGAATCAGGCAGAGTGGCACTCATGATGGCCAGATCTATATATATTTTTCAATTGCGATCTGTTGGGGAGTTGTCAAGATCAAATAAGCAAAAGGAGTGGAATAGCTGGCAGAGAAGTTCGATGCAAACAAGCCAAACATACCGTATCGGGCCGTGGATGGCCGCAAGATCTCCGAACAAAGCAGCGCTTGCTCTTTTTCGTCTCGAAGACTGAAGCAAAAGGAAGAGAAATCCTCGCCAGAAATCTGGTTAATTGTGACAGTAGAAGCCAGCTTTTGCTTCAAACACCGGAATCTCTAAAATCTACACGCCGTGACCGTCAATGGCCTTCCCTCTCCCGCGGGGCATCACGCCCCCGGAGATCGCCTTTCTCGCTGAGATGGAACAAGTTAATATAGTGCCTCGTCAGAGATTAGAAGGCCTGGAACTTCTTGGGGTGAGTCAATTGAGCCCATGGGTAGCCCCGGTGCTGTCGTCGTGAGTCTCGACAGTGCGGACAATGCGGTTGAGATAAACGTCAAAGGAATGGCAGCATACTGCTACAGCTCCCTATATACCAGTCCACTCAATTGACCGTTTCTACAACTAGGGTCCCGTCGAAGCTCTCCTCCCTCCCCGCCGAGCTACCCTCCCACTATGGCTCGCCCTCCTCCTCAAACGCCAACGCCGCGCGAACATCGTCCCACCCTCCTGGCTCCACCCAGAAGCCCTATCCCTAATCCTCGAAATCGAAACACAACATAGCGATTACCAGAATGCCTTCTCCCCACCACCTCCACTGCCAGGGCAACCGAGCGTCCGAGATCGAGAAATACAACAAGCGCCAGTAGCCATGCCGCGATATACACAGGACGGTGAGCGGTATTACGCCTCTCCGCCATTTCTTCCGCAGAATGTTGCTCGGGATTACATACCTCCTGGGGAACCGCCGTCGTTACCGTATCATTGGCTGGAGGTTGGGAATATGTTGCTGGATGCGGCGAGCGATGATTTGGTGGATCCGGATCAGACACGGCGGTCATTGAAGGAGTTGCGGGAAGTACGCATGGCTAAGTTTCGGGCTGGTACAGATGTCCTTGATGCTGCTGCAATAGGGGGAGGAGGAGTCGCATTAACAGGAGTGGGCGCAATGGAAATCGGGGAGGGAAGAGGCTTTGTCACGGGGGTGGTGGATAGGCTTAGGTATTTGAATTCCGACTTTATGGCATCCTTCTCTTATACTAACTACGGGACCGATCAGGAAAATCGGAGCATCAAAGGAGCAAGCACGGAGAGAGCAGATGGCCGAAGACATGGCCAATGGTGGATATGGTGCTACCCAAGACGATGACGACGAAATGGAATTTTGATCATCCTCGACCAATTATGAACGAAACGATACGAATTATTTAGATGCCATTTAATGACCGTATAATATCATATATCATGGGACCGATATAATCATCATAGCAACAGCGGGCGTAGAAGCTATATACAGGCAAACTCTTATACGCTTTCCTCTCCTACCCCCAGGGAGACAATAAGAGACTTACCTCTCAATGGAGGTGGTTCCTGCCTGCAAAGCCTCACTTTATCCCGGTTACTATTCACCAATTTGATCTTTGATATTGATGTTTTCATTCCCTCGACCACTCATGTAGCTATACAAATCCTATTCCGTTGCTTTCGAGTAACGCCTTTTCAAACTAAAGTCATGTAACCCAGGAGATTCAGCACCAAAGAATCCTCGTTCCCCGTATGAGGCTTGGTTTTCTGAAAGGCCATTAAAGGATATCCCAAAGCCACCACCCTAATCAGACTTCTCTAGAATCGCTTGTTTTCGATTCAATGAGTTTCTTGAACCATGGATACGTCTCCGCAAGCTCCCTAAACTCAGTCCCCTGGTCATATTCGTGGCCATGGATCTTTGGAGACAGAACGGATAAGGCAAAAGAGGTGAATATCCCTAGAAGGCTAAGCTCAAAGTCCCAGCGGCTCTCAGAAGAATCCATCAATTTTTTTACGTATCTCTGGCAAATGCAACAAAGACACTGGATAGTGGCTCTCGCGACTGACGAAGGTGTTGAAGTATGCATCTCGATCAACGATGGGTGGCATGGAACATCCACGGGCTTACACATAATGAGGGCAAGGGACGACCGTGCCCGGAAAGTCCAGAATCCCAGTGGTGTTGAACTCTTCGTCAACCTTGAAGAAAATGTTAAAATGTTGCCCTGTAAAAACGAGCACCTGTGAATCTCCTTTTCCGGCTAGTTTTGCCGTTTGTGGTATAGCCTCCCGATACGCCGTACTGTAAACGCCGCCCACCTGGCCTCCCAAGTATAAAAGAGCTCTCCCTCACTGTTCTGACTGTCACAGAGCATGGCCTGTTTGGGGTAGTGCATTCACTGAGCATGAATGCTCGCTAGCTGTATAGCATGTTTGATTGCTTTATCCTGTTTGGAGTAGGGCAACAACCCCTCGTACACACACTAGATAGTCTGTCGCCGGCAGGCCCTGCCTGTTTCCTTTCTCTCCTCATGTTAGAATTTCGTCAGATAGTCTACCAATAGATTCATATTGCTCGAAACCGTCACAAGTTTGGCCACACCATCCCGGCTTAGACTCCGCTTGCCGGGAGGCATAGAGCAACTGGTGGAACTTGAGGTGTTTGATTACCAAAGCTGGCCACAGCGACCTCAGTACAATCTCCAGGCTGCTAGCCGAAAGACACTGACTGTCAATGGATATCCGGTCAAGATATTCAGTCCTGAATGGGTTCTGCGTGAGAAAAATTTGTCACAGTATCAGCGGCAAGGCCCAAAAGCACAGACTGATATTCATGATGTGGAACGCTTGATCATTTTTGCTGCACCTGGCATGCCGGAACTCAACTTCAGTCATATTGAAGAGTTGAAAGCTGCATTGGCAGATCTACTGGAGAATTAGCCGGGAATGCGACAGGTCCTAAAGCAAAAGATCAATTGCCCAGTGATCTTCGACAACTGGTACGCCCCTTTGTCGTCCTTGTCGGAATGAAGTACTAATTGGGATTTATGTAGATGCTATGGAGGTGAATTGTCACATGGCTTTTGAGACACGCACTTGTTCCAAGTGACTCACTGCTTGAACTACCATATCTGAAAGGCTTCACTGTTGCCAGCTCTGTTGCTTCTGTTTGTATTCTCTACTGTTGTTGATTCTTGATTCTACTCATTGTTCTTTCCACCTGGGTTCATTTTTCATCTATTAGTTTGAGGAAGAACAAGATGAGAACTTCTTAAAAAAGAAGGGGGAAAAAAAAAAAACAGAAGGTCTCTATCTTTACGCGCACCGCCAAATTGTTTGTACACACTACTGACCCTACCTACATATATTGCACAAGCTATATATCACGCACTGGAGAATTATTCAACCCTCTATTCTTTTCATTTAAATATTTGGATCTTACAACTCATCGCCGACATCGTCAAACAGTAGAAGTATCAGGCGATAGGATTTCCCCTCATGTCCACTGGCATTTCCTTACTAGAACCAAGGCGTTTTGAAATCCGGAGGTCCCATGCACCATACTGGGCCTCGTGAATCCGACCAAAGTGCATGCTATACCATTCTACTGCCTGCTCATCCGCACAGTTATCAAGAATATCATTGTTGACTTCGAGATAGCCCCGCATCATTGATATCCAGGCGTTTAGTAGCAATTCCCAAGACGAATATCCAACCTCCTCAATGTCATGAATAAATCCTTTAATAAAGCTCTCAACCAATGCCGCTTCAAGCGGATAGAATAAGTTGCCATACACTTCATATTGCTTTGGTTGAACCATTTGGCTTGACGGATTTGAAGTCATGCCAAGATCGTCCAGTGGTAAATGCGCGAAGGAGTTGGGGATTAAGAAGATTTGGTCCCCACTGAACGGAAGGTGAGGCGGGAATTGGAATGACGTGCAATAACGATCTAGGCGTCCGTAGCCCTTGTTAATCTCATCAAGAACGGCTTGCGGATCTGGGAGAGATTCCATAATTTCAGGGGCGGCCCGGCGATCAGGAGGGGCTTGAATGAATCCCGAGTCTTCGAGTTTCTGAATCGCCGTCTGATGATGTTCGTCTTGGACAACAAACATGTGATCCTGCGATTATAGTCAGTGAGAACTAGACCAAATAGGAAGAGAGAAAATACTTACGCCTGCCCCAATTGGGACACCCAAATGATACATTGCAAGCTGCCCCCACGATATAACAGGTAGAGGCTTGAGTATTTGACTGAATTCTAAAGATACGCTGTCAGGTGCGACCTCTCGGGGATTTCTGAACATCTCCGCTGCAAATCTTTCTCTTGAATATTATTTTGTGTACTCTTAGTATGTTTGCCTGCGATATAGATGGCAAAAATTTGATGTAGGTGAGAAGACGTGACAAGGGTAAAAAGATGGAAGGAACACTGTTGTGGTTGCAGATGAGTCAGAGTCATTTTTGGGTTCGCGCGCACAGTGTACACAGATCACGCCGGCTGGTTAGTAGTTGAGTGGGTGACCACCAGTGAATCCCAACTGTTGTATGTTTTTGTTTTTGCTGAGCTTACTTATATACCCTTTTCCTTTGTTGCTTAAGGGCGAAGGGCGATAACCGGGTGAGCCCTAGAGCTCAGCACAGGCAGACCTGCTTGCTTTCTTTCTTTCTTTCTTCATGTTAGTATTTCGTCAGATACTTTGCCAATAGCCGCAAACCCGCAGCACGGCTGAATATAGTCTGGAGCCTTTATCTACATCACACCTCGAGCCACATCTCAATCCCCTTCAACTGTACATCCATCTCCCAATCTCCTCTCCAAGACGTCGCACCATAAATCCCATTCCCAGAAGAGACACTATGAGAAACTGCCATCCGCTTAAGCTCCCTATCCAACACCAGAGCCACTCCGTTCCCTCTCTCTCCGAAAATAAGGCTCCCGTTCTCGTCTAGTTCATACCCTGGCCGCTCGGCATTATAACATCTGAAGATATCGTGAACGGGGCTTAGTTGGAACAGGAGACAGTGATTCCCTCTCTCATTATCAGAGGTGTCATACCATGGGAGGTGATATCCAAAAACCACCTTTTCGTTCGTCTGTGTAAGGCGACCAGAAATAAGGAGGATGATAACAACTTCTTCAGCTGGGATTGCAGTAATTTGTTCCACAAGAGCAGCAGCATTTGTTGTCGACATACTCTCATCAAGATCATAGTACTTGTGTAGCTGAAGGTCAGAAAAGCTTAGCGTCTCATTGAGAATCATTCCCAGTTGGGAGAAAACAGGCAATGTGGCTATGCTGCCTGGCCTGGGTAGCGTTAGAGGAGTCTTGGTGTCGTTCTCGTCATATGTCTTGTAAAGAGATGATAGGAGGCGGTGATAACCTCTGAATAACTCCGGCTATTTTCTTCAGTTAGTTCCTTTTCTATCAAACCCCTTCAAACAGGAGAGCGTGCGAGACATACTGTCTTGCTGATGGCCTGGTCAAACATTTCCCAGGTAATACCCATACCCGGAACCTGAGCAAACGCTCTAACGACGCAATCCGCAACACGATCCAGATCGGCATCTTGCTCGATCTGAGCAATTGGTTTCCCAAACTGCGTAACCAAAAATACCTTCACCAAAGCCTGAAACTCATCCTGCGGGATACTCAAATCGTGAAGACGCTCCGGCTGCTCCCCACAAAATTCCTTAGCAAACTCCCGGAACCCATCTCGCGGAACACCACCCCACCCTACCTGCGGGGGTTGAGAAACGACATATAACACATCAAGCAAATCATGGAATAACTCATCACCATCCTCATCATAGTTTGTCTTGGCATATACCTTCCAACTGTCCCCATCCAATACACTAGCGAAATCAAATGCCCTGCGCTCAGCCTGCATCCTCGCGAATTCCGCATCAAAGGGCAATTTTTTGCCGTCATGAGTTGTCGCGAGACTTTGGAAGATGAGGCGACAGGTATCAGCTGGTGCTCTGGTGCGAGTAGCAATACTTTCTTCATAAACAGGTCTGGAGCGTTCGGAGTCAGTCCAGACAAGTGCTCTGAGGAGGCCATCGAATGTCAAGTGTGTAGGCAGGGGCAGGGAGTCATAGAATGGTGCTTGAGAAAGGTATAGAAGGCTGTTGTAAATTAGAGCACCTGCTTGTGCCACGGATGGTGGTAGGACTCCTGCGGTCTGGAGGAAAGAGATGAAAGTGGACTGGGTGATGACTTCTGTTCCATTGTCGTTTGTGCAGAGATAATTAAAAGTCTTGCGAAGGTGTGGTAGTTCCTCGCCCCTTAGGATACCAAAATCCTTGATTCTTTGGCTAAGTGTGTTGAGGATAGCGTCGGGGGCCAGGATGCCCTTTTTGACTAACGCGGCGATAGCTGTGGGGATATGCTGGGGATCCATTTTGCATCAAAACACTTTCAAAGTAGATAACGCTTTAAAATAAATAAATAAATAAAGGGAATAGCACGCTGGAATTATGTTAAGAAACCAAAATTCGAATTGGGAAGTAGTTGATGTTCTACTTAAAACGGTTGTCGGTCTTGAAGCTGTGTCAACGCCGAGACTGACAGCGATCTTCCCTTCGGCCCCATGAGGCTAAACCCTAGCTGCTTTGTACTTTGGGTAGGCTGTCATGATTGGGTCAACGTAGGGTGCAATGTAAAAACTGACGTTCGAGCCCTCGCGCAAAGATCCGATCTTGTCGAACTTCAAGGACGTTAGCTGCAAGATAATGTCCGTCAACTGCTCATGCACCTTCTTCGCCAAAACAAGATCCTTGGGACCCGGTTCCTCTTCGATATCATCCGGCTCCAAAGTCGGCAAAATATGCCCCGAAAGCCGCTCCATGATGATAGATGGTAAGGGCAAAGAGGAGATATTGTAAGAAGGAAACTGGGGAGGTTGAGAGCAACCAAATGAGAAGAACCACGGGGTCCTAGTAGCTAGTAAGCTACATTATAAACAATCGATAACGACTCACTTTCCTGTTTGGGTTCCCGCCTGCTGCTTCATTACCCTTGAGGCAGACACCACCGCAATAAGAAAGAGCCGGCATCACGAGCACCACTTCTCGTCATACTCTTAAATCATAGAAAACATATCAATAAAGCTCAGTTACTTAGTCATCGACGACAAGTTTTGTAGATTTGAGTAAACAAGAGTCAAGTAGCGTATCACATGACCGTGTTTTTTTCATCGCTCTGTAATCTCTTCGTCACCATTCCCCATCACATCGACCATGGACAGTCCATCAACAGATTTCGCTGAACCTGAGCGTATCGAGCTTATCAAGAAACTACATAATTGGAATGAAGGAGAGCACCTGAGCGTATCGAGCTTATCAAGAAACTACATAATTGGAATGAAGGAGAGCCAGTTGCAACCGAAGCCTGGCTGCCTGGGCCTGTATTTGGCTCAGTGACTTAGGAAAACTAAGAAAGCTCGTGGATGGCGTTTTGAAGGGCAATGCCGGGCTAGGTATGCTCGTACATATGCTATTCATTCCAGGGAACATTTTTTCTGAATTAGTATATCCTTGTTTGTGCCCATTTCTTAACCACCGCTTTATATACTTCAGTTAACCTCCATATAGGGCTCAACCGGGAGCGCACTACATCCATTGCAACAACATCCACAGCGGGTGTTATCAACTCGCAAAGAAACTTAAACAAACAGGAAGTAAATCGCAACAAAAAATGCATTATCACGAAAGCTAGTCGATGTACCGAGGCAGCCCATATATGTATGCCCTTCTTCAATGGCTGAGCACCTTACATCCCTAAAATCGTTGAAATGGGTGCTTCTGGAAGAATTCTGGTCCGACGAGGATATCCAATCCTGGCAACAAACGTTGCTCACTCCATCCAAAATTGAGATCCCGCAGAACCTAATAACCATGGACAAGACAGTCCACGCGGCCTGGGACAACTACACGTTTGCACTCAAGCATATCCAGACTACTCCTGATCAAAAAACCATGGAACTCGAGTTTCACTGGCTACACATCCGCCCTCGTGGAACGGGGCTTATCTCACTCTTAGAAATGCCGGACCTACCACCAAATAACTTTAGCGGTCGAGGGAACTTGAGGTTTTGGGATTGCCTCACGGAAAGAAAGATTTGCTCGGGTGATACAGTCGTCCTTCGAACAGAGGATCCAGATAAGTTTCCTCTCCCCAGTGAAGAACTACTCAAAATGCAGTGGCATCTAAACAGAGTAGCCGCTCTGTCAGGTGCTTCGGAGGTACTTGATTTTCATCGACAGGAAGACAATCCGTTCACAGTTCATTGAAGATCCACGCCCCTTGACTTGAGCAAATTGTTGGAAGCTCATCCTAGATAGAATTTATATGGCAGCTATCATGAAGGAATGGTTTTCTAAAGGTCGTGGAAACTGGAACAGACAAGGGCAGGATTGGGGCAACGAAGAGTATGGGGGATGATGCGATCATTGCGAATCTCGCTGGGCGCAAGCTCCTGTTCATGTCCTGTTCATTGTGCCGTGACGGCCTCTTCGCATCCATTGGCTAATCGGAGGATTCGAAGAATTTGTACCTGCATGGGAGGCATTAATTACGATGTAGACAAGCGGGTTCTTTCTCATTTATGATGACAAGCAATGAAAAATGTCAAGGATATGTTCACTGTTATTCCGAAGAAGTCAAAAGACAGGATTATAAGGAAAGTGCTAAAGTTGCTTGTATTGACTCCTGAAAATGTCCAAATTACCGCTGAAGAAGCAACACGGTAACGCCTAAAGATTCTATCCTGATAAAAAAGAATCAGAGAGAAGGGGATCTCGAAAGTAGGTTTGGGATAAATATAAAACACGAAGGGGGAGTAAGTGCGAATGCTCATGAGGCATTGTGCTGGTCCTTATGCATCATCTTCTTGCGCGCCGCCAAAATCATATCGTCCCTCCGTTTCTGCAACATACGCTGGCGCTCTTCCTTGCTCTGCGACCATCCTCTCGACGACAGCTCGGGAGCTTCTGAGGAACTCTCACTCGTAGCCCTTGTGCTGAGATTGTAGCGGGAAATCAGGTCCTGTCCGTCCGATTTCGGAGCGCTTCCGGATGAGGATGCGGGCTGTGTCGTGGGAGGAGTCGCGGCGGCAGTAGTAGGAATCGGTGGTTGGAACGACGGTGGCGGCTACAAAAACGAAAGAGGAACACCATTAGCACTCTATGATACCATACACCAGCATATTCCGCGAAGAAGACAAGCAAGCAAACTCACCACTTCCAACCCTCGTCCAGTCAAGATCCTCTCCGTAGTCGCCGCAACACTACCCCCATTCCGCTGCAAATCCCACATAATATCTCGAGTGTTCAGCTGTGGGAACATTTGCGATATTTGCTCAACCTGGGCTGGATCCACGGCATGTCCGCGCGCACGAGTGCGGCTGCCTCCGGCGCCCGGCTCATCGTCGCGTTTGAAGAACCATCGGATCACGAAAAAAGACACGACGGCCAAGGTCAGGAGAGAGGGGATGTTGAGAGAGGGCTCCTCTTCAGACATCATCTCGAGCGGTTCGTAAGACATGTGCTGCAGCGCGTGCTTTCTCCGGTCGATCTCGATATGAGGCCAGCTCAGTAGTTTTGGAGACGGGGGGTGGAGGTAAGATAGCTGGTAAAACGCAGGCGTACTCCGTAGCAGTTCGTATCTAAAGAAGGAGATCGGATTTGTGGTAGTCGCAATCCAGCAGCTTCACAACAATAGTGGGCAGTTAGGCAGTGGATGCAGGTGATAAATGACGACGGTTACGATGATCCGCGGAGAGGAACGGCGATAGTTAAGGCGGTGGGCGACGGCCGATAAACAGTCGGCGGTTCGATCTAAAAGGCGATGGATTCGTGGAGAAACGGGTATTGTCGATGTTGGAGCGAAGAAGAAAGCGAGGGGAAGATAAGAAAACGACAAGCTGAAGTGGTGATGTGGTGAAGTGGAACAGAGCGGTGCCCTTTCCCCTTCCGACCGCCGCCTTGTAACTCAGAGGCCGATACAAACGTAAGTATATATCGATTGCCGACAGGGTCTACAGAGTAGAGCAGGAACACTAGAATATACGCTGAAAATATATATCATTGAGCCGTATATCATAACATAAAACCCGTGGCTTCCAGACACCATTATACATCAACCTGAAAACACCGTCCTTTCCAACCCATTACGTGCAAAAGATGACTATAGACAAAACGAAACCAATAACCAAGATGAACAGAAAAGTAGGCAAATCTTCAGTGGAAGCAATTCCCCAAGACCCCTACTTCATATCCGCAGGAGTCAATGCCTGGACGATACTTGTTCCTTCACTGAACCTCGTCCGGAAGATCCGGTTCGCGTTCTGGAACATGCCATCCTTCAAGGAAACGATGATGAACTGCGATCCCTTGAACCGGGTCTTGATCAAACGACCGATGTTCTGCGTGTGAGACAGGTCAAGCGCAGCATCGACTTCATCCAGAATGTACATCGGTGCGGGCTTGAATTGCAGCAGAGCCATGATCAGCGAGAGGGCGATCAGGGACCTAGTGATTCGTTAGCTGTGCACGGCAGCGAGAGGAGGGATGGAGGAGACATACCGTTGACCACCACTCAGCTCAGTCAGACTTTGCTTCCACACCTTACCCAGACTGACTTTAACTTCCAGACCATCGGTGATATCCTTGCCCTCAGGAGGATCCAGCTTCGCAAAACTGCCGGGCAGAAGCTCCGAGAAGATCTGACCAAAGTCGGCATTGACCTTAACCCAGGTCTTGTGAAGAGCCTCCTTCTTGTATTCATTCAGGTTAATGATGGTCTCTTCGATCTTGCGCTTGTCGCGGATCACGGTCTTCATCATGTTCTTCAAAGCAGCTTCCTTCTTCTCAACGCTGTCAATCATGTTCATGACCTTCGGGTTGATCTTCTTCTTCATTCCCTGGAAACGTTCGGTAACGTTGCGCAGCGTCGACTTACATTCCGCAATGTTCTGATTCTTGAAGTCGTAAACAGTACTGGAGCGTCCGAAATTGTCCTTTTCGTCAGCAATCCACTCATGCTCCGATTCCATATGAGCAACGGCCTGAGCGGCAGCATGCTGGTCTTTCTGCAGCTTCTCAAGCTGATGTCCAAGCTTCTGCATCTCAAGACCCTCTTCGGTGATTCGGGAGTTCTTGGTCTGCATCGCTGTCTCGAGCTCCCGCAGTTCTTCATCAAAGCCAGTCAACTTGGCTCTCTCGTCATCGAGCTGGGCTTGAGTAACGTCGTGGGCATCCTGTTTTGATGTGCGTTAGATTTATATCAATAGATGGTAATGGAATCTTGGCGTACCTTGATACGGGCTTGTTCTCTCTTCATCGACTCAATCTCTTCGATCTGAGCCTTGAGAGTATTCTCAACCTCTGCCGTTTGTTCCTCAGCCGCTGAGAGGTCGCTTCCAACCTGCTCAGATTCCAATCTCGAGCTCTGGAGTTCCTTTTGCAAGGTCTTGACGGCGTTGGTGTTCTTAGAAAGGTTCTTCTTGAGCGAATCAACCGAAGTCTGCAATTCTGCGAGCTTGCTGTCTTTATTGTCGTTGAACTCGCCCATGTCCTTCTCGATTCGCTTAATATTCTTGGTTGCTTCGCTCTGTCGAGCCTTGGCGTCGGTAATGTCCTTCTTCAACTGTTCGATGTTCGCTCGCATTTCCTCAACAGCCTGAATGATAGATGACGACGAGTTGTTACCAATCTGCTCTTCCGTGAGCTTGATCTCGTGGGTCTTGAGGTCCAGTTCTTGCTTGAGCGCGCGCGTAGCGTCGAGCTTCTTCTTCTCCTTTCTCATATTCTCTTCCAAGCTCGCCAAGTGACGCTCCTTGGTCCGGATTTCTCGGGTGATTTCGTTCAATTTTTGCAGGGTGACGAGTACTCCACTCGAGTTCGGTGCGCTACCTCCAGACAAAGTGCCCGACGGGTCATAAACATCACCATCAAGAGTAACGCTCTTCATGCGGACAGATGGATCGAATGTCACTCGCTTGGCCGTATCCGCATCCTGGCAAACCAGCGTGTTGCCAAACACATAATTCATAGCGGCCGTAACTTCTTCATCGTACCCTATCAGCTCCAAGGCAAGATCAACTTTACCGGGTGCAATGTTCTGTGCTGCGCCGATCTTCTCCACGGATGCCCTGAAAGATGAGATCTTGTTCAACGGGATGATGGTCACTCGCTTGCGCAGCTTTCCCTTCTGCAGCAGATGAGTACCGGTTTCCGAGCTATCGACGACAACGTTGTACAAGCGACCGCCAGCGCAGATTTCCAGCGCTGTCGCAGCGGGAATCTTCCCCTTGTCCAGAGTAAAGAGCTGGGCAACCAGGCCCTTGACTTTAGATCGGTCAAATCCGGGATGTGGGTCTGAATAATTGAAGTCAATGTTGGCCACCCTTCTCTTGAGTTCATCGGCTCTTCCGCGGAGTTCACGGATATCCTTCTGCAGGCCACTTTGTTCCTGGTATATCTGTTCTTCTTTACCAGGCTCATAACCAAGTCTCATAAGCTCAGATTCCAGCTTCTTGGCCTGCGACTTCAGACCCTCCAAATCTTGTAAAAGACCAGAGTTCTGCTGCTTTGCCTTTTTGGCGCGCGGCTCCTCTTCTTTAACTCTCTTTTCCAAATGAGCAATCTTGAGCTTGGCTTGCTCTTGTTCTGTGGCGGCACCGCTGGCACGGTTTCGGGCGTCTTGCAATTGTCCTTGATACCCACTTTCCTGACCTTCCTTGGATGCGACACCGGTTTGTAACGACTGCAGCAATTCTTCCTTCTGCTCTACCTCGGCGGTCTGAGCGTCGAGTTCCGTCTTCGCAGTGTCGTATTGGGCTTGCAGTTTATCATAGATGTCCTTCTTTTCTTTGAGAAGCTTCTCAAGGTCATTCACGGTCTTTTGATTGTCCTTCTGCCTTTCCTTCTCCTCCGCAATGCTGGCATTCTTGAGGTCGAAAACAGTCGTCAATCGGACCAGCTCATGCGAATGGGCCTTGACATCATCTTCAAGGCCCTGGAACTTGCCTCCCTTGCGCAACTCTTTATCGCGAGCTGTCCGCACCCGCTTAACGTCTTCCTCCAGGTGACCAATTTCGTTCTTCAGTTTAGACGCATTATCCTCAAATGTTTGGACATTTTGCCTCTTGTTTTCACACTCCTCTCCAGCAACCCGTAGCCGTTCGTTGCCTCGGATGTAGTCGTGGGCGACAACCAGCCTCGTTAACCGCTCCAGGTCGTTCTGGGTCTGTTGGAAATCGAGGAAAGCACGCTTCTCGGCACGGAGTTTTTCGAGTTTGGGTTCGATTTCTTCCTTCAGTAGTCCCTCCATTTCGCGCAATTTCAAGTCCTTCTTGCCCATTGTCTTGCCCGCCTTCTCCCGTCTATCCTCGAACATTCGCGTACCTGCTGCCTCCTCGATCATGGACAAAATCTCAACAGCCTTCATATTCAGGACCTTCGTAATTCGTCCCTGCATAATAAGGAAGTTGGGGTTGTTGATGTTCAGCTGAACACTCTGGAAAAGATTCTGCACCGTCTGCTGTTGTGCGCGATGGCCGTTGATCAGATATTTGCTCGTACCGCCGAGGACGATCTGTCGCGTAACGGAAATATTCGCATATTCCTCGAAACCGATCGGGGATTTCGCGGTATCACGGTTATCGAAGACGATAGTCACACTGGCCTTTGTCACACCGGCCTGGCCACGTTTGTAGATAAGATCTTGGAGGTTCTGCGCCCGGACCGTGCTCATATTTGTAATTCCGAGGACGAAACAAATCGCATCGAGAATGTTGGATTTACCACTGCCGTTCAGGCCAGTAATCGAGTTGAACGATTCGTCCCTATTGGGCAGTAGTCAGTACCATGTCTCCCATTCAAATAATAGAGCCGATTGCATTCCGCCGATATCGACCTGAAGGAGCCGGAGGCGCATAGGAGTCGCATACCATCCTGAGACGACCGTACGCACGGCGTACGATTTGAAGCCCTGTCACCGTAAGATTAGCGGGACATGCGAAGAGTAATTCAACAACAAAAACTCACGTCAATGATAATTTCTGTAATCCGCATGGTTGCGACACCAATCCAGTCCCATGCACTCAGTTGCTACAGTACATGAGATGGAGATATGGCGATAAAAAAGGAGATGTGCGTACGATCGCTGGCCGCCGAGATGGTGGAACGAGACTGTTTTGGCGGGCGCGGCTGTTTTGCCGGCGGTAATCAGGTGTTTATGGTTTACCGCTTTAGGAATGGCGCCAGATTCGATGAATAAGCATGGAGGGGTCGCCCGATCCGGAAATCACATGATCGTTATCGAAGTAGGATTGAAGTTCTACTATGTACGATCCCAGGAGCATAGACAGTAGAAAAGAAAAGATCATCAAGTCATTTGGTTTCAAATAGAATAATATCCTAATCCCATACAGACCACCCAGTTTAAGAAATGCGCCCTTGCTTTAAGGCTAAACTGCAATACCAGCAGCTAATGCCAGAACAGAATATCACAAAACACTGGTAGCCGACCCAACGCCATTGCTGATCGATTAGCTAGTTACCCTATCGACAATTCACGAACCGGGTGGGAATCCGACTGTGCGCGCAATACCACGGCCGGGGTCGAGTCTGTTGTCCAGATCCTCATATCGCAAAATAAACTCACGCTGCATGAAGTCACCTTCGTTAGCACAATCCCTGCTATGAGTAGTACATAAACTCCTGACAAGCTGTTGGACATACCCTAATCTTCTTCCAGCTGGTAGGATCCCATATGAGGTAGACTCCACGCTCACTCACTCCACGCTCAACATCAACCGGGCCAGGATATGTCTCATCACGAGTCAGCCAACACCGTTCGATCTTGTGATATCTCCATTTGCGACCCATCAACTCCTCCGCCGCGAGTTCTTGTATGATATCTCGAGGCATGCTGTAGAAGATGTAAAAGAGCGATTCGTCGCTGAAACTAGGGATACGAGATTGAAGTGGTTGAATATTGGCAACGCTGTAGCAGGAAGGCAGAGAGAAATCCTGTTCTAGAGGCAGCGAGGACATTGAGGCAACAAACGGCGAAGCGAAGGATGTATGGAGAGGTCTGGATAGAATGATTAGCTAGGAAAGACCACAAACGACCAGAAAGCACAGGCACATACTCAGGTTGATTCAGGTCTAAGCCCAAGGTCATGAGATCCTGGCCCACAGCAAGACTCGCGACGTCTGGACTTTCGCTATGAATCATCCTCAACAGGCCCGCAAGTCCAAACCTATCGAGCTCACTCATCTGGCCCAGAGGCGGTTGTTCAGCACTTTGAACAGAAGGTTCCTGCGCATCACCAGAAATGGCTTGCTGTTGGCGCTGTAACTGCTGTTGTTCTGTAAAGCTGCGTTGCCCCGGCGCCATAGCGTTGAACATATCCTGTTTAGGAATCGTCAGCGTACAAACAAAGCAAAGCAAGCAAAAGAATGATTGCTTACATCCTTCTCTTGAGCTATCACACCATTGGATCCCTGGTTGACCGGTGATCGCGACGTTCCAATACCTAAAACGCATGGTCAATTTTCTAACCCACTGAATTAACGTGGCCATAACATACTTCCAGATCCCATGTCTGCAGGAGACATTATCCTACCCGTTTCTTGACCGTTCACTGATGCTGCCATCATGTTACGGGTTTGTACTGCAGACTGGCCTTGGAACCCCATACCAGAGTTGTATCCCCCAAGCCCAGCATTCTGCATCATTGAGCCTCTGCGATCTTGGCCTAGGTCCGCTGTGGCGTTACGTCCAAGGGGTGGGAACTCGTCAATGCTGCCGGTTTGGGGCTGTGCACCCGCTAGTTGACCGCTAATGCCCTGTCCACCACTGCGGAAGTCATCCAAACGGTTGGCGAACTGCATGCCGGAAGGAAATAGGTCGTCGTGGGAAGGTTGATTCTGTTGTTGAGGAATATGGGATGGGGTTTGAGATGTGCGTGACGGTGGTTGAGTAGTAGGAGGGGGTTGTTGTCTTTGTACTGGGGTCTGCGCGGCGCGTTGGCTGGCGTTTGCCCACATCATTTGACTCGGGTTCTGGGTCTGCGACGGCGGTGCACCTGACAGTGAAGGAAATTCCCTAGCAGTGAATGTTCCTTAGCTCTGGAAACCCAAAGAGAACTGCGCCAACCGAACCCAACAATCACAGCAAGGCAGCCCTAAACCCACAAGTACACATCACACTTACGACAAATCCAACGGCGTGGCCGGCTGCGATCCACTGAGGCTCTGTGCAAATGTCCCCATGGCACCAAAATTGCGCTGTTGATTTCCTTGTAACCCAGGTGTACCGCTCACAGGCAAGTTGAAATTCCAATTGGCTCCGGCTCCTATTCGTCCTCCGTAGTTAGCATATGTAGTTCTATAGACCACTCGAGTGAATATCGACCTGAGGGTATCGCACCGAGTTTTCCGTTTGGCAGACGCGCCGAGGCGAGGGTTGCATTTCGAGCCTGTGCTTGCTGTTGTGCGGGGAATCCAGACATGCCTCTCATGGGCTGCGGACCTGGTCCTAAGGAACCGCCAAAGACGTCAGCATCACAGTCAAAAAATGGCAAGTGTTGTAAGAGCAGTAATCGATCGCTAGTCTGATCAAGCCCCTCAACTTCGTCCCGGGCTGTAGGAGTCTCCTGGCGTGGTCCAAGATACTTCGGTCGCAGGTGGGAAAACCACGTCCATGAGGTTGCAATTGGAGCAGAATGACGAGGCAACGATCTGACCAAAAGCTTCAAGAAAACCCAGGTCAGGATTGCAAGAACCAAAAGCTCTTTTATCCGCGAGATCTCCATTGTGGGCAGTTCCGAAGCAGGGCACGAAAAGCAATGTACCAAAAGGACAGGGAATTTGGAATGGAAAAGACACACCTGGTCTGTTCATGGCAAAACTTCAGCTCAGTAAGCTGGTCCACAAAAAGAGAAGAATTTCTGCACGATCAAAGAATATCCTCACGGCCTGACTGCACTGCAGGAAATCAAACAATGTTGGGTGCTTGTAAGAGCGTTCATTCAATGCGACGACTGCTCCTCCGCCGGCGAAGGCGGAGAGTGGCGTCAGCCGCGCGCCTATTAGTGAAAATGGCAAGGATTAGCCGCAGACACGAGTCTCTACGCATTTCTCTGTTGTCTAGTGAGAATGTCGGTTTTTGCTTTGCTTTATAAATCTCACTTTTTTCTCTGGTATATAGAATGGCGGATTATATCACTACATTGTGCTTTGCAAGATGCGGAGTACTTTGTACGGAGCAGATATCTATATGGGTGAGCCCTAGAGTTTAGAAATTGTTATCGTCCTAGACCTAAATACATTAATATGGTGATTTCTTTTAATCCCAGCACTACTGCCGTATGTCTAGTGTATATTTTTCTTTTGTATACTAAATAGGAGCCTCAATCCAAGCGCGACAGGCGGCTATTCCACGTGACCCCCGGTCACGGGTCCCACCGCAGCTTTTTGAATTCCCAGAAAAGAACCTCCAACAAGAAAGCCGGTCCATTCGACGACAGACGCACCATCACGATGCCCCGTCATTCCGTGACACGGCTCGCTCGCCAGGTTGGGGGCCTTCCGCTGGCCGAATTGCCCCCTCCGTATCTTGCGCCGTCCCTCCATTTCTCGCTCATCCGATCACCCGTTCAATCCTCCAACTTCTCGTCCACCGCGGTTGTCGCTGGCCATGGCCGGGATCTCAGCAAGACCCGCGGAGTCTCTGCCATCCACCGAAGCGGTCCCAAGTTTAAATTGGGCGTGTCGAAATACCCATTGCCGAAGCCTGTGTCTCCCGAATCGTTGGAACGCCGTCACCCTACACCCGACCATGGACTGTGGGGTTTCTTCCCCAAGGGCAAAGAGGCATTGAGCTCGCCGGAATACGATACCGCTCATGGTTAGTGTTATATATGCTGATATGTACTATACAAAGTACGACATGCGAATTTGTGCTGATCGTTTGTGATCCAGGCCGGCCTTGGTCCATCCAGGAACTCCGCGAAAAGTCCTGGGATGATCTCCACAGACTCTGGTGGGTTTGTGTTAAGGAACGCAACCGCATAGCCACCTCCAACTTGGAGCGTCAGCGAGTGAAGGCTGGATACGGAGAATATGAATCAGAAGAACGGGAGCGAGTGGTGAGTGTTGTCCCTAGCAGGCTATCCTTTTTTGGATATGTTGAAAAACGAGTTCCATGATGTCTTTGCATCCATTATTTGATTGCCGGCACGTGCTAATGCAAGCGCTGTTGTTCTTTAGGTCCGTGTCACCCAGAAATCCATTAAGCACGTTCTGCGGGAGCGATGGTACGCCTGGGAGGACGCACAGAAGCTTTACAAGCAGGGTTACCGGCCCCAAGAGGATACCCAGGAATAAGCAAAGAGTGACATGAAGGTTCCTCGGCCCCGTATAGCTCTCCACAACAGCACCCTCCCTGTCTCGGAAAGTCTATCAACTGGTCCCGAATGTAATATTATCATGGATTGCCCATTTTTATGTACTGCTACGTTTTATATTATTTTATTTTGATTTTGGATCAATGCCCTGTCCGATAGAACAATGGAAAAAGGACGGCACTACGACGCATAGACACCCCCATGTCTAGTAAAGCGCCGGAACTAGCTGTCAATAATGATGCATATCAATATGAAACTGGCCGTCTAGAAACAGGAGAGAAAGAAAAGGGGTTTTGGAAATTCAGGAGTCGCCATATCATTATTTCTAGTTCTTTTTGTTGGTATTATTATTACTGTTATTAGCGCTGGCGTCAAATAATCCGGTCGATGATCCGCGGAGGGGGCTCCAGCGACTACTTCTACTAGACACCTCACCGCAATCAAACCACCTCCGCGTTCTTCCTTTCCCTCTCTCTTTCCACCTTCTATTCATCTCTATCTTGTTTGATTTACCCTGAATATCTTCCTCTTGCCATATTCTAATCACCATGGAGGACATCGCTCCCGAGTATGATGTTGTTGTGCTTGGCACTGGTATGTTGGTAGCTACCCCGCGATGATATGTGATATGGCTAACCGTCCCCCCTGCGCAGGGTTGACGGAGTGTGTTCTGTCTGGGTATGCTGCTCTCCCCTTACTTTATGCACTGCGGGGAGTTCCATATGCTTATCATTGATCTGGTATACAGTGTTCTCAGTGTCAAGGGAAACAAGGTGCTTCACATCGATCGCAATGATCACTACGGAGGGTAAGTGACGGGGTAGCGTCCACGCATCCCCAATTCTACAAGTGCCCCCATCTAACGATACATAATAGTGAGGCTGCTTCTGTGAACATCGAGACTGTAAGTATTCTGAAACTCTTTGGTTTGTCGTGTTGCTTTGCATTGCTAACGCGTCTGTGTTTGTTTTCTATAGCTGTTCAAGAAGTACGGCAACGTTCGCCCCGGCGAGGAGCCCTGGAAGAAGTATGGACGGGTCAACGACTGGAACATCGACTTGGTCCCCAAGCTGCTGATGGCCAACGGCGAGTTGACGAATATCCTGGTTTCCACCGATGTTACGAGATACCTTGAGTTCAAGCAGATTGCTGGCAGCTACGTCCAGCAGGGCAAGGGCGGCAAGGCCAATGTGGCCAAGGTCCCCTCGGATGCCAACGAGGCCCTGCGCTCGTCTCTGATGGGAATGTTTGAGAAGAGGAGAGCGAAGAAGTTCTTGGAATGGGTTGGTGAATTCAAGGAGGATGACCCGGCTAGTCACCATGGTGCGTCTCATGAGCCTAGCTCTCTCGGTTTGACGATTCATCGCCATTGCTAACTATATGCAGGCTTGAACATCTCTACGTGCACGATGAAGGACGTTTACGACAAGTTCAGTCTCGAAGACAACACCCGTGAGTTTGTCGGTCACTCGATGGCTCTGTACCAGTCCGATGACTACATCAACGAGGTTGGCAAGGCCATCGAGACTATCAACCGCGTCCGTCTGTACGTGAACTCGATGGCCCGGTACGGCAAGTCGCCTTACATCTACCCTCTCTACGGCCTGGGTGAGCTCCCTCAGGGTTTCGCCCGTCTGTCCGCCATCTATGGCGGTACCTACATGCTCAACACCAACATCGACGAGGTGCTCTATGACGACAACGGGAAGGTCTCGGGTATCAAGGCGACGATGAAGGACCGGGACAACGCTGCGGAGACCATGAACTTCACCACCAAGACAAAGAAGATCCTCGCAGACCCGTCCTACTTCCCCAGCAAGGCCTCCGTGACCGGCTACCTGCTCAAGGCCATCTGTATTCTCAAGCACCCCATCGACAAGACCGATGGCAGTGACTCGCTGCAGCTGATCATCCCCCAGTCTCAGGTTGGACGGAAGCACGGTAAGTTCTGATCATCTTCACAAGAATATAGGTGTACATTCTAACTGGAATAGATATCTACATTGCCATGGTTTCATCGGCACACAACGTCTGCCCCAAGGGCTACTACGTCGCCATTGTCTCGACTATTGCCGAGTCCGATGCGAACAACCACATTGAGCTTGAGCCTGGATTCGAGCGTCTGGGTGAAATTGAAGAGAAGTTCTTTGGCCCCCCAATCCCGCTCTACGAGCCCCTTGAGAGTGGTGAGAAGGACAACATCTACATCTCGAGAAGCTACGATGCTACATCACACTTTGAGACCACTACTGGTGAGTCAAGTTATCGTTCCATGATGACTAGAAAATCAGTCACTAACATTCCACAGATGATGTGCGGGATATTTACCGTCGTGCCGCTGGTGAGGAGTTGGTTGTTGAGGGACTGAGGGAGGACCAGAAGCTTGCTGAAGAGTAAATGTGATTGTATGCGTTTCCGGTTAAGACTGGGTAATATATCGTCGTTTTGGGGGAGCAATGATTCCCTGGACTTGTGCCTTTGCTCTTATTCTTATATGATCAGATAGCATGTTGGATTACCACGTTTCTTTTTTCTGAGTCTTTGGTGTGTGGTTGATAATATCGCTGCTGTCAGACAGAATTCTCCCTTTCCTTTCCTGCAGTCGATGGGTATATACAAGCCCAGAATAGGCCCGAATTGCTTATGTACAACTAAGAGGCACCAACACCCTTACAACTTCTCCTCAGCGGGATCCGTATTAGCCTTCTCATGCTCCCCCAACACACAGATATCTCCATTATCAACCCTCGAGATATCCGCCCTCAAAAAGGCCAACCGTTTACCCATCTGCACCAATGTGCAAGTCAACCGAACCTCCGTCCCCTGCGGAACCGGCCGCAGATACGTCGTTTTTAAATGACGACTAACCCCTCCCAAGGCGAACACACCCGGGCGCGACATTCCCAAGAGGATTGTAGTAGAAAGGATGTCGATGAGAGTGGCCGTGCAGCCCCCGTGGAGATTTCCCATGTAGTTGCAGAGATTCTGGGGGATGGTTAGGAGGTAGGAGACTTGCGGAGGAGGGCCTTTGGTTGCGGATTCGAAACGGAGGTTGCAGGATTTGGCATCAATGCCCCAGTACTGGTGAGTTAGTTGTCAGTATTGCTCTGGTATAAGGGTTCTGGATTGTTCAGGGAAGTTAGGGAGGTAGGACCTTGTTGTTTTCATCGCTGTCCTCCCCTAAGCCCATGCGCAGGGTGTACTCGTAGACGAGCTGTTCGAATTCATCGAGGGGTCTGGATGGAGCAAGAACAGACATGGCTGTGGTCAATTGTAAGAAATCCCAAGATGTGAATTATGAGAAGTGTATGGTTTCTTTGAAGAGTCCTGTTGGAGAATCGCATATTATGACCCGGACTTGATCGCATTCATCTGGATAGCCGAGGTTCATTGTCGGTTTGAGAAGTTCCAACTCTAGCCATATATATCTTTTTTGAGGTATTCGATATGATCGTTTTGCTTCATCTGATAATGGCCACCATTGGATTATACTCCGCAAATACCATTGCGTTGCTTGTTTGTGATGTTAACAGAGGAATATATACTCGGTAGCAGAGCCATACAAATATGTATGCTGTCAACTCTAACCAAGTAGAACATCAACGCCGCTATTTATTCCAAATATTCTACCTTCATAGTTAAGTGATCATACCATTTTATACTCCGGACTAATTCCCTTGTGGTTCTTCAATACTCTCGAGTAACCATTAACCACGTCACCTGACCTCGCGTCGCGCGTTGTCCAGCTCCGTCGGCCAGTTTTCTTTTAAGCATTAGATCGGTCAAAGTCGACTGCGACGCTTCCAGTGCTCGACAAACACAATTTCTGTGCGTATGATTCCCTTTCACGCTCAATTGAAATTGCCTACTGACTTATTGCTTTGCGCAAACAGTTTGTGTTCAAATCCCTACACCGAAAAGATTCGTCCTTCTGCAGTCCGTCGCCGTGATCGCATACCGTAGCTAGTATTTTGGCCATTGGCTACAGAGACCAACTTCACGATCTTCGTTTCCTCGATTATATTTTATACAGCACCACATTCCTATCTCCTAGAAACTTGACTTCAACCTTGACCACGGAACGCCTGCCCACGATGACGAACCAGCGCGCCTCGAAGAGAAGAAGGGTCTCCGATGTGGATGAAGAGGGGGATACAGAGATGCGCGACTCCAATGGCCTCCCTTCGTCACCGTCAGTGAAAGATGAAGGATCTGACGACGACGCATATACCCCGGCTACCCCGACAAGATCCACGCGGCGGCGAGCGTCGCGACCAACTCAGAAGGTAGAACAGGATAATGAAGGAGAAGCGAATACCGAGACACCTGCCAAGACTGGGTTACGGTCGAGTGGAAGACAACGGAAGCCGCCGCAGAGGTTCGAGCAAGAATCGAAGGCTCCATCCTCGGCGAGGAAGATGGCCGCGACGCCTAGGAGTACTGCACACACCCCGAGAAGCACGCGGAAGACCAGACAGGCATCTGAAGTGGAGGAAGAGGATGAAGAGGAAGATGATGAAGAGGAAGAGGAAGAGGAAAGGGAAGAGGAAGAGCAATCGCCGGAGCCGCAGCCGACTTCGCTAGCGAGGACAAGGTCGAAGAGAGTCACTGTGAACTACAATGAGGATCAAGAGGAGAGACGAGAGAACACGGGGCGATCCGGCTCACCAGATGAGGGCGATCAAGACGGGGTTGATGATTTGGTTGCGATGCAGTTACAGCAAGACCTCCATCCTGAACAGGGTGGTAAAGACGACGCGCTGCCACCAACAGAACCGCTGCCTGACTACGCCGAGGATTTTCAAACTATGGCCCAGGGTAACAACTTTCAAAACGAGCTCAAGGTGCTGACACAGGTTGTGATTGAAAAGCTCAATGGAAAAAGACCAGTTCCTTTGAAGGGGCTGGAGAGCGAGTATCAGAAGGTCTACCACCTCGTTGAGCAAACGGTTACTTCTGGCGAAGGTAACTCGATGTTGCTTCTTGGATCTCGAGGCTGTGGAAAGACGGCTATAGTCGAGACCGTACTCTCAACCTTAGCAAGAGAACATACGAATGATTTCCATGTGGTCCGTCTCAATGGCTTCCTGCACACTGATGACCGACTGGCCCTCCGTGAAATGTGGCGCCAACTCGGCCGTGAGATGAATACAGAGGAGGAAGCCGGCAAGATTAGCAACTACGCTGATACTATGGCTACATTACTGGCCTTGCTGTCTCATCCAGAAGAGTTGTTTGGTCCGGGTCAAACAGACGGTGTGACTGCTGCCAAGTCGATTGTGATTCTGCTGGACGAGTTCGACCTATTCGTATCGCATCCGCGGCAGACATTGCTCTACAATCTGTTTGATATCGCGCAGGCGCGAAAGGCTCCGGTTGTGGTGATTGGACTTACCACCAAGGTCGATGTGACGGAAATGCTGGAGAAGCGTGTCAAGAGTCGATTCAGCCATCGATACGTTTTTGTCCCGCTGCCTAGGAGTTTTGAGACGTTTTCGGAGATTTGCTTTGCTGGGTTGAATCTCGAGGATGGTGAACTGGCGGGGTATTATGGAACTGGTGCCAAAGCTGAGCGTTGGGGGAAGCTCCTCGAGGGCTGGGAAGCATATCTAGAGGTTCGTCTCCCAAGAAAAGCCAAAGTGAAAAAAGTGTTGACAATTCCAGGCCCTATGGAACGACGAAAACTTCCGCCCCCATCTAATGAGGATATATAACCAAACTAAATCCGTTAAAGAATTCTTTACCGGCGCATTACTCGCCATAACCGAACTCCACCACAGCACCTACACCAGCCCACCAGAAGACCTCACAATCCCAACGCCCAAAACCTTCGCCAACGAGCCCCTCACCTGTCCCGATCCCGCACCCCTCCCCTTCCAGCCCTCCACAACCATCTCCTCTAGTCCATCCTCCCTCCCCCTCTCCCTCCTCCTCGCCGCAACCCGCCTAACAGCCCTATACGACCCAGGCAACGACGCCACGGCCCAACCACAGAGCCTCGCCCCACTCGCCCTATCCTTCCCAGCAGCGTATGCGGAATACGTCCGGCTCCTGACATCAGCCAAGGTCTCTGCGTCAGTTTCCGGGGCTACTGCTACGGCCGGACGGGTCTGGGGCCGGGACGTGGCCCGTGAGGCGTGGGAGAAGCTCGTGAGTTGGGGACTGGTGAATCCGGTTGGTGGGGGGAGTGGGACGGCCGATGGACGGATGTTTCGGGTAGAGGTTAGTTTTGAGGAGGTTGTTGAGATGGCTGGGTCTGGGGGGTCGTTGGGGAGATGGTGGAGGGATGCTTAGTGTACTTTATTGGTCGTGGTAGGGTAGTATATCCCTGTAGGTGTTGGGGTAGGCACCATACGTGAAACGCTCGGTTTTCTTTGTTTCTTTGTACTACGTGTTACTGGGCTGAGAAGTCGTCATGCGATATTTCTGCTAGACATGTCTAGACTTTTTTTTTTTTTTTACTTTTTAAGTCTCAGCCACGATGTTCTCTTTTTCGGTCTCTTGTACTATATACTAAACTAGCGATCAATGATACGATGCCAGACATGCATAAACTACAAACCGAGTCAGTTTCTCGTCTCAGTATGAAACTACATGTACTGTTACCGTATGTAAACGGATAATAATGGCATACTTGTATATGTCAGAAACAGGGCAGCCATTTCCCATTTGAGCATGCCCTAAGCATCATGACCTAAACCCGCGCTTGTCCCTGCAATGCTCTTGACTGACTAATTCACGGGCAAGTCATCGTCTTAGATAACTACTATATTCTATCTCGTAGTCACCAAATACATAGAGACAGCTCGGTAAAATACCCGACCCTCGGTGCTCAGACCGATCTTGTAATCATCCCGCCGGGAACGTCAGGTTCTCACCGAGCGATCCGGCGTACGTCGGTCCATTGACACCAATTCGGCCAATACTTTGACGTATATCGAATAGAAGACATGATGGTTGCCGACAAGTTCGCCGAATAGCTCGGTTACTGGGCTTAAAAGGGCCGAAGGTTTGGATGACGTCTTGTTGACAATATATAACCCTGGAGTCACCACTGAGGCACTCCTCGAGCGTCTTCAAGAGAGCATACCAGCTGCATGATGATTCTGCCACGACGCGATGTTGAATTCACTGTCTGCGACGGTACAATCCTTCGAGGATGGCACTACCCAACACAAGAGAAGAGCCCATGCATCATAATGTCCCATGGGGTACAGTCCCCCAAATTTGACTCTGAAGAAACAGGCACTGACGGTGTTCATATAGCTTGCTGGAATCCGCCATTGGTTCCTCCCACGCTTCGCCTCACGCTTCCAAGAGTCCGGTTTTGCCGTCCTTCTATACGACAACCGAAACTGGGGCGACAGCGACGGCACACCTCGACAAGAATCCAACCCAGCCGTCCAGCAACTGGACTACCACGACGCCTTCAACTACGCCATCACCATCCCCGGCGTCGACTCGGATAGGATGGTCTACTGGGGCACCAGCTTCTCCGGCGGAAACGTCATACACGCTGCAGCCATCGACAAACGCATCAAAGCAGCCATCGCGCAAGCACCCTCCGTCTCCGGCGAAACCCGCTCTCTAGCATTCAAGGACCGCATCCCGGGACTATTCAACGACCGCGCGGGCATCGCAGCAGGCGGCCAGCGAGGCCGGGTACCCTGCATCACATCTACAGCTGAAGAAGCGCAAACAGGCACAGCACCCGTGCTCTTCCCCGATCTGCACGCGTACGAATCCTACAGCCAGATCCCTGACTGCGGCGGGAAATGGGAGAACCATGTGACGGAGCAGACGCAGCTGCATATGCTACGGTTTGAGCCACAGGCGTATATGCATCGGATTGCGCCTACGCCGTTCCTCATGGTGATCCCGGGGGATGATGTCACGGTAAAGACATCTTCACAGGTGGAAGCGTTTGGGAAGGCAAGGGAGCCAAAGCAGATGCTGTTTTTGGAGGAGGCGGGGCATTTTGATATCTACCAGGGGGAGTGGTTTGAGCGGAATATTGGAGTTCAGGTTGAGTTTCTTAGGAGATATATTTAATGGAATGATTCAACATGATGTCAAATCGTTTTTTGACTCCTGAACAGTACTCCGTAGACTAGTCTGCTGATCGATCGCTTAGGCTGCGATTTGAAATAGTAGATTAACTCTGCCACTATTTGTTATAGCAAATATCTCTGCAGTACGCCAGCTGAGTCTAGCAAACAAGCCTCGACTATCAGCACTAGTCCATCGTCTGCAATTGAGCCCCCAAAGTTCAGCTGGACTTGTATGAGAGGGTTGTAGCTAATAATGGGATGAATAGAATACTGTATGTATGTATGTACTTGTACTTGTAAGTAAAGTAATATCCCTGCAGGTCAGTTTCAGAATTTCTTTGTTTCTTTTGTCTGTCTGCATCCCTTGCGTCAGGAGTGCATGTCACTTTACAAGAAGAATACATTTTATACGACGGTATTATGACAGATAATATTTAGGCAGTACATATGTACTCAGAATGTAAGAATGTAAGAATGTAAGAAAGACGATCCTCCACGTGCTCGACCCCTTCCCCAGGCAAAAAACACATGGCTCGGAGATATATTAACTTTACTCAACCATGGGCACAACATCCAAGGATCTTGGCGATAGTGCAGGATTGGGTTTGCTAGTGGACAGAGTCGGAGTACTCCGTCGAAATTGTACTCTTTACAGAGTTATTCACGGCTATGATCGGAGCCTCGGTCTCGCGACGAAGCGTCTCCAGATCATCGCCATGTGGTTGATTGAGTTTACTCCAGAGTATGTTGTGCAGATGGATTTCTCCATTTTCTCCTTAGAATTAGACTTAAATTACATATTCTATAATTATTTCGGCTACTTCGATACGAACAAAGCCATTCAGACTCTGCTTACCTAACTTCTGACACAGCGCCAAGCTTTTATAAAATTTTTTCTGACCAATAAAGCCCAGCACTATGAAACTAGCGTGCCGTGGTTGCCCCTCCCGGTGGCGGGGCTCACATAAAGCCCTTTATACTGCACCCGATCACGTGTTCGGGTATTCTCGGTACAAGTACATACTCCGTACAAGCGGAAGATCGGGTATTTGGTACTTCTTATCTCGTGCATTCAATGGACTAGTTTAGGTACTCTGTACATACATACTCCGGAGTACAAGTGTAGAATTACTCCAACCCAATAGGCTTAGGAGCCCGCACAAACGCCAGTTGCGAGTTTGCCGCCAGCAAAAAGCTTGCCTGGCCCGTCGTTTTCGGGTCCGGTCCAATAAACGAGTTGGGGAATCCCGGGTCCAAGGGCCGCACACTTTCCAGGTACTCGACCTGTTGCGGAGTAAGTTTGATCTTCAACGCTTGGATGTTGTCGTGCAAATGCTCGATCTTCCGTCCACCGACCAAGGGGAACACATTGGGTGTCTTGGCCATCACATACGCCAGCGCAATGGCCGTCACTGATTCAATGCCATGCTCCTCAGCCACCTTGGCCAGTGCTTCCGACATCCGCACTTCCTCCTCGGTTTGTTCACCGGAGCCGAGCATGGTCCGCAGTCCTTCGCCCTTCTTCTTCCGCTCTTCGATCGCCTTCTTGCTCTGGAACTTGCCGCTACCCAACACATCCCACGGTGCCAGAGCCATGCCGAAGTATCGTGCCATGGGGATGATTTCGCGCTCGAAATCGCGGAGCAGCACGTTCCAGCGTCCCTGGTAGATGCTGAAAGGTGTCTTGCCGTGCGCGCGCGCGTACGTGTTCGCGGCACTGACCACCCACGCGGGCGAGTCCGAAATACCCAAGTACAACACCTTACCCTGCTCAACCAAAATATGCAAACTGTCCATAATCTCCTCGATCGAAGTCGTGTGGTCCCACCAGTGCAGGTACAGCACATCAATCCAGTCCGTACCCAACTTCTTCAGTGAATCCCGCACGCTCATATGCAGACTCCGACGGTGGTTACCGCAGTGGTTCGGCGCGCGACCCTTACCCAAGTCGTACGACTTGTAGTCCGTGGTGAACTTGGTCGCGAGCACAAGTTGGTCACGGTTCTTGCGGGATTCCATCCACTCGCCGATCCAGGTCTCGGATTCCTCGTTCTGGTAGTTGTTGGCGGTGTCGATGAAGTTGCCGCCGGCTTCGTAGAAGGCGTCGAGGAGTTTGAAGGAGGCTGCCTTGTCCATGGAGCCCATGAAGTCGTTCCATGCGCTGCCGATGGACATGGCGCCCAGCTGGAGGGGGGAGACGCGGATGCCGGCGGTCGAGGAGAGGATGCGGAACCGGCCCAGCTCGGTGGGGGGTTCGGGGGCAGGTGTGAAGAGGCTCATTTTTGTAGATGGAATTTGTCAATTGAGTCAGTTGAATGAAGTGTAGAGGTGATGTACTCCGTAGACGGATGGGACTCGCCCTTATATAGCCCCCATTGCTGACCGGTGAAGCCTATCTCCGGCTCGGTTCAACTTTATCTCCATAGTTCTCTCTTTTTCTATCCACGCATACCAACGATAAAACAATATGAGAGCCGTGGAAGGCCTTGTTGAGGATGATAATCGTCATGGCCCACCGCCGATGACGCTGCAGCCGGACTTAGCGGAGTTAAAAGTCATCAATGAACATAATTCTAGTTAACTATGCACTAACGTAATTCCCGAGCCACCCGGGCCCCGGCCACCCATCCATTCTTTGGCGTCTCTATGCATTCTCCCATCTTTAACCACCCACCATGCCACCAAATCGTTCCCGATCGAACTGAAACTCGCAGGAACAAGAGGGACGCATCTTATTAGCTATAGGCGCTTTAAAAAAAGGAGAAATCAGCTCAATCCGTGAAACAGCACGTCGATTTAATATACCACATTCCACCTTTTCTGATCGCCTTAATGGCCACCAATTTCACATTGAAAAATGCACCAACAACCATAAACTCACAGAAGTTGAAGAGGAATCACTTGTAAAATGGATATTCTTAATGAATCTACATGGAGCAGCGCCTCGGCCTACAATGGTGCAAGAAATGGCCAATTTATTGCTTGCAGCTCGGGGTACTGATACTGTTGGCAAGAACTGGGTATCAACCTTTGTACGACGCCATCCAGAGCTTCAAACATGATTCTCTTGAAGGTATGACTACCAACGTGCAAAACAAGAGGGTCCAAAGGTTATTCAAGGGTGGTTTGATGCTATACAAGCTACAATTCAGCAGTATGGCTGTGATGGCCTGGTCACATTGGCTGGCTGTCACGTGAGTTGCAGTTGTTTGCTTTATTGATAACTACAGCGTTACCTCCTTTCTTCCTTCCTCATGTCAATTATTCTCGTCGATAGCTACCTAGGTAGAACACATGAGTTGATGTTCCATTAACCTGGCTGAGCTCCGTGACAATGGCATCCTCAATGGAGATATCTACAACTTTGATGAAACTGGCTTTGCAATGGGCCTCACATCTACTGCAAGAGTGATTACTCAATCAGAGTACTATGGCTGGCGTTCAGTACTACAACCAGGGAATCATGAGTGGGTGACTGGTGGAATCAATTGGTGCAAGTGGGTGGGTGCTTCCACCAGTCATAATCTTCAAAGGGAAGCAATATCAACAAGCTTGGTTTGAAGAGCTCCCTAGGGATTGGTGGTTTGAAGTTAGCCTAAATGGATGGACTACGGATGAAATTGGCCTTCGATGGCTAGAAAAAACCTTTATTCCAGCCACAAACAGTCATATAAAAGGCAAATATCAACTTCTAATCCTTGATGGCCATGGTAGTCATTTGACCCCCAAATTCGACCAAATCTGTGCTCAAAACAATATCATATCAATCTGTATGCCACCACATTCATCACATCTTTTACAGCCTCTTGATATTGGTTGTTTTTCACCGCTTAAAAACGTGTACGGTACCATGGTTGATCAAAAGCAGCGGCTTGGTTTTAACCACATTGATAAGCTTGATTTCCTTATGGCATATCCACCCGCGTGTGTTGAGGCATTCAAATCAGTCACAATTCAAAATAGCTTTGCAGCTGCTGGTTTAGTACCACTTAATGCCAATCGGGTGATATCAAAGCTTGATATTCGGCTTCATACACCTACCCCCCCCCCCGGGAAGCCGCCCTACCAGTCGATCAAGCATCTTCAGCCCCAAAACACCTGCAAATGTCAAAGAGCTATTGAAGCAAGCCTCATTAATCAAAGA